GTCTCGAAAGTGACATACAATCTTATTTTTGTTTGACTTTTAGAGGAGACAAAAGAGATGTATAGTAAACAGATATGGTAGCATTTAAAACGCCATTGTACATCTTAAACTCGTGGCTACCTCATACCTGTATATCACAATCCACAAGCAAGATTTATAGTCTCAACATCGGTTATAAGTTAAATTTTAAAACAAATACATACCTAAATATTTTATACATAAAACTTGCATAAGGTGAATTAATGCGAAACAAACAAGATGTATGATTAGTGTGTTCAATGTGGACATATCAAAATTTAGTTTAATATAATGAATTCAAATGATAAAAAAAAAAAAAAAAACAATAATAATTCGTATCATTGAAATCAATCGCAATTATATAGACTAAAAAAAACTACAAATAAGCTCTCAGAAACAACTCGAAGTTTATTTGAGTTTGGATTTCTATCCGAGTTAATTAAACAAAAAATTTATATAATTAAATACTTTGCTTTTCAGTTTGATTCAGTTAAAAATATACACTTTGCATCACCAATGGATCACATTTTCTCAAAAGATGCCACCTTCTTTTATTGGTAAGGTGGAATACTTTTGGAATATATTCGTATGAACAAATGTCTAATCTAAAGTATAACTTTATAGTCAAAGCAAAAAGATAACATTAGAATTTCTAGTGCAGATTAAACACTCAAAGTTAATTTTAGTGTTAAAGATTGTGACATGAGAGACTCAAGTAATAACGGAGAAACGTGTGTTAATAATATACGAACACTAATGGTGCTCAAATATTTCTCAAGAAAATAGAAACCTACAATTACGACAATAAAGCCTATTTGGCTAGTCGGTCGCATTATTTTTTTTCTTAATAATTAAATATTGCCTAAAATCAACATTAAGCTTTGCTTGTGGATATCGATTTGCATGAAATATCATTCATTATGCAATCACACTTATAAGAAAAATTCTCGAGAGCAAAAATAGAAACCGCACCAACCAAAATTAGACTACATCCAAATCACATAAAAACCTAAAATGCTAACCATAAATATGATCGGGCAACCGAAACCTATCGAACCAAGTCAAAAGGGGAACACGGTTTAATTTATAATTTCTAAATTTTTAAGCCGGTTCAAAAACAAACCACCTCGGTTTAATCGAATCAACGGTTCAGTCTCGGTTTGGAATAAAAAATAGCAATTGGTATTTCTTAACCGGTATCTCCACCTCTGCACCTCATCACAATGTCGTTTATTACACAACCCATAATTTCTTAAAGATCTGCCTTTTACAATCTTTCTTGCATCTGCAAATTTGAAAGAAACAATCTTTGTTTCTCAGTTCTTCTATCCGAATCACAGGTTTCAGCAAACGGAATCACCGTAGTTTCGGTTAACATAGACATATCAGAAACCGGAAACAGATGACTAAGCAAACACTTGAAACACGGTGTAGGTTTCTTCTTAGAGAGTATCGCGATTTGGACTTAATCAACACACATGACCTCGGTTATGTTCCTCTGATCTTCCAACGCTGTCCGAATCTCGTCCACCAAACTCTTCTGCTCATCTTCCATTGTGTTCTGCAACTCATCCACCTACATTCCCAAAAAACGTTCACAATCACAAACTCAACATAGATCGCGTAATGAAGAGTGCAAACTAGAAGGTTCGGTTTTTGACATTACCACATGCAACAGCAGAGCAAACTGCTTCTTCCTTAGCTCAAGCAATCTCCAACTTGCAGTGCTCTCTGCTTCAAGCTCAGCAATCTCCTTGTTCAATTCATATATGACCTTCTCTGTCTCTGACCTCGGCGGTTGCGCAGATATCAGTTTCCTTATCGTCTCACACTCCTCTTTATGCTGTCTGTCTATTTTACTCTCCTCAAGCTGCTTCTTTAGATCTTCAATCTCAGCCTTCGCCTGCATTATCTGCCTTTCCGTCTCATCTTTCACCTCGTTAAAGCTCTCTTTCTCCCTAAGATTTGCTTCCACAACCGCTTGGCTCTTCAAAAGCGGAATCTCGAAAGTTGAAAGTTCCTGTAAGAAAGCTTTTGCAAGTCTACCGCAGTCGTTATAGTTCTCTTCTTCTTTATCCACTTCGAGTACAAAAGAAGTGAACTTCTTCTGAAGTTTTTTCAATGGAGGTTCGCCTCGAGTGGTTGTGGTTCGGGTTAGAAGCCGGTTTCTTATGATTTTGTCATCGTCCACGGGATCAAATGCATAATTAACCTTAGTTACTACAGTCTCTAATCTACCAGAAATCCTCCTTGCTTTAACTGACATCTCAACTTACTTAAAACCTCTTAATTCTCAACCCTGCAAACCAATGCACAAACAAACAAACAACATTCAACAACCAAACAATCTAAACCTATGTAATCCAAATTTGATATTTGATCAGAAATAAAACTAAGGGATACAAGATTCAAGCTTGAATCTATTAGCAGAACCGAAACATAAAAGTATTACGATTTACGCAACAAATCTCTCGATTTCTTCTTCTCGTCTTCCAATTCTCAATCTAATTTAAATGGATTTCCATGAGCATTCGCATTCATCATCAAATCATAACTATTGTTTCATTGATTCGTCTCAATTGTACCATTCATGATGTACTGAACCCAAATTTCTGGTTCAAACAAAAACAAAAAGCAAAAGATGATCTCTTTACTTACTTGAAGTGAACCCAAGATCCAGATTCGTCTTCTGCAATCGAATCTCGAGCAAAACAGGCCCCTTTTGTTCAAATTTTGACGAACCCTAAATTGATACAATTCATCTTCGTCCTCCCTTTCCTTTTTCTTTTTTGGGATAAATGCAACAAGTACTCTCAACTTATAATATATTACCAAATAACCCCTGATCTCTTAAAATATAAAAATAAACCCACATTCTTTTCTTTTTTGACTATAACGCCCTGTTTATTATTTTTTGACAAATAATTGAACCAAAAAGTCCACAACTATTATTATTCTCTACTCTCTAGTAATCGAGTTGTGGACACCAAATTTTACGTTCATAAAGTATGTCAAACAAAAATAAAATTGAATCAAAACCTATTGAGATATAGAAATGTGTAGCAAGCAAATCAAAACCATAAACTATAACTTAATAAAACAAAATCACATGATCGAACAGGAATGTACATTTTCGTCACTAAAGATCTGAGAGGGATAAGCATATTGGGATGAATACTGAGGAGGGTAACTAAAGATTTTGTTTCCATCACTGTCTTCATTCTTATGATTGTTCTTGTTATTGTTATTATTATTGTCTTTGCCTTTCTCTGTGGTTTGACTTAGAAGCTCTGCATGTTTCCCAAGCTTTTTCTTGATTTTCTCCACAAGTTTTGGAGGATCCATGACTCCTCGTACCACTACTGTTGACTTTGACCGGTCTGGTTCCACCGATTGAATACCTTTTAATTTGTCAAAAAAAAGAAAAGAAGAAGCATATTATAAGTTGGTTTTATTTCGATATTTTCGATATCATCTTATTTCTATATGTATATACATAGATTACCTTTTATTTTCTCAATGCCTCTTTTGATTTCATGAACACATCCTTCACAGTGCATGTTCATTTTTAAAATTGCAGTTTTGATCTCGGGAGCACTCTAAAATCAAACAAAAACAAAGAAATGATTAAACATGCTAGTTAATTGGTATGATATAAATGAGAGTATCTAACACAAAAACAATTAAAAAAACTTACTTCTTTCTTTTGTTGTGGCTCCTTCTTCTGATCTTGTTTGGGGTTAGGTTTTGGGGAAATCAACTCAGCATTTTTACTAAATTTCTTTTGAACTCTTCGTAAAATCTTCAACGGATCATCAAATTTTCCAGACACAACCACTTTATTGTCTCCTATCTCTGTCTTAATTTGCTCAACCCCTAAAAGACAATAAGATCAGCACTTATAATCGCTACTTATGAGTAAGAGAAGAAAAAAACGGTAAAATCTTAATTTTTTAATTGATGCTTTAAGAACTAGAGATTATTCGTTATGTCATTGTGGGAGTTAATAGACAACTTCTCTAGATTACAGGAAAGAAGAATAAAACTGAAACCAGACTAGATAATGCTTAGGTTAAATTTATAATTTCACTCAATGACAAATGATTAAATATTTGACATTGATTCTTTTGATCGAGACCATATAATATATGATTCCATTAAAGAGGGAAAAATAATCTAATAATGTTTATTTTAATTGAATATTACCATCGTAGCCCCTCAAGCAATGAGAAACTTGTGATGCACATCCTTCACAGTGCATGTAAACCTTCAGAACAATTTCTTTACATTGATTTTTCTTATCAGACTTATCGACTGATGAATCTCCATTTTTCTGGTTCTTCTTGTCTGACTTTTTATCTGATTCTCCATTTTGCTTGTTCTTTAGTAGAATTCCAAAGCACAAAATATAAAGTCACATAAGTTACTTAACAAATTACTAGATTCACAAAATTACTATACAAGAATGCACATACCTTTCCCATATTAATGTTTACTCCTTTGTACGACAAGTGCAATGCAGAAGTTTTCTTTGGTAGGATGTGCAATGAAGAAGTTGAACAGTGAGACTCAATATATATATAAGGTCATAGAGGTTTTATCATCATCAATTAATTATTTAATTAGTAACATACATAAAATTATTTACTTCTCAATCTGGATGATCCTATATTATGTTTACAATGAATAATAATTATATTGTAATCACTAATATAGGATTGATGACAAAGAGACAACTAATTTTGTAACGATCCTTATTAAATTTAGTTTCAATTGGGACTTGTGTAACTTCTTATTCAGTGTCCAAATAAGTGTACTATTCATTATTTGGATTTTCTAAAATCATGAATAGTTACAAATCTTCGAGCCTTAATATACTTACTTGTTAGCGTTTTTTTGTTGTTGTCAAATACTGTAGTATTTATCTGCTAAACCATGGATTTTCTTATTTTCTCACATGATTTAATTTACACGAGGATCGTTCCAAGTCTAGTTGTGTATTGAATATTTCCAATAACAAAACAACCTTAAAAGTTCATGAAGGGTAAAAACTGTGTAACAATATGTAATAATAACGGTTTACATAGGAGTCCAGCAAGATTTGGTCTTAGGGTCCCAAATAGAAGGAATCAAGAATTTCAAGTGGTTGATTCCGTGTGAATTAAAGGCTCCACCAGTTACCGGGTCAACCCGAATTCTACCGGTGAAACCTGGGAAAGCTCCGGATCCAAAAACCCGAGTGCACTTGGTTGCAGGGTCCGCGATATAGATGGAAGAAACATGGTTTCTCTTTCCGTCATCGTTGTACGGTGTCGTCTCAGATTTGAATAAGAACTCGGTTAGAGTTGGATTGGTGGCGAGATCGGCTAAACCGGTGGCTAGCTGAATAACCAATGCGTCGGCTCCAACTTCGCCACTTGGCGGTTGATAGGTCATACCACGTGGACCCTTGTCGGCCGTGTGGAAAGGCCAAGCGCACTCTCCGGGACATTCATCCTCCGGGTTGCTTACCATTATGTACGGTCGTGGTTCTTTTTGACCTGCGTGGGATTTACGTAATTACGTCAAATTTGTCTAATACTATGTTTTTAAAAGCTACAAAATTATGGAGATAAAACCAATAATCTTTTTCTCATATGGTAAAAATTAGATTAATTTTCCAATATATTTATTTGTACTAGTGTCTCTCACGGTGCCATAATCCAAGTTTAATTCTGAGAGATGTAGACGGAAAAAAATAACGAAAAAAATAAAATCAAACCTTTAATTTTGGCAAGGGCGTTATGTTGGCAAGTTCCGTCACAAAACCCTACGCCATGAGCCTTAACTTGCGCCGAAAGTAATACAACGGGCACCACTTTCGACATATTTCCGATTGCCGTCTCAACAAGTTTCTCAGCATTCCCGATTGTCAATTCCTTTCCATACTTCATCTTCTCATCCACATAACTCCGGACAACCTTGACCTTAATCCTCGGAGCTACGGTTCTGTTACTCTTCTTCTGTCGGTAAATATCCTTCACCTCAAACCTCTCTTGGTAACTCTCCACCACTTTCCACCATGCCGATACCTTCGGGTCAAGACCTTCCTTGGCGTCGAAGTTAACCGATTCTATGAAATCTTGAACCCTCCCCTTTTGAATAGGCGTGAATTGGCCGTACCATAGTAAAGAGAGATCTAGGGTTCCGTTTGGGATTTGCGAAGGTAACTCACGTGAAAAGCAGAGAGGCGCCAAGAGGAGGAAAATGGTGACGGATAAGGAGGAGGAGGAAGAAGACGCCATTGCCACCGCGTGAAGAAACTTTTTTCTGTTCTTTTGGCCTTTGATGGGAATTTTTTTAGGCTTTTTCTAAGAGAAGTAAATAAAATTATCGTTTAAGCTATTTTTTGACATCAAAAGCTGGTGATTTTATTTTGGATAATTGCCAATGAAGCAAAAGAGCTATTTTCAACAAAGCTAACTATTTTAAGAAGGGTGGTGAAAAACTCATTAGAACATCCAACACCTTATTAACACGTAATGATCAGCGTATAAAAACCCAAAAACACTACATCGATGCAAATGACAATAACGGTGACTATTTACTTTTTCATTAGTCATTACAGAGAGCACAATGAGAAATCAAATGAATCGGAAATATAGTTTAAGTTAAATGAATTCGTAAGCCGATGATGATCCGAGATTCGGTTTGGTTTGCGAGGGTAAGACGCAATCCGTGTCTTTGCAAATCAGCCATTTCAAACCTTTCTCCTCGTTCACCAGCTTAGATGCCACTGACTTGATGCCACTCTTCATATAATTCACAATAAAAATCGCCACCTGTCTGCAAATTGCAGTAAAGTGTTTAAAACCATTATATTACCTATCATACAAAAATGGAGAGTATAAGAGAATCAAAGACATGTTTTCTCCGTGAGTAATCTCCTTACAAGGGTGAGCAAGGAGTTCGAGAACCGTTGATGAAGTAGACAAACAAGAACGCATCAAAATGCTGTCGTTTGATTAGATAAAATCCATGTAGTCTCCGCACGCATCTGAACATCAATCTTTTGTACAAACAGATAGCAGCATTGTTGTGTGCAATCACATGAAGGTAAACTCCTCGACACACTGATAAACCAGAAGCATATTTAATCACCTCACTTATAAGTGACCTTGCTGAGATTTAAAAAAGTTGTAGAAACATCAGAAATTTTAAAACCAAGCAATATATAGAACAGGTTTCAGATATTTATTAGTATTATAAGAGTCATATACCGATTCCACAGTTTCTGTATGTTTCTACAACTCCGAGTGTCAAGATGTATATCAAAGTCTCCTCTCCTTTTGAGGAATCGTAATGAACAAGATCATCTATCTGTGCAAGACAGAGAAACCATCTGCCAGCTGATGAAGATAGATATAAGAAGATAAAAACAGCACTTGACTCATTTGCATTACCAGAGCTCCCAAAACACATTATTCAATCATAATTCAGACATTATTACAAGCCGCTGTTCTAAAGATTTTGACAAGTAACTTTTATTAGTGAAGAGGATCACAGACCAACCAAAAACCATAAACATTATGAACTATTTCAACATTATGAACTATTACAGGACATTAAAAGATATTATTGTTCGAATTACAAAAAGACGAATTCAGAGAATGAAAACTAACCTCGCTGTCTTTGGCAAGCACGAATTTGGCAGTAACAAAACCAATAAGTTCATCAGAGTGATCATCAGGCCGGCTTCGATCAACAGCAGCCCATGAGATGATATCAACTCCGTTCACAACACTCTGAAAAAACTCAGACTCATACCTGATCAAACAAAAAAACTCAATACTTAAGAAACATTTTCACAAGACATCAAATTAGGAAAATCGAATCTCAAATATACAAAATTCAAGTAGATGAAGCATACTTGATGGGGAAGATGTCGCGATGGATTTGCTCCAAACGATCTAGATCATTAGGTTTTATAGGTCTGTAGTGAATACTTGGGCAGAGAGAGATTCGTGGATCCTCCATTGATGAATCATCTATGAATCTTCGAGGAAATCGCGACATTGTTGGGTATGCGAAGAACTTGAAAACCCACTTACCATTTTGAAGTGAAGTGCCAGATCACTGGATCCGACCCGTTGAAGTAATCAGATCCGGATAGATTTAACGAATCTGGATCTGAGTGGGTTTGAATTTGATTGGCTAATATATCTTCGCCGAAGGAATCAAGAATCGATTTTCGAGCGAAGGAAGAAAAAGGTTCTTGCTTTGCCTTTGCCCTCTCCTCTGTCTCTTGGGGCTTTCTCGTTTCAAGTGAAGCATCTTGGCTCACGTGCTTTGCGACAACCAATCACGTGCCTCTTTTTAAAGGAGTACTATTATGAATGGAATATTCGATTTTTAAAAAATGAAAAATTGTTTCATTTTGAATAATAACCATTTTTAAATATAAAAATGGGAGGTACTTTTGTTTTTTTTGAAAAAGGGCTTTGGAAAAAAATTCGTACTTTCGATTCATAATCTGCTTTTTATTCTATTTTGTTATTATTCGTTACCAGTACTATGGTAAGAGAACCTTTGGGCATTAAAAGAAAACTTCCTTGCCCCATTAACTAATGATGAATCGGAGTAAACAAACTCGATTAGGCGGGCCAATACAATTGTTGTGTGTTTTCTACTTTTCTTCGTTAGAAACTTTCTTACAACAAGTTGAGCCCTCAAAAAATCATAGAAAGATATAAATTTATTATATATAATCCAAAAATTTGGATTGATATTTATTTTAGTTAGATTAATTTCTATAAATATTTGTATTGGCCGTCCACGGCGGCAAGCAGAGAGAGAGACTCAACGTTTTCGACTTTTCGTTACAACAAAACTTTGAAACGCAGAAAATTATCCACAAAAACAAAAAAAAACGTGAAAGGCAGAGGGCAAAAAAATGCGAATGAATTAACGCCAGTCCAGTGCCACGTATGAAAAAAAGCTTAGGACCAGATACGTTAATGAGAAAAAAGACCAGGTACGTACGTTAATTAAATTAAATTAAAAAAGGCCAAGCACGTTAGTCCAGCCCACGTGGTATTTCTTATCTTAAAAACCAAATTAATGTAATTTAAAAATCGGACGTTGCAGAGGTAATCAGATCAACGGTAGAGATTACGACACGTTATATCACTCTGCGCAATTCCACCGCTTTCTGGAATTAAAAAAAGAAAGTGTATAAATAAAAGAGCAGAGGTAAAGCTATCTCCAGAGTTAAATATAAGTGTAGACAGAGAGCTTCTTTCTTCTCTTCCTCGCTAAGAGAAGATCTTCGAATAATCTCTGTAAGTAGTGAATCTCGGAATCGATCTTCTCGTTGTTGGAAGAAGACGGAACACCGGAATCAATTACGATTTTGATTATGGCCGAATCTGTAGCGACGGCGAACTCTTCGACGGCGGCGATGAGCTCTATCCCGCCTTTTCTGAGCAAAACCTACGATATGGTTGACGATCCATTGACGGACGACGTGGTGTCTTGGAGCAGCGGGAACAACAGCTTCGTGGTTTGGAACGTGCCTGAGTTCGCGAAACAGTTTCTACCAAAGTATTTCAAGCACAACAATTTCTCCAGTTTCGTCAGACAGCTCAATACTTATGTGAGTGAGCTTCGATCGATTCTTACTTTATTTTTCTCTGATTGATTCGATTTTCTATTTCATAGTTCGATTTGAGGGAATCTTACTTTATTTTCCTCTCTTGTTTTTGTGGTTGAATTAAGTTGCTTATTCGTTTATAAACGAGTGAATAAGATTTATGTTATTCATAGTAACAAGTGGTAACTAAGCATTAGTTATTGATAATTAAAACTTTCGAATTTAATGATTTGGGATTGATGTGTGCAACCAGGTGCTTTGAGAAGTCAACTCTTATTTTACTGCTGATTGGTGTCCCTAAATAGTTGTTGATACTGGTTGAACTATGCACGTCTAGTAGTAGGTTGTGTTATGTTTGATTTAGTTGCACTAACTGTGTCGTCGTTAAAGATTGGATCTTTGTGGGTTCTGACAAACTCGTGCAAGATAATTTCACATATTTGTATTCTTCTTGTTTTGCAGATTATTCTTCAATAGTTTTGTGTACCTTGTGGACTTCAAGCATATATGTTTTTTTTCTTTTCTAAGTTTCTAAGCTGCATCTGTGTCTGTGAGGCTGGAATGAAATTTCTCATTTCATTTTCCAAATGAATTTTCTTAGGTCAAGCAAAACTAAGAAGTGTATACTCTTCTTAGCTTTTTCCTCCCCTGTTCTTCTTACTTACCAAAAGGTTCCACCAACTTTGCAGGCTTATTTGGACTTGTGCTCATATGTGTCTGACGATTGGTTGATTCAGCAGTTCCATTTCTGGCCTCTTAAGTCACAAAAACAAAATTTCTATCAGTTGTCCCATGTTAGCTTTCCATTCGTTTGTATTTGTCCGTCCAGGTACATGCCGACAGGCCCGACACACTAACAACTATTAGTTTCCTTGGACCATGGTAGTTTGGTCCTGCAGTTAGACACAGTGAAGAGATTTTATCGTATTCTACCATCTCTAGAATAGTTGTTATTTTAGTATTTAATGGTCTTTATGTTTATAAAACTCTTCTATGTTGGCTTTCCTATTTCAACGGAATCCAAGTAACTTCTTGTGGTTGATGACTGTTCCATTCTCCATGCATCATTTTTTCAGGGTTTTAGAAAAGTTGATCCAGACCGCTGGGAGTTTGCAAATGAAGGCTTTTTAAGAGGCCAAAAACAAATACTAAAGAGTATTGTCCGGCGAAAACCTGCGCAAGTGCAGCCTCCACAACAACCTCAAGTTCAGCACTCATCTGTGGGTGCGTGCGTTGAAGTGGGCAAATTTGGACTCGAAGAAGAAGTGGAAAGACTTCAGCGGGATAAGAACGTCCTTATGCAGGAACTTGTAAGGTTAAGGCAGCAACAACAAGTTACCGAACATCATCTGCAAAATGTGGGACAGAAAGTTCATGTGATGGAGCAGAGGCAGCAACAAATGATGTCCTTTCTAGCAAAGGCTGTTCAAAGTCCAGGTTTCTTAAACCAATTTTCCCAGCAGAGTAATGAAGCAAACCAACACATTTCTGAAAGCAACAAAAAGAGGAGGCTACCTGTTGAGGACCAGATGAATTCTGGCAGTCATGGGGTTAATGGTCTTAGCCGCCAGATTGTAAGATATCAGTCATCGATGAACGATGCAACAAACACTATGCTCCAGCAGATACAACAAATGAGTAATTCATCTAGCCATGAATCTCTCTCAAGCAATCATGGCAGCTTTCTTTTGGGCGATGTTCCAAATTCTAACATTTCAGACAATGGGAGCTCCTCAAATGGATCACCTGGAGTTACATTGGCAGATGTTTCATCCATTCCTGCAGGCTTATATCCTGCAATGAAGTATCACGACCCTTGTGAAACAAATCAAGTCCTGGAGACCAATTTGCCTTTTTCTCAAGGTGATCTCTTACCTCCAACGCAAGTAGCAGCAGCTTCTGGGAGCTCGAGTTCGGATCTTGTTGGATGCGAGACAGATAATGGAGAGTGTTTGGATCCAATAATGGCTGTTTTGGATGGTTCTATCGAACTAGAAGCTGATGCCTTAAATGAGTTGCTTCCTGAAGTCCAAGATTCTTTTTGGGAACAGTTCATTGGTGAGAGTCCAGTGATTGGTGAGACAGATGAGCTAATCTCAGGATCAGTGGAAAATGAACTGATAATGGAGCAGCTAGAATTACAATCAGGCCTGGGTAGTGTGTGGAGCAAGAACCAACAAATGAACCATCTTACTGAACAGATGGGACTTCTCACATCAGATGCTCTCGGAAAATGAGATCACCACGAAATCACAATCTTTCCTCATGAGGTAAATCTGTCTTTCTTTATTGATGAGTTATAAACCACACACTTTCCAGAATCTTTGTGCAAAACCAAACCCCTCTTCTTGTTCTCGCAGATGGGTTAAGATTTTGTGGAGTCGCAACAACAAATAAGAATATGACCAAAGGAGGTAATGTATGTATGTATCAAACTGTTGTAACTCTGATTCTTGTCAATGTGTAATAAAATAAGAGAAATATTGTCTTAAAAGATTTTTGCATTACATTTGGAAAAAATTATCTGCTTGTTACAGACAGAATGAAAAGGAGATGCTTCAAAGTGAGAGATATTCTTCTGTTCTGTGTGTCTTTAGAGATCCTTGTTTAGTGGATGATTATTGTTTATAGTTCATTCCAAGATAATAATATCAAGTCATTTGAAATAGCAAAATTTGAAATCTGTCTTTGTGCCAGCTACCAACATCTTGACTATCTTGTGCGTCGAAAAAAATAGTCAAAAAAAAATATATATTTCCACATCATTATTTTTTGAAAAATATCATATTTACTGCAGTTATATATTACCATTAGTTGTAATTTATATAGCTTACTCTTATATCTGAAAACTAAAAAAATATTTTACATATGATAAATTTCACAGATATCTCATGGATATATTACTTTGAAAGAGGATTTGAACATTTTTAATAAACATGTATTTTTGTTACTAGAATTGATAAAGACCATATATTAAGAATAAAATAGTTGCTTTGGAAGAAAATTTGAACATTCATCGAAAATTTGATTCATATATAGCTACAAATGTCGCAAATATTATCTTCTTTAAAATATGAATCAAAGCTATAACATTTTGTTTTTGGCATCCATTGCTCCAAAACCAATTCCGGAGAATTAACGCTTAGCACGACTGTTTAGTTCCCTCCACCGAAAAAACCGTTGACCGTTTCCAATAGTAGGTTGAATTAATTCATTACTTTTAAAATTTCTTATTCATCCACAATCATATATTTGATTTAAATAAAATAAAATTGTTTGCTCATTAATATGAAAATCAATCTTTACTCGTTTGAAATTCCTAATCTCATTACCTGTCGTCGTTGACTTGTCAAGAAGAAACAAATCAACTCTAAAAAAGAAAATGTTGTTCATCGAAATCAAAGCTTGACAGTATTTAAAATCAGATTTGAGATGAGCGGCGACGGAGATAAACCGGCTCCGGCGAAGCTAGGCGACGAGCAACTAGCGGAGCTACGGGAGATATTCCGATCATTTGACCAGAACAAGGATGGGAGTTTGACGGAGCTCGAGTTAGGCTCACTTCTAAGATCTCTAGGTTTAAAGCCGAGTCAAGACCAACTCGATACCTTGATCCAGAAAGCAGATCGGAATAGCAACGGATTGGTCGAGTTTTCCGAGTTCGTCGCTCTCGTCGAGCCAGATCTGGTCAAGTGTCCTTACACGGATGATCAACTTAAAGCGATCTTTAAAATGTTTGACCGAGACGGAAACGGTTACATAACGGCGGCGGAGTTAGCGCATTCGATGGCGAAGCTAGGTCACGCGTTGACTGCGGAGGAGTTAACGGGGATGATCAAAGAAGCTGATCGAGACGGCGACGGTTGTATTGATTTCCAAGAGTTTGTTCAGGCGATTACTTCAGCTGCATTTGATAATGCTTGGGGTTGAAGAAAGAAGGTATATATATAGTTTGAAATATTTGTGTGTTTTTTGGCTTCATCCTCAAATCAAAGACATTTGGAAGTATATGTGTGTAGGTGCGATTCCATGGAAAATGTTGTGTTATTTACTGTTTCATTGATGAAATTTTGATAGCTTGAAGAGAAAGTTATCATTGTTGGTTTCGATCTTTAGGGCAAGAAAACTTTGCTATGCGTGTGAGTCAGTTCTCAACCCGTCGCTTTAGCCACTTGAGTTTATAGACACAAAGGTCTTTCAATAGGCAAAACAAAAAGAAAGCATCAAAACTGACTCTTTATCTTTATATGTATGGGGGATAATCAGCAAATATATATTGTCGTATGATTATGATCTTCTAGTAAGACAATTGTACAAATCCATGTAAAAATTGATTTATCAACTCGAAAACGATTCCCGGTAATGGTTAAGAAGAAGGAAAGACAGATTGGTCACCGAGATATGTGGAATGATTTGTGGTAATGTCAAATCCAAGAGTTTATTACATAAGCTTTAGCCCACATGTTACTTCATCAACCGGTCCTGCACAATAATAACTTACCAAGAATAGCCATTACTGTCTTTGAATCTGGAAAAAGAACAGAACAAGTAGGCACATTAGATTGCAGCTCAATGCAGGTGATTATCAATTCTCTTTTAGTTTTCAATTGCATTTCTTGAATTCAATAATTAACTCCTATTTGTTGCTTTCATTATATATAGTGCTACCAATTACTATATATATTCCAGGAATACTGCTTGTAATATCCATTTCAAATGTTTGTTTATTCTGAGTTATATCATTTAGCATAGTCAATGAATATGTATACACTCAAAGATTATTATTTGTTAGCTCACAGCATGACTTAAAGCTTTCTTGTGTTTTCTCTCAATCAAGTTCTAATCAAGCTTTGTTTCCGCTCTTGGTCTCTTTAGCTTATGTTGCTGTAATGGCTTCATTCTAACCTTGTCAGCTATGTACAAAACTCTGGTTACTTTCTTCAGCGAGTTTGATTTGTGCAGCATAACCGGGGTTGTTGCTCATTTGATCTTCAATGATCTCTAGCTCATCCAAAACTCAGAAGACAGTTAAGGGTCTTTAAGAAGCAAATCACATAAAACTGAGAAGAAGTATGGATGAATTTATAAGGCGGAGAGCCTGATTGCTCCCTCCAGCCGCTTCTTTCGGTTTGGCAAAGGAATGAATACAATTTGTTTTAGAATATCATTAATTATGTCGGAAATATTTATAACTCATTATCATGGATCAGTGTTAACCATAACCCTAGCATCATATTAATTCACATAAACAGATTCTCTTACTTGTACCAGAGCAGTTACATTCAGGGAAAAAGAAATCATCAAACACACAAATAGAGTATATCTTAAGGTTAAGAAAAGCAAACAACGCAATTTCCTTAATCATAGTGACTCAAAGCATGAAAAGATAATTAAGATTATTCGTTTCCTTGATGAAGAAACCATCACTGCCTGAAACACACAAAAATATCAAAGATGATGACAAGATAAAATGGTCGGTCACAATGTCATGATTATGTGTTGTTTTTTACCTCTTTCTTCCTGCCATCAAGTTGTGGCGGCCTACCCTATCAGACCACAACTTTTCCGTCCTCTCCAAGTATTCCTCACAATCCCTCAACAACTAAAAACAGAGACGAGGAGGAGAAGAGAGCGAAACCCTAACAAATAATTTCCGATGCAGAATCTGAGATCCGTCTTTGCGCAGGGAGGGAGATCCATGGGGTCTCGCAATTTCTCTTCACCGCCTGGTAAAGTTTTGTCGGGAGCCGGAGGGAGAGATTTGGCCATCTTTGTGTGGACGAGTTTGGTTCGGAATTGTACTACTATGGGTCTTGTCTCATCTACGTTGTTCGGATATGCCTGTTTCATCGGCTCGGGTAATTAATGTTAAGATTTTTCGTATCTTTTGAGATTATCTATCTATCTATCTCACAAGTTGGTCATCTCAGGAGTGGTGGAGGCAAGAAAAAAGTCGAACGCAGTTAAGGAACAATTGAGACTCCGGAGGATACGTCATGAGGAACTGGTATGCATTTTTTCTTTTTAGTATTTGTTTTCAGAGTTCAAAACACACAAGAAACAAACTACATCTCTGTGATTTCACTTCCTCAGATAGCCAAGGCGAAGCGTGATCTGCGGCTGGATTAATGAATTCAGGAGAAAAAGTTTGTGTTTAGTTATTGCTTGTGTTGTGATGTTGCATTGCTTTTGTCATCTGTTTCTCTATAAGAGAGGGATCCCTCGAAATATTATTTATGGAACGTTTGTGTTTAGTTCTTGTATTTTTTTGTTGTGCACTACAAAAATAAAATAATAATCCATGGCTGTTATGTTGCATTGTTTTTGTCATTTATATTTATGGAATTTGCACCTTCTGATTTTCTGCAAGAGAGGGATCGATCCTTCTTCTCTCCAGAAATGTTGTCTTAATCTAGCTGGAGGTTTATCTCTACCTGTCTTCACATGCATAATAGCCTCTTCAGATCTCATTTACTGCGCAAACCTCCTCTTGCAAGAACAACTGTCAAGTGTTTGCCATTTGTTGCAAAACTGGTGGTCTACTGACGGCAAACACTGAGGTCAAGCCCTTTTGACAGTTTTGGCGGCTGGCTCTGGCCAAAAGACAAGAAGACAAGTTAACCAGGAGAACCCTGATTGATACCAAATGACAGTAACTATGGAAACTCACTTTGAGCGATCTGTGTTTTTCGGGCATCAATGGTGGTGATATGGGTTGGTAGGTGAAAGGAATTTGCTCTTTCCTGTTTGTATGAACAACATTGTTAGACTCTGAAAACAGAATCACCTATATACAGTAAACATAAGATCTTTTGAATTTTTCCATTTATTTTGTAACTTAAAACACAAGTTCAAGAACCAACGATCTGCAATCCTTTGAGAATTAAAACAACAAAGACCAGAACTTTCATCAACTCAAACAATGCTGAATGTTGAAAACAGAACAATTTTAAAAAGAGACTGATTTTGAGATAAACTAATAAGAATGTTTTAGAAATCTAAAAGGGTTAAGAAGAAAGTTGTCACAATCAACACAACATGTCGATATATTGTAATGAATTAAAATCTTGCAAAACGAGGAATTGAACTCTCCACCTGTTAATAATGGCATATACCCGCCACACGAAGTTTTGATGTAAATGCAAACAAGTGTGTGTATATATTTAATGAGTTTCTGTTTCTTCTCCTCTTGGTTTTTGGCCACAGATAGTCTCCTTTTACCTTTGTTGGGAAAGTTTTTAAATTGGAGTTGTTGAAGATATGAAAAGGTGGAACCTTTACTTGAGTTTGAGAGAGAAGAGGCGATTTTAAGGATTTCTTAATAAACCAAGGCAAATTGGTCTAACCAATTACAAAACCGATTGATAACTGACGGAATATCATGCCGATGTGTCGCAATCGGTTATCTCCATATTTTCCATGAAAGCACTCATGAACCCTTCCTTCACCGGTCCGTTCTTCTGGTAATCGAACCCCGATGAAATCCCAGAATGAGGAAGAAACAGAAATTAGTTGGATATATAAATCTACTTCTTTGCTGAAATTAGTTGGATATATAAATCTACTTCTTTGCTGTTACAATAGAAGTTCGTGTGGTGTAATGGTATTATTGGGTATGCGTAATAAATGCCAATGGTAATAGCTCATGTGCTCAATTCCTTATATTGCAAGATTTAAATTCAATTTTTTTGGATATAATGATATATAATAAATCTATTGTGTGTGTGTGTTTTTTTTTCTTTTACTAATTTGCTTTTCATTTGAAATACTTTTGAATTTCAATTTTATTCACCGATCTATAGTCCTATGTGAAGTCTCTGATCTTCAAAGTTTTTTTGGATTTAATGATGCTGATTTACTTTCATTCATTTGAAATAATTTTGAATTTCAATTTTTATTCATCGATCTACAATCATGTGTGCAATCTCTGATCTTCAAAGTTTTTCTTGGATATAATGATGCTGATTTGCTTTTTATTTAAAATACTTTTGATTTTCAATTTTTTTCACCGAACTATAATCTTATAGATTTATTTTTCTTTCTGATCTATAAGAATATAAGAATATATAGAGTTTATGTCCTACTTGCATATTTTGGTTAGACTTGAAATAGGAATTGCAGATTAACAAAAGGTAACAAAAGATCTCTCTAGTTTGATGTTAGAGAGATCTACGGTTCAATGATGCCAAATTGGTATATTTTATTGGGCCACAGTCCAACTAATTATGTTTTCTTGAATAATTTTGTTTCAATTTATTCATTTCAAAATAGTAAAAAATGAGATAAATGAACATTTAACTTTTTCGATTTCTAGTTGAAGAACAAAAACTGGATATAATCTTATAGATCTATAGGTTTATAAATAAGAAACAAGTCTAGTGACATTGTGACCATTTTGCTTCACCAGTTTGTAATCTTCTCCATCGTAGAATCACTTTTTTGCAAACTGGTGAAGCAAAATCACTTCTTCCACGGTAAAGAAGTCTTCAATCTTCGAGTCTTGAAGAATCTTCTCCAAAGGTAGAATTCTTTCTTGCAAGCCACCAATGTCCTTCACAATCTTCTCCATCGTCATTCCTTGCTCAAAACCAAAACCTCTCAAGAATTGCATCATATATTTGAATATCCCAAAATATCCAACAAGATAAGCGATTCCGAGAAACACAAGATGTCCAAATATCTTTGACAATCGTTCAACGCCATCATGCATGCCATAGAATTTGCCAATAACATTGAACCTTGAGCCTAGGTGGTACAAGACCGAGAAGAAAGACAAGGTAACCAAAGACTTAGAACTAATTTCAATCTAGTCTTTCATCCATGAACAGTTTAGGCATCGTGCCTAAAATGTTCACGATTTTGAAAAGCAGCATAATAACAAAAGATTTGGGACTGAAGTCAAATTCATTAAAGACGAGAACACATATTTTTCTCAAGCTTGAAAGGAGGCTTATCTTGAAAGTGAGAGACAACAACAAACACATTCATGAGTGAGAGACAACAACACATTCATCATCTTACATTCTCGAGATCTATCGTTTTTGATTCTCTAGTTTTAGATGTTAGAAAAATCTAAGGTCCAATGATGCCAAATTGGTATCTTTTATTGGGCCACAGTCCAACTAATTATGTTTTGTTGAATAATTTTGTTTCAATTTATTTATTTAAAAATAGTAAAAAATGAGATAAGTGAACATTTAACTTTTTTGATTTCTAGTTGAAGAACAAAACCGGATATATTCTCATAGATTTATAGGTTTATAAATAGGTAAAAAAAATTTGAAAATTGAAAATGTATTTTAAATAAAAATCAAATCAGCATCATTATACCCAAAAAAACTTTGAAGATTGCACATAGGATTGTAGATCGCTGAAAAAATGAAATTCAAAATCATTATAAATAAAAATCAAAAAAAAAAAACAACACACAAACCAAATAGATTTACATATAATAAATCTATCAACATCATCATCATATCCTTAAGAAACTACTGGTCCAGAAGGACCCAAAGATAGTCACTACTCACTACTAGTCCACACTGACCCAAATCATGAAAAGATAATTAGGATTATTCGTTTCCTTGATAAAGACTCCCTCCTGCCTGAAAACACAAAAATATCAAAGATGATGACAAGATAAAATGTTGTTTCATATTTTATGTGTTTTTACCTCCTTCTTCTTCCTATCAAATGGTAATCTCATTACCTACTGATTGAACGAGATAGCAAATTTTGAGATGGCTTTTGGTTTTTCCCTATCTCCAGTGTGATCACTGATGAAATGAAGCCACCCGTGCCATCCCGCTGGTACTTGAGATGCATTGTAACGATCCTTTGAAGTGTACCTATTAACAAAGTGATTGCATGTTTCAATGTAAAAGCCTATAGACTGAACACTTTATAGAGATGCATGTATATAGTTTCACCGGTACATCGTTAACAGATAAAAATCCTTAAAAGCAAGAAGTTGACCACAAATTTCTAAATTACTTTCCTGAAGACTGGATTTAATTTTGTTTAGATAGCAACTTGGGCATTCACTGAACAAGGCTATATAAACCTCTGGTGAAGTAGGTTGAAAGACTCATTCGACTCTTACAGTCTTACTCTGACTTATACTGTATATTTTGATTAGCTGTTGCGTGGGAATTAGAGTCTCATTAGGACAAAATCAGTCAGAATCATCCGTCGCTTAAACCGCTTTAGTTCATAGATAAAGGTCTCTCAATAAAACAAAAGAAAGCATCAAAACTGACTCTTCATCTTTAAAATTTATGGGATAATCAGCAAATGTTGTCATATGATTATTTTCTAGTAAGACAATTGTACAAATCCATGCAAAATTGAGTTATCTACTCCGAAGATGGGGAGGCAGATTTGTCACCGAGAAATGTTGAAAAATTCGGAGCCAATTAGCATCCTCTTCCTTCTGCCAGAGTGTGGTAATGTCGAATCCTAGAGTTATTACATAAGCTTTAGTCCACCTGTTACTTCATCAACATTATCAACCGGTCCTGCACAAGAAAAACAGTTTTATAAAACTATTACACTTGCATCTAAAATATATGATATATGCTTACTATATACAACTCATCTCTTCTTCTCCATTGGTGTTTTAAAATCTTTCAAACACATCAGAAGGATCAGGGATGATAATAACTTACCAAGAATAGCCATTACTGTTCTTGAATCTGGAAAAAGAACAGAACAAGTAGCACATTAGATTCTTCTATTGTCAGACTATGATTAAGCAGCATTCCAAATAACAGTAACTATGAAACTCACTTGGAGCGATCTGTGTTTTTCCGGCATCAATGGTGATATGGGTTGGCAGTTTAAGGGACTTTGCTCTTTCCTGTCGGTATCAACAACATTGTTACAATCTTCACATAGGATCTTATGACTTTTCTTCTTCTATTATGTAACTTAAAACACATATTCAATAACAAAGAAACTGCAATCTTGCAAAGGGAAAGTATATTTCTGTAGCACATGTTCAGTAAACTCACTTGCAAAACTAGCATCTCTTCCTCACTTTCGATTTTGACAACAACTTTTGGCTGAGCACAATATTCCCATCTGCAAGAGCAATAATTTTTTGGTAAAAAACTGTTAATTCCATCCGTCGTCTGAAAAAGAAACATAGAGTTGAAGTACACTATGACAGGGTGTGGCATACCTGTTCAAGGCCTTTGGCGCCCGTTGAAGGAGTTTCTTGTATAAACCTAAAGTTGCATGACTACATATAAGGCAAGCAACAAAAAAGGAGTTACTAATTGAATTGAAGAAATGCAATTGAAAACTAAAAGAGAATTGATAAATCACCTGCATTGAGCTGCAATCTTCCCTTTACCCATTTTAAGATCATTCCTCACAACCAAAACCTATGGAGATAACAACAACAACAAACATTCATATCAACTTCTGGAGTCTTGGTACAATGCAAAGACAAGGAGGCAGAGTGAGCCTAGGTACCATTTTGAAATTTTTGCGAAGATCAGCGAGTTTCTCTATCTCGAGGGGTTCCTTGGACTTGGTCTTCTTATTTCCGCTGGATCCTGCATTTATGGCGACAGATTTGGAGAGAGCAAAGATTTGGCGGGTTTGTCGTAAAGTGCTGATGTAATATCCAAGTGCAGCTCCAAGAAGTAGAACACTTATTAACCACACCAAATCCATCCTCCTACAAGAATTAGAAAAGAAAAACCAGAACTTTCACTAACTCAAACAATGTTGAATCAATGTGCAAAACAAAACAACTAAAATCCAGTGATTCCGAGAGAAACACAGTAACAAATTAAAGTGAATTAAGAAAGTTTTCTCAAGTAATAATACAACAAGTCCAATACTTGTTTCCCTCAGAAAACAATTGATTCGATAAAGAGCAACTTGCTTTCATCAAGACATAAGGATTGGTCGAGAAGAAATATAATGAAACATGAGACCGATCAAGGTTTTACGATTCTAGGGCTTTAACCAATTGGGAATTTCAGAAAACAACAAACTAATAAGCATTCTAAACTGTGGAAACAAATCTACGAGGGAAGATAAGTTACCTTATTGTTCCGGCGGCTGAGCAGTGTGACAGACAAGTCTCTGTTTCTTCTTTCAAGTTTCAACGACTTTGGCGATATTCTGGTGTGTTTGGGCACACGAATATGTCTCTCCTTAATATGTATGAAGTGTTCCCAATCCTTTTTATATCGGCAAAGTTTGGGCCTTTAAGATGTTGAATGGCCCATTTTCCTTTTTTTTTTTTAATTACTTCTGGCAAACCAAAAAGTAAGATGTTGAATGGCCCATTTTCCTTTTTTCTTTGTTAATTTAAAAATCTAGAACCTTTGTTTCAACCTTTTTTTTTTTTCTTCAGAAAATTCAAAGCTAAAAATTAAAATCCTCCATTAACTAAGAAAAAATCAACAAAGGAATCATATTAATATACTTTTCTTATAAGTTTTTTTCATAAAGCAAAATTGTTTTTGTACAAAACCAACAAATCCAAGACTTGTTGTTGTTGGAGATAAAAAAAAGTCCAAGTTAACGCGTTTTCTTACTTCTCGTACGGCATTGACCTCCTCGTAGATTTTTTTTCTCAATTAACCTCTGTTTCAAGCTTCTTTGTTCATCAAACTTCACTTGTTGTTCCAAAGGTAAATTCTTGCAAATTTCTTCGTTTTTTGAGTTATGATCTTCATGTATAATTTCGCTCGAACCCTTCCTGGGCTTCTCTCATGTTATTATTGACTGCTTTCGCTTTAGTTTTTAACTTGTTGTTGATCATCATAAGTATTTATGCTCTGTTGTCTTCCAATTTTGCTACCAGTGAAGCTCGTAATCTAGTTTTGGTTTCCTGGGAAAAACCCTAATCTGATTCCTTAATTTGAAGTTGGTTTTCCGATTCCTATGACTTGCTTTGATATGATAGTTTTCAGACAATCTTCTTCAATTGGACATTAGAGTGATCTGTGGTTTGATACTGGTTTATGTTTTTGTATTTTTCCAGGGTTTTTTTTTGAGTTGTTGAAGAAGATGAGTGACAATTTAATGGACAAAGTTAGCTCCTTTAGTGAGCGTCTCAAGATTGGTGGTTCTGAGGTGAGCAAGAAAGTGACTGCTGGTGTGAGCTCTATGAGTTTCAAAGTGAAGGAACTTTTCCAAGGTCCTAACCCAACTGATAAACTAGTCGAGGATGCTACTTCTGAGAATCTAGAGCAACCTGATTGGGCTATGAACTTGGAAATATGCGATATGATCAACCAGGAGAAGATCAGTAGCATTGATTTGATCCGCGGGATAAAGAAGAGGATTATGATGAAACAGCGGAGGATTCAGTACCTTGCCTTGGTTTTGCTTGAGACTTGTGTTAAGAATTGTGAGAAAGCCTTCTCTGAGATTGCTGCTGAAAGAGTTCTCGATGAAATCGTTAAGCTGATTGATGATCCACAAACCGTTGTCAATAATCGCAATAAAGCCTTGATACTGATTGAAGCTTGGGGGGAATCAACCAGTGAACTCCGCTACTTACCAGTTTTCGAAGAAACTTACAAGGTTTGATGTTGTTCTTAGCGAATTTGGTTATATCACTCTACTGTGTTGCCAAAGTTTTAGTATATAATTAGGAGCCTTTTACACTATTTAGCTTGTAATACCTTTGTTTCAATACTATAGAGCCTAAAATCAAGAGGTATCCGCTTCCCTGGACGTGACAACGAGAGCTTAGCGCCTATTTTCACCCCTCCTAGATCTTCTTCAATACCAGAAGTCGACACTGGTCTTGCTCAGCATGTCAACGAGCATGCACATGTGCAGTACAATGCTCCTCTTGTTCGAACCTTTACTGCGGAAGATACAAAGGAAGCTTTTGATGTTGCAAGGAACAGCATTGAACTTCTGACTACGGTGTTGTCATCTTCACCCCATCAGGACGTTTTACATGTAATCCAAGTCTAAATACGAGATATAATGTTTGTCAGCAGTATATTGTATGTTTACTTGTAAATCTGGTGTCATTTTATCTTTGCAGGATGACTTGACAACTACACTAGTACAACAATGTCGCCAATCCCAAACCACAGTACAAAGAATCATAGAGACATGTGGAGAAGACGAAGCCCTTTTATTCGAAGCATTGAATGTAAATGACGAGCTAGTGAAAACGCTGTCAAAATATGAAGAGTTGAAGAAACCATCTGCACCATTAGCTGCACCAGAGCCAGCCATGATTCCTGTTGCTACTGAATCTGATGACTCTCATATTCATGCAAAAGAAGAAGAATCACTGGTCAGGAAATACTCAGGCGGTGCTCAAGGTGGGACTACTCATGGGAGCGGAAGCAGCAGCGATGACATGATGATGGATGATCTGGATGAGATGATATTTGGTAAGAAAGGTTTGGGTCATTCTTCTTCATCTGATGCTACTACTGCTTCTGGAAATGACCCGAAGAAGCAGCAATCGTCTAAAAACAATGATCTCATTCGCTTCTGAGATGTGTTTTTCTTTTCTTAGTGAGAAAACTCTAGTGGATTGGTGTTTAGTCTTTGGGAATATGCATCAACAGTTTTTAATGTATGTAAATAAACTAAAATTTAGCAGCCTTCTGTGATTGAAATATATTTATGTAACTTATATTTCGCTCTGTTTTGGTCTATGTTGCATGGAAACAGAAACGGAAACGCGGAAGCGAAACGTGTGGAAACGCGGAAACGGATTTTTAAGAAAATTACGAAATGGAAACGTTTTGGAAACGTGTATATATATATATATATATATTATTTATATATATTTTTATATTTAATTTATGTGAAACACTAAACATCAAAATATATTTTAAATAACATAAATCAAATGATAGAAATATTAACTAATCTAACTAAAATAAAGATAATAAGACTCAAAATCAAAAATTAAGACTATATAGGTTAGGCTTTTTGGTGATCAAAGATAAAAAATGTGTGTTTCATATTCTTTATATTAATTAGGTTTTTAAAGATAAAATATAAAATATATACTTATATTTCTAAAATTATTAATTTTTATGTGTCAAAAGAAAAATTAAGTTTCCGATGCGTTTCCACTTTTGAAACGCACGTTTCCATCGTGTTTCCAAATTGATTTTTTTAGGAAACGCGTTTCCATGACGTTTTCCCGCGTTTCCAAGAGTTTCCGATTCCGAAACGTTTCCGGGAAACGCACCTCGAATGGAGTTTTCATGCAACATAGGTTTTGGTGTTATTAATTTATCTAAGGGATCAATTGTTAAAATTATATCAATATTTTAATTGACAAAATATCTCCAAATTCCCTTAAATTACGCACTTCGTCTCTCTCTTCTTCGACTCATTGAAGCGTTGCCCTAATTTGGAGCGTTAAAGTTGGGCGAAAAATTGCATTTTCAAAGTTTATTCGCGTTGTTGTTAAGTGTTAGGTTTGAATCAACCGCTCTAGTACCAGCGGAACTGTTGATATGCTTAGCGAGAAGATGGATCTGGTGAGCAGTTTACCAGACGATGTTCGTTGTCATATATTGTCCTTCCTAACCACGAAGGAGTCTGCTTTGACATCTGTTCTGTCTAAGAAGTGGCGCAATCTGTTTGCGCTTGTCCCTAATCTTGACTTGGATGACTCTGAGTTTCTTCATCCAGAAGAGGGTAAGTGGGAAAGAGATGAAATTCTGGATAGCTTCTTGGATTTTGTGGATAGAGTATTGTCTTTGCAGGGAAATGCTCCCATTCGTAGGTTCTCCCTCAGGTGTGAAACTGGTGTTCCTCCAGCTCGTTTGAATCGTTGGTTATTCGAAGTGCTGCAGCGTGGTGTTGCGGACCTTGAACTTATCATCGAGTTCGAAGATGGTTATCTTCTGCCTCGAGAGTTGTTCGTCAGTGAGACACTAGTCAATCTCAGATTAAAATCTGAATTTGGTTGTGTTCATTGGTGGCCTGGAGCTGAAGGCACTTTCTTACCAATGCTTCAAAGTCTTGATATAGGCTGTGCGATGTTTTTTTGTGATGATAAGCTTCAGAAGCTTCTTCGTTGTTTCCCTGTGATTGAGGAATTACGGTTGGTAGGTATGGAGTGGATTGATTCTCATGTAACTGTGTCATGTGCAACCCTCACTAATCAGCTACTTGTTTGCTCCACCGGCTCCAAAACCTCTCGAAATCCAAAGAGTGTTTCTTTTGATACTCCAAATCTGCTTTCCTTAGCCTACTCTGATTTAGTTGCTGAGGACTATCCCTTAGTTAATATGAAAAGTTTATTCAAGGCTCGAATCATCCTTGGAGTAGATGAAGATCAAATCGCACGAATACGAGCCCCAAATAACTATTTGTCAGATGACGATGTTGTTCGCCGATTTGGCAATGTGGTGAAGCTCATGAAGGGCATACAAAATGTTCAGCAACTTCACTTGCATTCTGATACACTCGAGGTCAGTTTTCCATTTTCTTCTTTCTGGTCTAGTTGTGATGTATTGATTGCAAGATGATTTTAGTTCCGTGTTGTTTCTTGTTTCAGGTGCTTTCTCTGTGCTGTGAATCGATGCCGGTGTTCAACAACGTCAAAACGTTAGGCATTAAGAGTGACGACGACAGAGGATGGCAAGCGGTGCCTGCTCTTTTAAGGAATTGTCCACATCTAGAAACCCTGACCTTTGAGGTGGACTTATGAACCATGAAACTAACTACTTGGACAAAACATACAGTTCATACTTACAATAACCTTACTGTCTCTGTTTCCTGCTTATAGGGTCTCGTGCACGATGTGACAGATAAATGCGGGGATGCTTGTGACTGCATTTACAGGAAGGAAAAAGGCCGTTCGCTCAAATCTTGTCCAGTAAAAGTGGTAGAGATTAAAGAGTTTGGAGTAACAATGAAAGAGATGCACCTGATAGAGCATTTCTTGGACAATTTTCCATGTTTGAAGGAGATGAAGATCTATAGAGAAGAGTATGGTCCTTCACAGTTTAGAAACGACCCTGCAGTGTATGATCTTATCTTGGAAATGATAGAAGAGTACAAGGATTTATATAGTTGCAATGTCCAACTCTTGGAGCCGTGTGACAAGTGGACTGAACAATGAACAAAGCCCCCTAGGAATTTGATTTATCAGATCCTTGTTTTGTTGAAATTATTATTAATTATCAGATCCTGCTGGTTGGTGATACAATATTGTCGGCTCGGACTCCTGTTTTGCTTTATTCCTCAAAACTTTCTGATTGTTTTTGGTTAATTTCAAGACTTTGAGTCACACATGGGTTACTGATTTTCATACTTTGACTCAGTCTTGTGTGCATCTAACACTCTTTACATTTGATCACTTTTGTTGGTTTCAGTATATCACATTTGAGTAAATCTTGATGTTAATTGAATAATTGCAACAAGAAGGTATCATCAGGAAAAGTGGTGAAAATGAAGCCTCAGTATAAAATCCCCAAAATACCCCTAGTCTTTCTCAGTCTCTTCTTCTCTCACTGACGGCCTCATTGCCCTAATTTGAAGTGTTTAGTGCTTTGAAAATTTGCAATTTCAGTGTTGGTCTTGGAGATTGATTTGTGCAGAGAAGATGGATCTGTTGAGCAGTCTTCCTGTCGATGTTCTTTGTCATATATAATTTGAAATTCTCACATTCACAAGTTCTGTCTCAAGTGTAAAACTGGTGTTTGTCCAGTTCGTTTGAATCGTTGGATTTGTAATGTGCTGCAGCGTGGTGTTTCGGACCTTGACCTTTCCATCGATTTCAAAGATGGATATTATCTGCCTCCAGAGTTGTTCGTCTCTAGGACACTAGTCAATCTCAAATTAACATCTGCATTTGGTATTTATTGGTGGACTGGAGCTCAAGGCACTTTCTTACCAATGCTTAAAACTCTTTTTGTTAAATCAGATAGGATCTTTTGTGATACTAAGATTGAGATGCTTCTTCCTTCTTTCCCTATGCTTGAGAATTTGCTATTGGCAGACATGGAGTGGATAGATTTGGATGAAACTGTGTCAAGTGCATCCATCACTAAGCTAGTTATTAACGCCACCGGCTCCAGAAGTTTTCGAAATCCAAAGAGCATTTCTTTTGATACTCCAAGTCTGCTTTCCTTTGGCTACTCTGATATAGTTGCGGAGGACTATCCATTAGTTAATATGAAAAATTTACTCATGGCTCGAATCATCCTTATAGTAACTGACCACCAAGTCGAGCGAATTAGAGCGCCAAATGATGAATTGTTAGAAGGTGATGTTGTTCTCCAATTTGGCAATGTGGTGAAGCTCATGAATGGCTTACATAATGTTGAGGAACTTCATTTGCATTCTGATACTCTCGAGGTCAGTTATCTAGCTCGTTCTCTTCTGGTCTAGTTGTGATATATTAATTGCAAATCTCTGGAAGTAACCTGTTATTGAGATGTGTTCTCCCCTGGCTATCCAGCCCTTGGAAGGAGCGTGCATTATTATAGTTGGTTTCTTTTCTTGTTTTCAGGTGCTTTCTATATGCTGTGAATCGATGCCGGTGTTCAACAACCTCAAAACGTTAGGTATTAAGAGTCACGAGAATCGAGGATGGCAAGCAATGCCTGTCCTTCTAAGGAATTGTCCACATTTAGAAGTTCTATTCTTTGAGGTGGAATTAAAAACCATGAAACTAGTTGGATATAACAAGTGTTAAGGATACAGTTCACTTACAATAAACCTTATTGTCTTGTTTTCTGCTTTCAGGGTCTTGTGCACCATGTGACAGATAAATGCGGGGATGTCTGCGACTGCATTTATCGGAAGGACAAAGGCCGTTCGCTCACATCTTCTCCTGTAAAAGTAATAGAGATTCAAGGGTTTAGAGGAACAGTGAAAGAGATGCACATGATAGACCATTTCTTGGACTATCTTCCATGTTTGAAGAAGATGAATATCTTTATGGATGAGAATGGTCTTGCACAGTTTAAAAACGATCCTGAATTGGCTGTACTCCTCTTGGGGATGGTAGAAGAGTTCAACTAGGTATCTAGTTGCAATGTCAAGCTCATGTCGAGAACTGTCGATAGAAGAGTACAAGGAGTTATATAGTTGCAATGTCCAACTCTACGAGCCGTGTGACAAGTGGACTGAACAATGAAGTCTTTGAACAAAGCCCCCTAGGAATTTGACTTATCAGATCAGATCAGATCCTTGTTTTGTTTTAGACTTTTAGTTATTATCTATGTGTATCTTTTAATTATCAGATCCTGCTGGTGACACACTATCCTCGGCTTGGCTAGACTGATTGCCATACCTGTTTTGCTTTAGTCAGTCCTTGGAAACTTTCTGATTGTTTTTGGGTATATTTCCGGACTCTGAAATACGCATTGACTTAAGCGTTACTGCTTTTCATCCTCTGACTCAGTCTTGTGTGCATTTAACACTCTTTGCATCTGATCACTTGCTGGTTTTATTAGATTTTGCCGATATCAAATTATAAAACATTTCAGTAAAGTCTTGATGAGTTGATGTTGTTACAACAAGCAGATATCAGGAAAAGTAGTGAACATGAAAGCTTCCTTCATACGAGGAGGTCACAGTAAATGGTGAAACGAAGTCGGAGAATTTGCAGATGTGATTGCTGGCGACCAAACTACTCAATCTCCAATCCTTTTGACTCATGTCTTGTCATAGCCGCGTGATGTTATTAACTTTCTTAACTTTGCTTACATTATGGTTAGAGCAAGTCGTTTAGTGGGTTTTACTTTGTTCAGTTGAATAACTTTTCATCCTGGGCTTTTACCAAAAAAAAAACCAAACAGTAACACGTCAAATCACACCAGAAAATTTAATTAAACTTTATCGACAAAAATTCCCAAACGACCAATAAATTCCTCACTCCGTCTCTTCAGTCTCAGACGGTCGCTCTTCTCTCACCGACGCTTCATTGCCCTAATTTGAAGTGTTTGGCTCTGCGAAAATCTGCAATTTCAGTGTTGGTCTTGGAGATTGGCCTCTGTAGCAAGGTATGATTTTGCTCTTAGTCTCAAAATAAACAATCGCTCTACTACCAGTGGAACTCTTTGGTTTGGTAAATTGATTTGCTTTGCGTTGTGTATTTTTTTCTCTGCAGAGAAGATGGATCTGTTGAGCAGTTTACCAGACGAGGTTCGTTGTCTTATATTGTCCTTCCTTACCACAAAGGAGTCTGCTGCGACATCTGTTCTCTCAAAGAAGTGGCGCAATCTGTTTGTGCTTGTCCTTAATCTCGACTTTGACGACTCTGAGTTTCTTCATCCGGAAGAGGATAAGCGGGAAAGAGACGGTATTCTTCAGAGTTTCATGGATTTTGTGGATAGAGTATTGTCTTTGCAGGGCAATTCTCCAATTCGTAAGTTCTCTCTCAAGTGTGAAACTGGTGTTTCTCCAGCTCGTGTGAATCGTTGGCTATGTGAAGTTCTGCAGCGTGGTGTTTCGGACCTTGATCTCACCATTGATTTGGGATATGGTTATTCTCTGCCTCATGAGTTGTTCGTGAGTGAGACACTAGTCAATCTGAAATTAAAAGTGCTTTTGGTATTCATTGGTGGACTGGAGCTGAAGGCACTTCCTTGCCAATGCTTAAAAGTCTTTGTGTTTACTCTGGGAGGTTCTTTTGTGATGATAACTTTCAGGAGCTTCTTCCTTGTTTCCCTGTGCTTGAGGAATTACAAATGTCTCATATGCAGTGGATGGATTCTGATGAAACCGTGTCAAGTTCAACCCTCACAACGCTCCATATTACCGGCATCCGCTCTGAAAATCCAAAGAGCATTTCTTTTGATACACCAAATCTGCTTTCCTTTGTCTACACTGATTTTGTTGCGGAGGACTATCCATTAGTTAATATGAAAAACTTGTCTCTGGCTCGACTCGCCCTTATAGCAAATGACGATCAAATCAAGCGAGTAAGAGGGCCAAATAATGATTTGTTAGAGCATGATGCCGTTCGCCACTTTGGCAATGTGGTGAAGCTCATGAATGGCATACAAATGTTCAGGAACTTCACTTGTGTCCTGATACTCTCGAGGTCAGTTTTCCGTTTTATTATTTCTGCTATGCTCTGGTTGCGGTATTGTCTTACTTGTTGTTTTCAGGTGCTTTCTCTATGTTGTGACTCGATGCCAGTGTTCAACAACGTTAAAAAGTTACTTATTTACAGTGACGAGGATCGAGGATGGCAGGCAGTGCCAGTTCTTCTAAGGAATTGTCCACATTTAGATATTCTAATATTTGAGGTGGGAACACAAACCATGAAATTACTTGGACAAAGCTTGCAGTTCATACTTAACCCTGCTGTCTTGTTTCTGCTTTCAGGGTCTCGTGCACCATGTGACAGATAAATGCGGGATGCTTGTGACTGCATTTATCGGAAGGACAAAGGCCGTTCGCTCATATCTTGTCCGGTGAAAGTGGTAGAGATTAATGGGTTTGGAGTAACAATGAAAGAGAAGAACATGATAGAGCATTTCTTGGACTACTTTTCGTGTTTAAAGGAGATGAAGATCTATATCTATGTTGAAGAGGATGGTGTTATACAACAGGTTATGAAGAACCCTGAAGTGTCTAAACTTGTCTTGGATGAGATGGAAGAGTACAACGAGTTCTATAATTGCAATGTCAAGCTATTCTTCTGTAAGAAGTCGATTCCACAATGAAGTCTCTGAAGAACAAACGCCTCCTTGGAATTCGACTTGGGTTTAATTTTCTTTAATCGGCTTGAAAACCGTCTCAAACCAAACCAATTGCAAAACCTGAATCTGTTTCCTCTTTGTCTTTATCCTGATCTTACCATCTTTTGTCGGGGAATCATGTTAAATTGATTTTTCAACAGTAAATTGTTTCTTTCTGTCTACTTGTTAACCGATCTAATAATGGTTACTTGAATTGGCAAAGTTTTGCAACATTGATCAGTTTCCTTCTCCGTCACGATCAAACAAGAAAGACATTCCAGGTCTCTGCAACATCAGTACATCACTGGTTATAAACCGGACCTAACCAAGTCAATGCAGGCCAAGAAACTAGAAACAAGTAATTTGACAAACGTAACGGCCAAAAAAAATGGCGATTGTAGCCTAGGGTGATTGATTTTGACCTCAGGAGGCACATCTATATAGAAAACCATCTAATTAAACCGGTGATTTTGAAGGAACCGGATAAGTAGGACCAACGTCTTCAGTTTTCTTGAATTGGTTTTGATGTCGATAGCAGGAACAATAATAATCTTTAATTAAACCATAATTATTTGGTGTTGTTGTTTTACTTGCTCTCCATAACATTAACACATGCGTGATTGACGTTTTTTGACGGACGGTGTATAAAACACACACGTTAAATCAACCTAATATTGCGGACCAAAAGAAAATCATTTCATCGACAAATCTCCAAAATACCCCTAGCTTCCGCGTTTCCTTACCCCTCAACTGAAATACCCAAAATACCCTCCTCTTCTCCTTCCATTTTTTTCACTTTCCCAAATTTCCATTTTTTATACATCGAACGCGTTATTATTTTATAATAATAATAAAAAAAGAATGGGACCTTTTAATTCGCTACCTTGTCCGAAAACCTCAACACAAAAAGGATTCCAAAAGGTTAAAAAAAAAGAAAAAAAGAAAAAGAAATCTCCGCCGGTTTCTTCTCTCGCCGGCGTTTTGACAGTCGTCGTCACTGTTACCGTCTCAAAAGCTTACTATTTCAGTTAAAAAAAAACAATCAAAGAGCTGAGAGATCTTTGAATCTTCTTCTTCTTTCATCCTCGTCTTTCTTCCCTGATTTTATTATTATATAATAATTTGCGAAAGATCTCCAGAATTAAAAAATTGAGGGTTATCGTTGCCATCATAACGTGGTATTAGCAAAGCAGTAGTAGTGCTGATGTATTTGCTCACGACTAAGTCCCTTCCTCGTCTCTTCTTCTTCTTCTCCTTAACTAGTTTGGCTACACGATCACATTGATTCCTTCATAATCCGATTTGTTAAATTAAAGAAATCGTTTTCTTCTCTCTGTCTAACATACCTATCGGTTGAAGAAGATCTGAAGCTTAACCTTTGCTCTGTTACAGACTCTCAGGTACTGTAACATCCTTGAACTTCTTGCTTAGTTTGTGTGAGAGATTGTCTTATACTCGGAATGTGGAAGGATCCAGTTCGATTCTTGAGATTTTGATTATTTGTGGGAACATATATGGTTTGTGTGAGAGTTTGAAATTGAGCTAGTGATTTTAGTTATTCCCTCTTTTGGTGGGGTTATGATTTTGACTATAATCATTTGCCTTTCTTTATGGATAATTGAATGATTTGATTTGTTCTTCTTTAAGCTTAGATCTATTGATGATCTGTTTGTTTATATCATGATGATTTGGAGTTTAAGATCTTGTGAAAATTGTGTGATTTGTAACAATGACTAGAAGATTTGACCAGTATTACTTTTTTGCTTTCTTTCAGGGATCTGCCGGCTACAAAGTCCGGTGGATTTTGTTATTATTAGACAATGGCGTCTAATAATCATTATACAAACAGTAGATCCAATCTATCAACAAACTCTGATGCTGCTGAAGCTGGGAGGCACCAGCAGCCTGTGTCAAACACTGTCACATTTGCCCGCAGGACTGCCTCTGGTCGCTATGTCAACTACTCCAGAGATGATCTCGATAGCGAACTTGGAAGTGTTGATCTCACTAGCTATACGGTACATATTCCGCCAACTCCTGATAACCAGCCTATGGATCCGTCCATCTCTCAGAAGGTTGAGGAGCAGTATGTGTCCAGTTCCTTGTTCACTGGCGGTTTTAACAGCGTGACTCGGGCTCATCTTATGGACAAAGTGATCGACACGGAGACTAGCCATCCGCAGATGGCGGGTGCTAAAGGATCGTCTTGCGCGGTTCCTGGTTGTGATGTGAAGGTGATGAGTGATGAGAGAGGTCAAGATCTTCTTCCTTGTGAGTGTGATTTCAAAATCTGTAGGGATTGCTTTGTGGATGCTGTGAAAACTGGCGGGATGTGTCCCGGGTGTAAGGAGCCTTACAGGAACACGGATTTGGCGGATTTTGCTGATAACAAGCAGCAGCAACGGCCTATGCTTCCACCACCAGCAGGTGGGTCCAAGATGGACAGGAGATTGTCATTGATGAAGTCGACTAAGTCTGGTTTGATGAGGAGTCAAACTGGGGATTTTGATCACAATAGATGGTTGTTTGAGACTAGTGGGACTTACGGTTTCGGTAATGCTTTCTGGACAAAAGACGGGAATTTCGGGAATGACAAGGATGGGAATGGCCACGGTATGGGGCCGCAGGATCTGATGAGCAGACCGTGGAGACCGCTTACTCGGAAACTGCAGATTCCTGCTGCTGTTATTAGTCCTTACAGGTGAAAAAGTTTGTTCTAATTTCAAATTATTGCCATTTGTTCAAACTTTTACTGACACATTTGATTTTCTCGTGCAGGCTTTTGATTGTTATCCGAATTGTTGTTCTTGCGCTTTTCTTGATGTGGAGGATTAAGCACAAAAACCAAGATGCAATATGGCTATGGGGAATGTCTGTGGTTTGTGAGCTTTGGTTCGCCTTATCTTGGCTTCTTGATCAGCTTCCAAAGCTGTGTCCGATTAACCGAGCTACGGATCTCAATGTTCTTAAAGAAAAATTCGAAACACCTACACCGAGCAACCCGACTGGGAAATCTGATCTCCCAGGACTCGATATGTTTGTATCTACAGCAGATCCAGAGAAAGAACCTCCTCTTGTCACTTCCAACACCATTTTATCGATTCTCGCTGCTGACTACCCTGTCGAAAAGCTTGCTTGCTATGTTTCAGATGATGGAGGAGCGCTTTTGACATTTGAAGCCATGGCTGAAGCAGCGAGTTTTGCAAACATGTGGGTTCCTTTTTGTCGTAAACACAATATCGAGCCGAGGAATCCGGATTCATACTTTAGTCTTAAAAGAGATCCTTACAAGAACAAAGTGAAGGCTGATTTCGTTAAGGATCGGAGACGGGTGAAGCGTGAGTATGATGAGTTTAAGGTTAGGATCAACAGCTTGCCTGACTCCATCAGGCGCCGTTCTGATGCTTACCACGCAAGGGAAGAGATTAAGGCCATGAAGCTGCAGAGACAGAACAGAGATGATGAGGTAGTAGAGCCAGTTAAGATTCCTAAAGCTACATGGATGGCTGATGGTACTCATTGGCCTGGCACTTGGATAAATTCTAGTCCTGATCATTCCCGTAGTGACCATGCTGGTATCATTCAGGTACAATTGGTTAAGTTCAGTTATTTCATACTTATTTGGTTTGGAGCATTTTATTTCATTCATAACTGAACTGGAATTTGACGAATTGTGAATTATCTTGAAAAAAATTCGGTTTGATTTAGTTTGACGAATTTTGGTTACTTTAGGTTTAACAATTTTGCTTCCTATATGGTTTGGCTCAGTTTCTATGCCATCTCTAAGATCAATGTTTTTCAAATTTTTTTGATAAATGCAGGTGATGTTGAAGCCGCCGAGTGATGAGCCATTACATGGAGTGTCTGAAGGGTTCTTAGATCTTACAGATGTTGACATTCGTCTTCCGCTTCTTGTCTATGTTTCGCGTGAGAAGCGACCGGGTTATGATCATAACAAGAAAGCAGGAGCCATGAATGCGCTGGTCCGAGCTTCTGCAATTATGTCTAACGGTCCATTCATACTCAATCTTGATTGTGACCATTACATATACAACTCTCAAGCTTTAAGAGAAGGAATGTGTTTCATGATGGATCGAGGTGGTGACCGGCTTTGCTACGTTCAGTTCCCGCAACGGTTTGAAGGTATTGACCCATCAGATCGTTATGCGAATCATAACACAGTCTTCTTTGATGTGAACATGAGAGCTCTTGATGGTTTGATGGGTCCGGTTTATGTCGGAACGGGTTGTCTCTTTAGAAGAATCGCGTTGTATGGATTCGATCCGCCCCGGGCTAAAGAACACCATCCCGGATTCTGCAGTTGTTGCTTCTCTCGCAAGAAGAAGAAAAGCCGTGTCCCAGAAGAAAACCGATCTTTGAGAATGGGTGGTGACTCAGATGATGATGAAGAGATGAATCTTTCTTTAATTCCGAAGAAATTCGGAAACTCCACTTTCCTCATCGATTCAATCCCGGTTGCCGAGTTCCAAGGTCGTCCTCTTGCGGATCACCCAGCTGTGCAAAACGGACGACCACCCGGAGCTCTCACCATTCCTCGCGAGCTTCTCGATGCATCAACTGTGGCAGAAGCCATAGCCGTCATCTCTTGTTGGTACGAGGATAAAACCGAGTGGGGATCTCGGATCGGTTGGATTTATGGATCTGTCACGGAAGATGTGGTCACAGGTTATAGAATGCATAACCGAGGCTGGAAATCGGTTTACTGTGTGACCAAAAGGGATGCTTTCCGTGGCACAGCTCCAATCAACTTGACGGATAGGCTTCACCAGGTTCTCCGATGGGCTACTGGCTCGGTAGAAATCTTCTTCTCAAAAAACAATGCCTTCTTTGCTAGCCCAAGAATGAAAATCCTCCAGAGAATCGCTTACCTAAACGTCGGAATCTACCCGTTCACATCATTCTTCCTCATAGTCTACTGCTTCCTCCCCGCTCTCTCCCTATTCTCAGGCCAATTCATAGTCCAAACACTCAATGTCACATTCCTTGTCTACCTCTTAATCATCTCCATTACACTCTGCTTACTCGCTCTCCTCGAGATCAAATGGTCAGGAATCTCACTCGAGGAATGGTGGCGAAACGAGCAGTTCTGGCTCATTGGAGGAACAAGCGCTCACTTAGCCGCGGTTATCCAAGGGCTGCTCAAAGTTGTTGCTGGAATCGAAATCTCATTCACATTGACATCTAAATCCGGAGGAGAGGATGTAGATGACGAATTTGCGGATCTGTACATTGTGAAATGGACATCCCTCATGATCCCACCAATCACAATCATGATGGTGAATCTCATAGCGATCGCTGTCGGGTTTAGCAGGACGATATACAGTGTGATTCCGCAGTGGAGTAAGTTGATTGGAGGGGTGTTCTTCAGTTTCTGGGTACTGGCTCATCTTTATCCATTCGCTAAAGGGCTAATGGGAAGAAGAGGAAGGACTCCGACTATTGTATATGTTTGGTCTGGACTTGTTGCCATCACCATTTCTCTGCTTTGGGTTGCCATTAATCCACCTGCTGGTTCCACTCAAATCGGAGGATCTTTCACTTTCCCATGATTCATAGGTCTGGTTTCTCAAAATTCTCTATCTTTTTATCCTCTACAAAGATGGAGACAGAGATAGGCCAAGAAACACAAAAGTATAGTTGAGCCAAAGATAGAGCAAGTCAAGAACTTCTCTCACTGTCTTTTTTTTTTTCTGTTGAAAAAGGACATTTTTTATTTGTCTTTTTAAATTTTTGTAATCTGTTGATGGAATTATTTATGCTACTACTGTTAATCTACAATTACTTTCAATTTAAATCAATTGCCAGAGTTTTAATTGGTTGATTGCTTCATAAACCTTTTAAGAACTAAAACGGGTCGGGTTATTGGGTCAAGTTATCCAGAAACCGATCCATTAAGCTAAACCCGTAAATGACTGTCCCGCCGAAACCCTACCTAAACCTTGAGAACCTTGTCGTCGAGATTTCTAATGGCAACAGATATTCCGGCTTCGAATTTCTTCTTCTCCAAGCCAATTTCTTCTACATAAATCACTTTTTTCTTACAGCATTCTCGAATCTCGAAGAACCCTAAGTCTCGTTTCCCAGAAAATAATGGCTCAGAAATGTGCGATTGGTTTGATTTCAGCCCTAGCAGCATCAGCTTCTCTTGCGCAATCTAAAGTCGCTTCTGCAGATGGTCCTTTCAATATCTCTGGATTCTCTACTTCTGCGAATCCTCAGCAGCAGCAGCCGTCTCAAACTCAGAAGCCACCGTCGACGGCTGGTGAAGAATCTTCAGCTCCTCCGCGAGCTCGGAATGATAATCCGAGGACGAGTTCCGGTGGTTTCGATCCGGAGGCACTGGAGCGAGGTGCTAAAGCCTTAAAAGAGATTAACAAGTCCTCTTACGCGAAAAAGGTTCAATTTTCTCTCTTTCTATAGTTAGGAATTTTGTGGAATCGAATCATGCTTAGGTTTAGGAAAGGCTACATAGGAAGGTTTCTCTACCTGATAAGAGTTATATTTACTGATTCTTCGTTTAGTGAAGTGAAATCTGAGAAATGGATTCTTTTAGGTTATAATTTGTATGATGAACCTAAAAATGATGGGTTTGAGCTTGAAAATGGTAGCACTCTGTGTTGGATCTCAGAATTGTTCTATTTCTGTGTGTTTACCAGTTGTGGTTGAGCTCACAGTTGTTGTGTATTTGGTTCTGGTAGGTTTTTGAAAGTATTAAGCAGCAAGAAGAGACAAAGCAAACTGAGTTTGCAACCAAGGCGCAAGAGTTTAAAGCTATGCAAGCACAAGCTGAAACTGTGAGATCATCTAACCTTGAGTTTATTATCCATTATTTGGATGTCTGTTTATATATTTTTGAATAATGGTGTTACAACTAAAGTTGAAAATAGTGTCTTGTGACAAAACCTGCTTCCAGTGGTCACTATGAGACATATTTTCTGCATCAATATCATTATTCGGTTTAGCTGCTTCTTGGCAACGAAATTGTGTGCCTGACATATTCCATTTTACAGGAGAGGCATAAGGTTATATATGATGAACAGAAAAAACTTGCTCAGCACCAAGCACAGACAAAATCACAGATGGCCCGTTATGAAGATGACTTGGCAAGAAAGAGGATGCAGGCATGTAATTCTCAAAACAATTTTTCAACACTGGTAGCTTCTTTTTTTCTCTCTAACAGCTTTTGTTATGTGATGTGTGTGTATCGTTTTACAGGCCGAGAATGAGTTCCATAGAGCAAGAAATCAAGAACTTGTGAAAATGCAAGAAGATTCGGCAATTAGGCAGGAACAAGCTCGACGAGCTACTGAGGAACAGATCCAGGCGCAGAGACGACAAACTGAGAGGGAGAAGGCTGAGATTGAACGTGAGACCATCAGGGTCAAAGCTATAGCAGAAGCGGAAGGAAGAGCCCATGAAGCTAGGCTTGCTGAAGATGTAAACAGAAGAATGCTTGTTGATCGTGCAAATGCAGAAAGAGAGAAATGGGTTGCTGCCATAAACACAACATTTGACCATATTGGAGGTGTGAGATTTATATCCATACATGGAAATCATCTTTTTTGTTGTCTAGATTCTTGTTGGCTTCAGTCATCTTTTTTGGCAGGTTTTAACTAGACATGGAAAATCCCTGTGTAGACCCATTTCCAATTAAAGTCTTAGTGATCGGGTGCCATGAATTTGTGATTAGAATAGATGTGTGACCTCGTAATCTATACATTGCACAAATAAATGGAAATACTAATTGTTTTAACAGGTGTTTGACACTTTATTCTTGTTTTTCTAGGCGGTTTACGTGCAATTCTGACGGATCAAAATAAACTGGTTGTTGCTGTTGGGGGTGTAACTGCTCTAGCAGCTGGAATCTACACAACGAGGTAAAGACTAGATATGTAGTCTGAATGTTGAGGAAGAAAATGCCATAATCGGGAGTTCTTGTTGTTGAAGGGTTGAGGAAGTGTTTATGCCATTGACTAGCAAATTTCTTGTTTACATTTCTTGATTATATTACCTGTCAGTCATTTTTTATACAATAGTGAAATATAGACTTAGCTGGTTGCTGGATTGCTTGTTGCAGAGAAGGTGCAAGGGTCATCTGGAGCTATGTGGACAGAATATTAGGACAACCATCGTTAATCCGAGAATCATCAAGAGGCAAGTACCCTTGGTCTGGTTCGCTTTCTCGTGTAATGTCCACATTGCGGGGTAAGGAGCCAGCTTCCAAAAGTGGACAAGGGTTTGGTGATGTTATTCTGCATCCTCCCCTACAAAGGAGAATTGAGCACTTAGCTAATGCAACCGCCAACACAAAACTCCATCAGGCTCCTTTCCGAAATGTGCTTTTCTACGGTCCTCCAGGAACAGGAAAAACAATGGCTGCCAGAGAGCTGGCTCGTAAATCTGTATGCATTCTTTCCATATACATTTACGTTATTATAAAAATTGTTATAAGACACCCAAATGGACGATTGAGTCTCTAGCAGATACAGTTAGGACGGTAGAGCAAAAGATGGTAGTTACTGATTTCCAAATACATCTGAAAGTTGAACTTGAGCTCTTAGTTTTAGGTTGCTCATGAGATTCTCGGAGTTTTGTTCCTTCACTATTCTTATTTTCCTAATGTCCGTAATTCGTGTAGGGTTTGGATTATGCACTGATGACTGGTGGAGATGTTGCTCCCCTTGGATCTCAGGCTGTTACAAAAATTCACCAACTGTTTGATTGGGGCAAAAAGTCTAAGAGAGGTTTATTGCTCTTCATTGATGAAGCCGATGCATTTTTGTGCGAGTAAGTGCTATTACTCATATCATATCACAGGCTGATCATTTCAACTGTTTGTTTATGGTTTTAATGTGTTCATCGGAATTTAACAGGAGGAACAAAACATACATGAGTGAAGCCCAAAGGAGTGCTCTAAATGCTCTTCTCTTTCGCACGGGTGATCAGTCCAAAGACATAGTCTTAGCACTTGCTACTAACCGACCTGGTGACCTAGACTCAGCTGTGGCTGACCGTGTCGATGAAGTTCTTGAATTCCCCTTACCTGGAGAAGAAGAGCGGTTCAAGCTTTTAAACCTATATCTAGAAAAGTACATAGCTGAGGCTGGTCCAAAAAAGCCGAGTTTGTTCGACCGCCTCTTCAAGAAAGAACAGCAGAAGATCGAGATAAAGGGTGTCACTGAGGAGCTCTTAAAGGAAGCAGCTGCAAAAACCGAAGGGTTTTCAGGTAGAGAGATTGCGAAACTGATGGCAAGTGTTCAAGCAGCTGTTTATGGAAGTGAGGACTGCGTGTTGGACTCTGTGCTATTTAGAGAGGTTGTTGAGTACAAAGTTGCAGAGCATCAACAGAGAAGAAAATTGGCTGGAACGGACTCGAAATGATGAGATATAAACCCAAAAATTAATCAAATGGTGATACTTCAGACTTTTGCCAAGATGCACAAAATCTCTCATGTTGGTTAGGAAGTTTTAGCAGAGATTTTAATTCCTATTGTTTCTCCTTTTTTGGTGAAGGAGAGGTTTTGTGCTTGTCTTATTGCTTTAAATCATTGGTCTGCTTTAAATCATTGGTCTGACTGACCAAGCTCAAACTAAACTAGTTTTTACTTAAAATTGAGAAATATCTAAATATCTCGTTAAAGATTGTAACGATAATAATAATAGTATAATACTTTGGTTTTAAAAGACAAATATATATACAAAATATCTCAATTCATTTCTCAAACATTGATCAAATTTGGATTCGTGATAACTTTATGTAGCGTGGCTTGTATTCTTCTTAGCTTCGCACACAGGGGCGAGCATCACCATTTTTATTACTTCCGATGATTGATGATGATGATCATCTTGTTCAGACAAATCTGAAACGCAGGTTCTTACGAGATGGAAATCACGTTATGATAGTAAAATGTGTAATCAAAATCAAATAGTGATCACATCACAGTTAATTATCCTCATCTAGCTTTTTTGACGGTAATGCATTTAAAAATAAAAACCAAAAGACATATTTCCACGCGCCTTTTATTTAAATTTTGCTGAAAACGACGAAATCCCTGGACTATATAGTCCAGCCGTTTGGGCTCCGTGGCGTTGACGCGCTATTGGTGCGCGTTGGATTTATTTTTATGTTCGCGTCTTCAATTTAAGTGGCACATGCGCCTCACGTGCAATTGGATTCCATAGGCCTATTAGTGGGCTTTATGGGCCCTATAAGTCTAGTAAAATCTTGTTGGGCTCACAATTTGTAGGGTTCTTCCGCTTTTAATCAGCTTAAACGCATCATTTAGACGAATTTTCAAGAGAGAGAAAAACTCAATAATTTGTATTTATTTAAATATTTAAATTTCATATGATCTTTGGTAAACAAAAGGGGGCCATTACTCGACACTGGTTATATAGCAAACCCCAAGCTTTTTATTGAGCTCAATAGCATTGAAAACATGACGAATGATACCAGATATTGGATGTTACAACATGACGAGTGCTCAAGTGAGATCAAACAATACCAAACTTACCAGACTTTGATCGAATCCTTTATTAGATATTATAGTTGAAGATGTCGAGGCACCATAAAAACAATACACAAACATGAAAATGCAATTAAAAAGGGAGAGAGACCAGCGATTAACTTTCAGAATTTGGCTTAGTGGTGATGATCTTGAACATAGCGAAGGCCGCAGTACTTGCAGATCGCAGGCTCATCTAGGTCGAGGCATATGAACTCGATTGGATGACCCAGGGCCGGATTGGTGTCTGCAAGTTATACAAAAGTCAATTCATATATCACTTTCTGTTTTGCTCATTTAGACAATCGCACTAAATCAAATATCTTGAACCACTGAGGAGAAGAGGAGACAAACCTCCTTCACAAGCAGCAATCCTTCCATCAACTTTGATAGGTGGAACCTCACTGATCAGTTCCATAGGTGATTTCTTGCTTCTATCCTGTAGAGATTAGTTCCTTAACCGCATTAATTAAAACTACCAGGAACGTGTCAAAAGTAAACAAAATGTGATAAACAAACTTCACAATATATCAGAAAAAGGAGTGGTATAGAGCCTATGCAATTTCTATTATATATACAGGTTTGAAAGTCTCACCAAACTAAACAATTCACTAAATTAAATCATTAGTTTTCAACGAAAGCAGAGCTGCCATCTTTAACTAAGGATAGTATGTGATGATTGATGAATGATCTCTTCATAATTTTATCAAGCATTGATAACAAGGGTAAGATGATCTGGTGTCAAAGAGTAGTGACAAAATAAAAGGAGAAAGCTCAAACCAACTTATTGATTTGACTAACAAATTTAAAGTTAACAGTAAAATAGCATACGTAACTTTCCAAATTCCAAAATTAATCAGCGAAAGGAACTAACTCCAAGATCATAACTGTGAAGGTAATGGTTATGACGATTAACCTATTTAAAATATGATTTGAATAGCTTATTACACATGTAAAATAAGATAGACAGAAGCATCTTATACCACAAATAAATGCACCAGATTATAACCAACTCATCAGGGAAGCACCAAACTAAAGCTATCTCAGTTTTGTACTCCCATTCTGCTCTCAAGCCCTTAGGCTTATTTATTATTTGGTACTAGATTATGGTTAAAGACTGATGTAAAAACATAGGCATATCAATAACGAGAAGATTTTAGCGCATATAGTTTTCAATAACTTTTCATCAGTTAACAACAAGTTCTCCATGTAATAGTACAGAAAAAAGCAGTAATACTTGTCAAACATAAACCTAATGTCCTCAAAATCCAAACAACTTCTAAGCAGTTTCTAGCAGATATCATGACTTTATGAACACTGATCCAAAATCGAAACAAATTTCTTCAGTTATTCAAACGACTAGAGAGTAGAGAGACTCACTAGCAACAAATTTCAGAAATGAACATTTTCCTGTGATTTCCAAAATCCAGTTCATATGCCAGGAATATAATTTCAGAAATTTAACAAGAATGAATCGAAAATCAAATCGTAAAGATGCCAAATCACGATCTAACCCTAGGGGAGATCACCGAGACTAATTCCCCGACGCAAATTAGTGTAATTCCCAGACTAAATTCACGAAATACGTCCTTGTACAGATTTATTCACGGTAAGGACTCATGATGGCGAAGAGTACCTGCATCCATTTGGCGGTGTGATTGCCGACTAGATCGTCTGTTGGAATGCCAAGTTGTGTGGTCGCCACACTAAAATTCCTCCTCGAAGATGGAAGAATCTGCGATCGGATTAGGGCTTTCAGGAGATTTGACGCCATTGCTTCCAACACCGAGAAAATCACAAGTTCTACTATCGAGAGAGAGAGAGAGCAGAGAGATTGGTCGTGAAGCGCTACAGGAAGAACGAGTTTACTTGGGCCTTCCTTATAACACAAAAGCCCACTTATTTGAAGGGCCTTTGAGTTTTATAAATTTTTAATTTATTGGAAAATGCAAAACTAAAAGGGAAAAAATCCGAAAAAAACGTAATCTATTTTTTATTTGGCCGTTTAATACACGAGTTTTAAAATTGGAATAAAAATATCACTTTTAATTGTTGTTGTCTTTTAAATTCTTTGTTTTTAAAATTTTTGGTAGATTCGTACCTCCGCGTTAACGATGGTAACGGAATTGCCAACTGCAGTTAAAATTTAACCCGCCTGGTTCTGAGATCACAACAAGAAAGCAGGAACCATGAATGAATGCTTTGGTTAGAACCAGCGCAACGCTATCATATCCTCAATCTTGATTCTGACCATTACGTCTACAACTCCATGGCTATGTCTAATCAATTCCCTCGGAGGTTTCGATGTGCAAACCACATCATTGTCTTCTTTGATGGTACTATGTTAGTATGAAGTCTGCAAGTCTTTGTATCTTCCGGAAAGAGCCATTAACAGTCGGAGGGAAACTTACCGGGAATGTTTTTGGTGGTACTGGTAGGCGTTTTGTTTTTGAGGATTATAAGCAAGTTATGCAGAGAAGAAGCAGAGAGGAAAAGAGTTTTTGGTAACTAAAAATGCAGTGGAATGATTGGCATTGCTTCTTCTTATACGAGATTGTGTGTGTGTGTGTGGCGTTTGATGTCTCATGTTGGAGAGGTGGTCGTGTTTAGAGTGTTAGTGTTTAGTTCTGTTCTTCTGTTGATCTGTTTCTATGTAAATCAAACAAATCTATCTTCTGAAAGGGACTACTGTTATGATATTATGGTTTACACAAGACAATAAGAAAAAGATACATAGTTACAACTTCTACCAAGTAAGCAACATAAACAACAATTAATGAGCGACGATTTTGGTATTGAATTGAGTTTTGTCACAAACACATCAACGAACAAACAAATAATAATAACACACAACAGCAGAAGCACAAGATGATTAATTGTCTCTTTGATCAGAGATGATGTTACAATTCTGTAGAGAGACACCATTTTTACTGGTATGTAAGCAATTTAGAACCTAGATAAGAAAACAACCTCACAGAATTCACATAACTTAACTCCGCAAGCTCTTCCTTCTTCATGTTTGACAGGTTTGCAACATAATCTAGTACCTGTTCATCACGGAACATATCAGACAAGTAATGTGTAATCTAATCAGCAGAAACAAGAAAAAAAGTCAAACGACGATAATAACATACAGCAAGAATGTTTGCAGGCTCATTGAGAGTTGGTTTTGGATCAGAAGAACTCTCATCTGATTTTGGTAACCCGTCAGGTGAGTCCGTCTCCAATAAGAACCTATCGGAAGGAATCTACACCAGACCCGGTAAAAAGGTTAAAAAAGAAAAAATTCAAATACTTCCAGAAGTTGTATAGTTACAGAGGGAAAAAAAAACAAACCGATTTCAAAGTCTTCTTTGCAATTTTCTCATCAATGTAAGTGAACCAGCCAGAAAAAGAGAAGTATGCACCAAGCTCAGCGAGTTTAGGAACAACCTCAGCTGAACCATTGAATGAATGAAGAATCACACCAGCAGGAAAAGGCCCTACGGATCTGCGTGTATTTATTTCGAGAAACTTAGTGCAATATCTTTGTAAATGCAACATATAGATATGTATATATACATACCTCATTATCTCTAGGAGATCATCAAATGCATCGATGCAATGAACTGCTACTGGTTTGTTCAGTTCTTTTGCAAGTTCAAGCTGTGGGCGAAACACGACTAGCTGGTCTGAGTAATCAATTCCTCCTGCTAAGGGACCTTTGTCCAAACCAATCTGCAAAAACACGTAAAATTTTATGATGAGATCTCAGCCAAAAAGGGGTTTCAATACACTCTAAAATATCATATATTACCACATATCATTTTCCGGTTTATACTTAATCTTGAAACAACAAAGTAAACATTTCCGAATTCAGAAAAAAATTTAAAGACATAGATTTTAGTTTAGTGGAATAAGAGATAAAGACACTAACTTCTCCAACAGCAGCAGTAGGAGTGGTCTCAAAGAACTTCTTCAATGTCTTAAACCAATGAGGGCTTCTATCAGCAATAAACCTGCAAACCAAACACAGAGAAAAGAAAAGGAATAAACTTTGATCTGAAACTTTTTGCAACATCTACATATAAAATCCATACCAAGGATGAAGTCCAAAGCAAGGAACAACAGAAGGATACGTCTCTCCCATCTCTTTCACCAAGTCCCAATCTTTCTGTCTCCATAAACAAACCCCGTTTAAAATATGTATACATGAGTATAGTAGATAATGGTGACTAAACGATCAGGAAAATTTGGGAACATACCTCGGAGGTTCCATTGACTGCGAAATTGGTAACACCGACAGCTAAAGCAGCAGATATGAGCTGAGAGGCTTTGTCAATGACCCTCTTGTCTTGGAGGTGACAATGAGCATCAAACAACTTCATTTTCACCGTGAGGTTCTTGGTTCTAACAGATCCTTGTGACTTCTTACTTCTCTTTTGAGGTTGTGGAGAGACATATATATATATAATAGATGGTTTATGTACCTGTGTTTATAGCCTAACCCTAAAGATATGGTTTCATCATATGATCAATACAAAAAGAGTTGACTTTTGAAATAGTTTGAGGTTTAAGAGACGCTACAAAACTCTGATCTGGATTTACTTGAACTTGAAGGCTGAATGACTAACCTTGGTGTTTAACAGATTATTTAGAGTAAACAAATACTTTTCTTATTAACCTAACTTGTGTCAGATTAGAGTAAGGAATAAAAATAAGAGTTATCTCTAGCTGTGATATTATTAAGAACAAAACAAAGACAACTCATATGTTTTGTCAAACGCACATACAGAGGCAGGCATGTCTTGAAAGATGGGTTTGTTCTGTGGGCATTGACTTTGTTGGTTTCAAGACCACCTGAAGACCAAAAAAGATGAAATGTATACGAGATAATACTAGATGAAACCGACTCTGCATCTAGTTGTTCTTTGATCTGCCCAATGAAAACTTCATGAACAAACATTTCTTCAAGCTTAAACACAAGCAATCATGATTTCCTCTAATGTGATCTTAGTTAGCTCAATGAAACCCATTTTCAAATATATTTAATGTGGCAGCATCATCAATCTAAAGCTCTAATGCCAGAAAAAGAAGATCATAAGTTTGTGAGCAATCCCTTTTAAAACCACAGTGTTGTTATCAAGAGAGTTAAACAAAGTATTGTCAAATCACTTTCCAAAAAGTTGTTTTTTGATCCTTTGTTTTTACTCTATGAAAACAGAATCGCTTAACGAAACATTGCCAGCACAAATTCACAAAATTATGTGTTCTTTTGGTGACATGAATGGATTTCCAGTAGAATCAATTGTATCTTAAAAAAAAACAACAACTTTCATCAGATTGAGAGAAGAAGACGAAAAAATAAATAATAACATAAGAGAGGAGCTAGCAACATGTATACTATTTCACTTTTTTTAGAGTTTTTCAACCAATCAGAAGGCTCTATTTCACAACCACTCGCACACTTTGTGCGTTGCGCGAGTGAGAGCAATTCTGTGGGTGTACCCTTTCGACATCATGCCTTTTTCAATCGACGCACTTGTCTCCAAAATCCCCATCGCGTGAATATTTTTTTGTTTTCTTCTCTTAACCAGTGTAAACCGAACCCAAAATCAATTCTAATTTCAATACCATTTAAATCAATTTTAATTTCAAAACCAATGTAAATCGGAATAATTTCTTCTCCCTCCGACGAATAATTCTCAACATCCCAAAGGGCGAAATGCGTTTCAAACGTACCTCGAAGAAGAAGAGCGTTTCCGGAGCCAGAATTAGGTTCTACTTACCTTTTCACATCCTCAGCTACCTCATATATATGCCAACCCAAGGTTCATTCTCCCCAAGCGCAGCTCCATGGACATTGTATGAGTTTGGGAGAACCATAACCAAATTGTACTAGTGACCTAAACCATGCCACAAAACAGAGTTATTAAAGTGATTCACGATCTAAAGTCTCGGACAGATGTATTCGGGATGCGAAAGAGCTATAAAACTAATTACGGTAAAGATAATCGCCAAGAGTACCTGCATCCATTTTAGGAGATTCGACGCCACTGTACATGAAGAGTCTATCGAGAAAGAGAGAGATAGAGACGAAATTGTTCGCGAAGCTCTCTCTACCAAAGAACACCACCTTTATTTGGGCTTTACTTATCACAAAGGCCCACTTATTTGAAGCACATGTAGGCCCTTGTGCTCTTTGACTTTTTAATTACTTACTACAACAAAGGCCCTTGACTAATGAAACATCATAATATATCCGTACAAAAATTGTGAATTTCTATTATTTATATAGGTACAAAATTGTAGAATAAACCAATCAAAGAATCAAACCAAACAACCAAAATGCAAAATTGTAGTTACTCCTACGAAACAGAGGCTTTATTTTCAAGGAAGTCAAGTAGAAGAATGAATAATCTTAAAACTTCCGACACAACTAAACAAATTCTTGTAACTCATTCTCCAACTAAAGACGTCTGATTCATTCAGGAGCAACCAGTATGAGTTGTTTGCCGACGTTCTTACCATGGAACAGTCCAAGCAAAGCTGAAGGTCCGTTCTCCAGTCCTTCAACTACATCCTCAACATAAGTTATCTTCCCTTCTCTTATATACGGAAGCACAAAATCCAGGAACTTTAAGTGCTTGTCAAAGTAATCAGACACCACGAACCCTTGAATCCGAATCCGCTTGTAGATCACGTTTGCTAGGTTGTGTACACCTTCCTGGTCCTCAAGGTTGTACTGTGAGATCATACCACATACTGCGATACGGCCGTGTAGCTTCATATTTAGGAGCACTGCGTCTAGCATTTTGCCTCCTACGTTCTCAAAGTATATGTCGATTCCTTCCGGGAAACACCTGGTGAGAAAAAAGATATCATAGTTTTGAATCAGACCTCTATATCACAACGCGATATGATACGAAAAGAAGAATTTACTGACCTCTTCAGGGCAGCATTAAGGTCTTGCTCTTCTTTGTAATTGAATGCGTCATCAAACCCGAACTTGTTCTTGAGAAGATCAACCTATAACAAAACTCAACAGAAAAAGAAAAGAGGGGGCAAGTGAGTCTCTTGATAGAAAGACAAGACATTATTAACCAATCAAGTCTAAATTATTGTTTGTTAAGGTAATAGATAAATAGCTAAGAGTCCAAGAAAAGTCTGGTTACCTTTTCATTACTACCTGCACTTCCAACGACATAGCAGCCCATAATCTTTGCAAATTGTCCCACGAGCTGACCAACTGCACCAGACGCAGCTGACACGAAGACGGTTTCTCCTTTCTTAGGAGAACAGATTTCGTAAAAGCCAGCATAGGCAGTCATACCAGGCATACCTGTCAGAAACAGAGTAATGCTTCTAAGACCACTAGTAAACTACTGAAACTTGTAGAGTTTCGAACAATGTTATTAGATATATTAGAAACCAAAGAAACTATTCTACATGATTAGGAGCCACTGTGCAGTGAAGCATACATTATAATCCAAGATCAGAACAGTCTATCATGCCAATAATCATAGAGAAAAGTATACATACCGAGAAGTCCAGTGTAGTAGGATAACGGAACATCGGTGTGTTGGATCTTGTAATGTGAGAAATCTGGAGTTATAAGACTGTACTCCCCCCATCCAACTAATCCCCAAAGTAAGTCTCCCTTTTTGTAATCTGGATGCCCAGAATCTATCACTTTTGACACTGAAAACCCATAAATTGGCTGCAAACAACACACCAAAAAGCTTTAGCACCAGAGACAGTAAGAGAAAATCCATCTAATAATAAAGGTACAATTTCTTTCTATCACACAGTATTCAAAAGAAGCATTGCAATGTTTCTGAATTTTAAAACAACGTTTCCAAATCCATCTCTGTTTTAATAGTGAAATTGTTTTCCAAAAACGTGGGTAACAAACAACCTCGAAACGTAACAAAATCATGTTAATCCGTAACAATCCAGAACATGCGTAAACTATGAACGTCGTTTTTGTACCTCGCCGGGAATGTAAGGTGGAGCAAGCGCAGCAGTACCGGGATCGGGAATTCCCATGCGAATGCGCATGTAAGGATCGCAAGACAAGTAGAGATTCTTCACCAGAACCGTCTTCGATCCCTCCGGAATCTTTAAATCGATGGTGGAATCGGTGAAGATGAGGTCTGATTCCTTGGGGAAACCGGTGACGTAATCTCGCAGTATGACCTGCTTGTTGGTCACCGTCGCATTGCATGTGGTTGCCATTTTTCTCTCCGGTTTAGGTTCCTTTACCACAAAAGATGATTTTTTGTGTTCTTTTTACGTTAGAGGACGTGTTTGTATTTATAGGCTTTTGTGAATCGTAGTACGATGATAGCCACAAACCGCTAAAAATATAAACAATGATTTTTTTTATTTATGTTTCCTGTTATGACGTCATAATATGTTTCGTATAATAATAATCAGTGACGACGTTAAAATTTTGAATCTCACATTATTTTCATACATTCACAAAATTTTGAACGCGTATCTTCTTACATTTTAAAATACAAATTAAGCAAACTTGTCCAACGCACCAAATTTTGCAGCGAGATGCAACCATTCTTTAAAAGTTATCCAAACAGTGACAATTCCGCGGTAAATGGCTGACTCCACCTGCGGCTGGTGCGTTTGCGATTCAGATCCTCAAGCAATGAAGCAGCAGAGAAAGTGGAGCTAAGATGAGAAACCTTTTAGAGACATTTGGCTTCAATTTCTTCAAGAGTGAGACCCTTTGTCTCTGGCACTATGTAGTATATGAAGAAGAGAGACACTACACATATCACTCCAAATGCAAAGAACAAGATTCCAGCTCCTAACAGCTCCTGCAAACAATACCAAGTGAGCTAATTAGACCTCCAAAGTTCGATAATCTCTCCGGGAAAACCAGAAGATAACAAGGAACTAACAAGATGTATGAGAGCTAAGTGAGGAATCTCTCGTTATACATTGTTCTTCCAAAGTTATAGCTTAGTTCTATGGAAAATATATATATAGAAAAGAAGTTTCTTTACCTTTAGAGGTGAGAAAGCGAATGTCACGAGTGCGTTTGCTCCGAAATTCACAAGAACTGCTAGACTGATTCCTCGACCTCTTAATTTTAAGGGAAATATCTCTGAAATCATCAGCCAACCAATAGGGCCAAAGGATAGCTGCAAGATTGATGCAAAACCTCTTTAAATCATATCAATTTTTTTAAGGAAAATACAAAGCCGTATATGACATTGCTCGGAATGGAACTTTGATCAGAAAAATCTGTAAGAAAATTTAACCTGGTAACAGCCTACATACAGTAGCAATGCAGCTACAGCAACAGCTGGTACAGTTTTATAAAAGATGTAGTAGGACCCCAGGAGGAACAATGAGATCACCTGTTACACAATTGAATATACATGAGTAAATTTCTGGATCGTTTAGCTTCTGTCTCATGTAATCGAAAAGACAGTGAACATGTGGAACTTATTGGAACAAACAACTAAAAAGAGAAGACATAAGAATACCATGCCACTAACACCACCAAGAAGTAAAGGTCTCCTTCCAGCTCTGTCAATAACTATCACAGAAACTCCTGTCATAACCAACTGCAACAGTAAAGGATCACATCAAGTGGTCGAAAGGAATAATTCATTTATACTTACTACCTCTAACAATAGTACCAGTTGTACTACAGCACGTATCAATCCTTTCTTAATTTTTTTCTAAAAGGATCTGACACGTCAAACCAGATGGAAGAAAATGAATACCTTCAATAGACCGAGCAGAATTGAAATCCGAGTTGCATCAGCTGCAGCAGAAAACCCGGCAGTCTAACAGGTAATTTTTATGGTAAAAAAAAGTTAAGATTCTCTCACGAGTTTCCTCCTAGTGCAAAAAATTCAACTTAAGTAGAGATGAAAAGAAAAACCTGTAGTATTGATGGTGCATAATAAAGTACACTTGGTTGCCCAGTAATCTGTCATTCGAAAAGTAAAAATATATTCAGTTATTGTTCATTTTCTTAAGGAACATTTGATGAATTGACTGCACCAACCTGTTGGAACAAGACCAACCCTCCTGCTATAGTGAGAGCTTTCAAGCATTTGCCTCGAAATAATTCACCAAACGTAGCATCTTTGTCCTCACCCACAAAGGAAAGTTCAGCCAAGATCTCGTTTACTTGTTCAGCAGCTGAGTCAGCAATGACAGACCCTCTAAGGCGACGAAGAGACCTAGTTGCAGCCTGTTGAAGATTCTCCACATTCCCTTTTCCCTGGAGAGCGCGCAATAAAAGCCACCTCGGAGATGCTGGTAGCCAACACATTCCAATTCCCATAATAACTGGCAAAGGGAGAATTGTTGCGTACATGTAACGCCAACCAGAAATAACCGTAACCCAAAGGCTACCGATTCCATAACCTCCCTTCACAAAATTCTGTGTGTCAGTTTAACTTGGTAGACAAAAAGGTTTCAAAAAGGAACGAAGCAAAACTGTAACTTTAAACTGGGCAACAAATTTCCAAAATCCTCAGAGCTTCGAGAACTTACAACCATTCCAAGGACAGTGGAGAATTCCTTTAGCGATATCATCCGTCCACGTATTTGACTTGGAGCAGTCTCCGCAATGTACATTGGAGCCGCGTGCATGGTCTAAATGCAAGGAAACATATCAACTTGCAAGTTAAAAGAATGCTTAAAATTGTACTCCCTAGTTGCATGGATTCACTCACAGTAGAACAAACATCTTAATTTGAACAGTAAACTAGATTTATAAACAATGGGTCTCAACCTCGTAAAACAGAATGAGACATGAGACATAAGAATAGGAATAATTCTATCTCAGACTGTCTCGATATAGGGGTATACTGTGTCCCGGATTCCACCAATCGATAAATCGAAGAAGTGGGCCAATATATGAATGCAGAAGAATGCACACACTGCCAGGTTGGTTTATCTGTGGTAGTATATGGATCCATAGGATAACACATGCTCAGTAATAGAGGGAAGCATATTTCTACCAAGTAGCTATTTTGTAGAAAGGTTGACTTTGATTAATTACTCAGTCAAATGCATGATGCACATCGGAAGATCACACAGGCATAAACAAGTTTTTGCAGGCAAACACTAAAGATGTGTGGTTTATCTTACCAGTCCAATCCCCAAGCCATAAGTAAGTCGTCCAATTATCAGTATGGAAAAGACAGGTGCTACTACAGTCACAATGGCTCCAACAAGATAAAAGAATGCAGCCAAAATCAGCTCCTTTCTCCTTCCTTGAAAATTCAGTCCAACAATTCAATTTCTTTCAGATGAAGAGACTGCTGCTACATACCCAGATGAAAAAAGTCGAGAAAAACCAACCTATAATGTCGGCAACACTAAATGCAACAATGGAGCCAATTAAGGCACCATACAGTGAGCCACTGGTCTGCACAAAATATTAAAATTTTAGTAAACAAACAGTTTTTTCCTTCCACAAGAAAGATCACAGTTCCAGGAGGGAGGTAACAAGATTACAAAATAATGTAATAATCAAAATGTTAGGAACCAAGAAATGTGAATTATAGACTCACAAGTATACCAACATCGACTGAAGACAAGTCGTACCATGTAATTCCACTTAAAGAAGGCGACTGTACAGGGGGCAAAAGCAGAGTAGTTAACAGAATTTTAAAAGGCTTAGAGAATCAAACAACTATACATGCATAACAATTATGCAGGAGATATCCAAGGAAACACAATGGCACTGCAAATGCAGGCGTGAACTATGAAATAGAGTCATTTAACTGATATATCTTAGGCCGACGTACTCAGCTTTACGATACGTAAGCTTGGAAACAACAGCTAAAGACTTGAGCAAGCTAGTCAAATTTGACTACCTAAGCACAGTTTAGACAAGGTTAAACCATTACCTTAATAGACATGATAGCACAAGATGTTGCACCAATTTCATAACCAAAAAGCAACGCTCCAAGAGCTGGAAAAAGAAACCTGCAATAAATGACTTGTTACTTGTTAGCATGCTTTTAGAAAAATCTGTATCATGTGCATATCCAAAAGATTCCCACTTGCTTTCAGCAGAAATATTGGCAACAAACAATAAATAGCAAATAAACAAAACAATCTGGGACCACAAGTTGATGACTCACGGTGGAATGGCTGCAAGAACAGAGTAATTTTCTGGGCTGTGGTTCTCTTTAATCAAAGGTTCCTTTTGAGCATTAATCTCACCTGAAGAAGAATCACCAACCTACATAATATATAGTTTCTTGCATCAGAAAATCAATTATCAGGCCAACTTAGTGACTTGATACCAATTAGAGAGACTTAGGATAAAATTGTTATTCCAAACCCAGAAGCTCAGGTCTAAATCTCATGCTTAAAATTGAAATCCCAATTTCACAAGCTCCACACAAATTTCCCCACAATTTCATCAGAAAAAATATCCAAAATCAAGCCAAATCCTAACATATACATTGCAATCAAAAGTCTTTAAAGCCCTTAAATCGACCAGGAAAACAACCAACCAAACATACAAAAATCAGTACAATTTGTTATTGGAAACCTAAACCGAAAGAAGAATGGGGTAAAAATAATCTAAAGACGATGTGTAATGAGAAAAGCGAAACCTGTCCAACGGAATAAATCGATTGGTTCTCGGGATCAAACCCCATGGCTAAGGAAGCTTGATATAGATCCCGACACACGTGAGTGTGGTTTGTTCAAGGAGACCCAGAAAAAGATCTCGTTCTGGGCTCGTACGAATTAGCAACTTGTCTGATTCGAGCTCTACGAGCTTCGAATTCGCAGAGGAGAGAAACGTGAGGAAGGGAGACGACAAAGTATGCCAGGGTGATGATATAGATGTTAACGGGACAGTGGACGAGCTTTAAATAGTCGATCTTAATTTCAAATTAAGATCCTGTTTTCAATTAAAAAATAGGTAATTAGACTTAATACTGTCAAACAAATTAATATATCGACTATTGCATGTTTCTCTTGATCACTTTTCTTGTTTAGAAAAATAATCAAAAGTAACAGAGTTGACCAGAAAACGACAAACGTAAGAGAATAAAAAAAAAACTAGGTGACGATTTCGTTTAAAATTTAATTCCCATAAAAAACATGTTTTTGCTGGCAACCATATTTTTATAATTAAATTCTAGCAATGTCTTCCATTTATCGTCTTATGATATATTTCCGTTTTGGGATGAATATCTCATTCTTGGAAGATATTTTTCTTTGATTATAAATTCTGTATCTGAATTTTCTTGGAAGATTATAAGTTAACCCAAAAAAAATGGAATTTTCTTGGAAGATATTCTTGTCGGTGATGTTATTTGATTAACTATAATTTTTTTAATACTTCTAGTTATAAACCATATCCAGAAGTGAAGAAACAATAAGCTTAATTATCAGCAAATTATTACACAGTATCAATTAAAATTCCAAAAAAAAAACAATTGTTCAGCTTTAGATCCAAGACAGCTTTTATTAAAAAGACACAGAAACAAACAAATCTCACTCAAGAGAAAATCTCACAGAGCATAAACCAAAATATCATCTCCTTACTGAGTCTTGGTGGGTACCCATGATTGGTACCGAGTCCAGTTCTTTTGTCCCGGGTTCAAGGTATGTCCCTTCGAATGGTAGATGTATGCATCACCTTCCCCAGAGAAGTTCTCTTTATGCTCAAGCCCATACCTTTTTGGTTTCAAACTCAAGAGCTTGAAACAGAGAGACATTGATATTTATTATCAAGTTCTGAAGCAATTTATCACCTATTGATTGAATGAGATAGCGAAATTGAAATGGTTTTTGGTTTTACCTCATCTCCAGTGTGATCAGTGATGAAATGAAGCCACCCGTGCCATTCAGCTGGCACTTGAGATGCATTGTAACGATCCTTTGAAGCATACTCTACCCATCTGTGCCTACCTGTTCACAAAAATGATTGCTTGTCTCAATGTATTGTTTGGTACGTAAAAGCATGATTTTATATAGGTAAAACATGAAGTTAAAAGAACTACATACCGTATTGAGTATCGCCCAGCTTCTGGTAGTATTTGTTACCGAACTTGTCAACACCAACAAGTGTTGCTCCTATGTTGTGTATTTTAGTTTGCCTTAGTCAAATATAGACATAAAACAGTATCGATCAGAAAATACGACTCAACAGCAAGGTACAATATAAAGAATGGGAAACAATAAATAAGACACTATATTCAAGCATACTGTGTATATACTATGTGACCTGTATATATACATGTTTCCAACACCTGAATACACAACATAGGAGCAACACTAGGTATATCTAAATGTATATCAAGCATAAAGAAATGATCTGTGAAAAAGTTTCTCTATATTCAGTCAAATTCACCAATTATCTAGAGCCTATGAGAATGAAAAATCCAGCTTATATAGAATTCGTCAAAGAGGCACATAAATTTTGAGCTTTCAAGACTACTTTGTAGGCCAATTTCATCGCCATAAACAGGCCTCACCAATCTTTGAGCTTTTCATCCTCTTCAACTTGAAATGCCGTCTGGCATAATACTGTCAATTCCTTCAAACATGTAACTAGACTAGCTCTGGCAAACCAACCGTCATTTAGTGTCACTGTTTCTTTACTGAACTCCAAACCAACTTACATTACATCTATGAGGGAATTGACAGAATTATGCCAAAATCAGCAGTCCAAGTCAAAGAATAGTTATCAGTTCAAGAATTGGTGAGCTCTGTTCACAGTAGAATGAATCTGACAAAATGATGTTCGCTCATACTGCAACGGACACATATAAAAATATGAAAATGAACTTGGCCTACAAAGAACTCCTGAACAACCACTTAAATAATATACGTAATCCGCAAAGAAGTGAAACACTAAGAACTAAATATCAAAAAAGATAATTACTTACAAGAGGTTCCCATCTGGTAGGCATCTCCTGCAATGAAGAAAAAAACATTGCAATTAGAGAAATTCCATAAACTAGAGATTACCTCGGAATAAAAACAATAAGATCTTAAACCTATAAGCAACCAGAAACATTATGCCAATTTCAAGTATCACCATCACCGTTTGAAATTGGTGTTCATCAAACACAAAGTCAAAGTGTTTGATTTTCATTTCCCATCAATAAAAATTTTAACATTTGGGTGAAAAATCCGAAGAATGACAACCATTCATTGCAAAAAAAACTACGACAAACACCGAATATTCTTGCGAATTCTTAGATTTTTGGGGATCTAATGAATGAAATCGAGGGTAGATTCGATAAGAAATTAAGCAGGGAAGAGGACGAGAGAATCAAAAAGAGAGACAGAGAACTAACAGGAAGCCTTCTTCTCGGATCATCCTCATGAAACCGCCGAGACCTTTCTCTCTAATCGCTTCCAACGCACTCTTCGCCACCGTCAAAGCCATCGTCCTCCGCTATCTCTCTCTCGGAATCGGGATTCGTTTTCGGTGTCGAAATAACAATGGACACGACGATTGCCAAACGCATCATTTTGTATTTGTTGGGCTACGCTTTGTGGTTACATGGGCCACTTGCTCGCTATGGCCTTCCCTCGTGATGATGTGATGATGTGGCAAAGAAGAATACATATGAATAAACATTTAAAATAAGCATTGATCATATTCATAGATTATAAAACCCATAAAAATAAAAATAAATAAGCCTTTTAACACTATGCATTCCAATTTGCTATGCATTAATTAAGCTTCATAGCTAAATACTATGCTTTTCCGACTTTCCTCAAAGCATTGATGATCATAACAGTCCACTTCTCTTCCTCTCTCAGTAATCCCATCAGCCATTTTACAAGCTTCCTTAATTCACACAACGTATTCTTAATCATATCTTCACAAATGGTAAACTTGATTTCAATATAATGATAGTTCTTCTATTGTTAATGCTTTTCCAAGCTTGCTCTTAGCTCCGATTTTAAGTGATCAAATGAATACTACTACTTCGTAAAGTTAATATTTGGGGAAAATGCTAACAATGCAAACATAATAATATGATATAAATACAAAAACTAATAACACAAATTTTTATTTTATACAGTATCATACAAAATCTAACAATGAACAACATAAAATAAAGTAATACATTTGTTAGTGCTTGAATAAGCCTTTTATATAAAATAAAATAAAAAAGTGTAAAACCTCAGAAAGTGTGGGAATATTGTATCCACAAGCGATACCATAAATTGACTATGTATATTGGACGAAAAAAAAAAATTGATTATGTATATACTGTAAATGCATTCCAATGAATAATACACTTTCCTTATAATTCGAAGTAAAATCTTTGAATAATTTATCAAATAAAATATATAATCCTACTAATATTTTGAGTAGCGTATAGTTTTTTTTTTGAGTAACTATACGGAGCAAATATTCGTTAGATTCGCTTTGATCCGTTATTCGTTAGATTCGCTTTGATCCGTTATTCGAGTCGATTCGATTTGAAAAATCCGGATATCCGCAACTTTCCGAAGCAAATCAAATATTAAAAATAGATATTCGTAAAAAACGGAGCAAATATCAAATACTATTATTTAAATGGGCGGATATCCGCTTCGCTCCGGAATACATACATATATATAGATAATTATATATATAAATTATAATTTTATTATTCTTGTATGTGTTTTATAATTTTCTAATTACCGAATTAATTATTTGAACTACTAATTTGAACAATAAAAGGAGAAATATATATTTCTGATAAAATATTATTATTTTTAATAAAATGTTACAATTTTTGGATTAATTTTTTTTATTGAATTTTTGTTTTGTTTAATTTTAAACAAATACTTAACGGATCGAATATCCGGCAAATAGTTTGAATTTTAACGGATATTCGAACAGCCGGATATCCGGTCACTAACAAAGCAAATACGAATCAGAAAACTTAGTATTCGGAAAAAGCGAATCGAATAACAAATACCACCAAAATCCCGGATATCCGCTCCGTGCCCACCCCTAGCGTATAGTATACAATTCAAACCTGAGGCGGTCAACGAAAAAAAAAAAAAAGGAAAATAAGAAGAAAACAAAATTAGAAGTCATGCCTTTTTTCTCAGCGTCGCCTGCGTCAATGTTAAGCTGGCTTTCAAAAACCTCTCTCAATATTTAAACTGCTTCTCCTCCGTACCGCTCCACCATAAACCCTCTCCCTCTCTCTCGAAATTTGTTTCCCTCCATTGATTTCACTCTCGTCTCGAGTTCTCTTCTTCTTGATTCTCCTGGAATTTGCGAATCTTCTCCGCCATGGCTGCCGAGAAGTTAAGAGACTTGAGTCAGCTGATTGACGTCGTTTTACTCGATGCCACTGTTGAGGCCTTTTACGCTACCGGATCTAAGGAAGAAGTGAGTCCCATTGTTTATCTTAATTTCTCTGAGAATTTTAACGATAAATGACTATAGCCACCACTTTAACCGGTCTATTATTTACTCTTAATGCGTTTTATCGTCGCTTTTATCGATTTAGGGCTTTAGTATTTTCGATACGAATTGGATGAGTTTTGCTTAATTTTTTCCTGGATTGCAGATTCTTCTAGAGCCGTAGCTTGTGTTTGTGGTTGTTGTTCTTGTAATCTGGACAAACACTGAACTAGTTTTTGTTTAAAAACGATGTTATGATAAGTCTTTTGGAGTAGTGGCTACTATCTTTTCGTTAGGTTAAACTCCATTTTTTGGCATATTTCTATGAGATAATTATGTTTTCTGATAACACCTTGCAGAGAGCTTCTGCGGATACTATCTTGCGGGATTTGAAAGCTAATCCTGATACTTGGCTTCAAGTGGTTCACATTCTACAGAACACCAGTAGTACACATACAAAATATTTTGCCCTTCAGGTAAGTTTTTAGTGTCCTCTTATATCTGGTCTTCTCTTGTCTTTATTTAGCTGATTGTTTCTATTCCCATTGTTATATAACAGGTGCTAGAAGGTGTTATAAAGTATAGGTGGAATGCATTACCCGTTGAACAACGTGATGGAATGAAAAATTACATCTCTGATGTCATTGTGCAGGTATATATTTGAGAGGCATTAGGTTGTTTTTTTGGTTAGAACTAAGAATTGTTTTGATAATGAATTTACTGTGTAGCTCTCAAGGGATGAAGCATCTTTCAGAACGGAAAGGCTTTATGTCAACAAGTTAAATGTCATCCTGGTTCAGGTATATTTGGGGTTTCCTGCTAATATGCATATTTGCAATGAGTCCTTCTTTTGTGTTCACTATCTATCTACTTGTGATGTTTTCTCTGGAAACGCTTTGCTAAAGCCAACTTCGCCTGAAGATTTTGCTCCTGCCGATTTATTGAAAAAGTTTGTTTAGTCTTTGGGAATAACATATAATGTTATGTGTGTACAGATCGTGAAACATGAGTGGCCGGCAAAGTGGAAAAGCTTTATTCCTGATCTGGTTATAGCTGCGAAGACTAGTGAAACTATCTGTGAGAATTGCATGGCTATTTTGAAAGTAAGACAGTCTTAAGTGCCTTTGCATTAATTAAGTTCATGGTGTACTTAAATAACATTTCTTCTTGTCTTTAGCTCCTAAGTGAAGAGGTCTTTGATTTCTCAAGAGGAGAGATGACTCAGCAAAAGATAAAAGAACTGAAACAGTCTCTAAACAGGCAAGTTAGACTTTTCAAGAAGTTTACTTAATAAAGAAGAACTATGTTCAAGTATCTGTCCATAATTTGTAGCTAATATTTTTTGCATACTTTTACTGATTTATACTACTTTCTTATATGCAGCGAGTTTCAACTCATTCACGAGTTATGCCTATATGTCCTCTCAGCTTCCCAAAGACAAGAACTTATACGTGCAACACTCTCTGCATTGCATGCCTATCTTTCTTGGATTCCGTTGGGATACATATTTGAGTCCCCTTTGGTAATATATTTGGAATAAGTGGAATGAAAGAGATTAATAAGTCTTTAATTACAAAATCCCCCATTACTGATCTGGTTTTTCGCAGCTGGAGACCCTACTTAATTTCTTCCCTGTTCCAGCATATAGGAATCTCACACTTCAATGTCTGTCAGAGGTATGCCGGTTTATAGTTGGGATTGTCCTACTTGTCACTATTTTACTCATTGTCTAACTACTTGTTTTTTTTTCTGGCAGGTTGCATCTCTTAATTTTGGGGACTTCTACAATGTGCAATATGTCAAGATGTACAGCATTTTCATGAATCAGTTGCAGGTAATGCTCTTATCTTTGTTTTGTTACTTCTATTTGTTTTCGTGCCTTTGTTCATTGATGTCCTACTATAGAGTCTCACTTTTAATTAGTTAAAATACTCCTTTTGGTCGTTTACTGGTTCCATACTATATGTAGATTGACTTTCATGTTACTTTGGCTTCTTGATTAATGCCCATACTTCTTTTCATGTCTGCAGGCAATTCTCCCTATAAATTTAAATATCCCTGAGGCATATTCAACTGGAAGTAGCGAAGAACAGGCAAGTTTTTTTTCTGTGCATTAGGCTTCTGACCATTCCGTTTTTACTGTAACATTTCGAGATAATGACTGTATATCTTCTTTACCTCTAGGCTTTTATCCAGAACTTGGCACTGTTTTTCACTTCGTTTTTCAAGGTAATTCTCTTTCTTTGTTGAGTTAGATATGTCAGGTTGTTTTTTCCTGGAATTTTACGATTTGTTTTTCTAGTCTTTTATTCTTTCATATATTTTATGCATCTCAAACACAAAAATGTGCTCTATGTTTTCGTTTGCAGTTACATATAAAAATCCTAGAATCTGCACCCGAGAATATATCTCTATTACTTGCGGGTCTGGGATATCTCATTAGCATATCGTATGTTGATGACACTGAAGTATTCAAGGTATGTGAATTACAGTTGTTAATACATTTTTCTGTTGATACTTGATGCAGTTTTAGGTTTCAGTATATTTATATTAATTATCAGAATGGTCGCATGTTATCTGACGATGCTTTGGAAACTGACAGCTTTTGCTTGCTTACGAGTGAACAGGTTTGTTTGGACTATTGGAATTCATTAGTTTTGGAGTTGTTTGGGGCGCAACATCATGCTGGTCACCCTGCACTAACTCCAACTCTGTTTGGATTGCAAGTATGATTTCTTTATGTTCTTTTATAAAATGGAAATCAGGATTACATATCGTAGTGGTTGAACTTTGCTTTGATGCTTACCTTGGGTCTTGATTTGGCTATTGCCAGATGCCTTTCCTTCCTATTACAGTTGATGGTGTTAAATCTGAAGTCACGGAGCGGCATCAACTTTATTCAGATCCAATGTCAAAATTAAGGGGACTCATGATTAGTCGAATGGCGAAGCCTGAAGAAGTGTTAATTGTTGAGGACGAAAATGGGAACATTGTCCGTGAAACTATGAAGGATAATGATGTTCTTGTTCAGTATAAGGTACCAACTGTACATAGGGCCTATCATCAGTTTATTCAGTTATAGAAGATATACTAGGTCCTCCACACACAGCATTACAAATAAGCTCTATTGGACACAGTTTTTTTCTTCTTGACCCATGACTTTGGAGAGAAATTTTGACACAATTTTTCCTCTCATTGCTACTCCTTTTGATAATGAAGTTCTATTATATGATCCTACGTTTTTGTTTCAATTATATGGTATTCCCATTTCATATTTGAAACCGTTGCAGATAATGCGAGAGACATTAATCTACCTCTCACATCTTGATCATGAAGATACCGAAAAACAGGTACTTATTTTGAGGGATGCCAGATTTTCCTTATCCTCTGGACTCTAGAATGATTTTGTTCAAAATTTACTTTTTAAGTTCTTTACAATAGTTAATGCGTGCTAATGGTTGTATATGCTGTGCAATATATTGAGTATTAGCATTTGGAGGATTATGATAAAGCATAGTGCCTACGAAAGGTCTCTCGTTGTTTAGAGGAGAAGACCAGTAGAGTGTCCCTAAATTTCTACAATATATATTTTTATACGTAGAGGTGTTAACAATTGTGAAGTGTTAAACTGTTAAGAGTCTTGGATGACCCTGTTGTATTGATGTCAACTTTTTCTTTCTTTTTTTTCTTCTAAGATGTTGAGTAAGCTAAGCAAACAGTTGAGCGGAGAGGAATGGGCATGGAACAATCTGAACACTTTATGCTGGGCGATTGGGTCTATTTCTGGCTCCATGGTAGTAGAACAGGTAAGATCTCCGCTCTCAGTGTCTACTTGTGTTTTGTAATGCAGTAGCAAATACCTTTCTGGTTCTTGGTATCTGGTAGCATCTTTCTAATGTTATTAGGCTCTTTAGTGGTCTCCCATCGATTTATGGTCGACTGGTTCCACCACCAGTGTTTTGCAAAGCTTGTATCCTTTACTAATCATCTCAACTCCGTCTCTCTTTTCCAGGAAAACAGATTTCTCGTGATGGTTATCCGTGATTTGTTAAGTTTATGTGAAGTTGTCAAGGGAAAAGACAATAAAGCTGTTATTGCAAGCAACATCATGTGAGTTTGTTTCTACATCATGGATCCTAGTATTGAAACCTATACATTTGATTGTTGATTTTGGCTTGTATTGTTGGTACTTATGTTTTGTGGGATTTTCACCAGAAGTATCCCTTGTTCCCTGCTAGCATTTGTTTCATGCATGATTCGTGTGAGTATTGATCTTTGCATTCTTGTTCGCTTCAGGTATGTTGTTGGACAATATTCAAGATTCTTAAGAGCCCATTGGAAGTTTTTGAAGACAGTTGTCCATAAGTTGTTTGAATTTATGCATGAGACGCATCCTGGTGTTCAGGTAATTCTTCCCTTGTTCAAGTTGGATTTGGAATTCCGGTAGGAATTACAGTTTCTTGGTTAAATCTTTCATATTAAGTAGAACCGGTTGGAAATTACATCTCATATTCATGAAAAGGTTATGGCTCATTTTGTTGCTTTCCCTCTGGTCTATGGGTTGTCTGGTTTATCTAAAATCTGCTCAAGCTAATACCCTACAATTTCCTTCCAGGACATGGCTTGCGATACATTCTTAAAAATTGTTCAGAAGTGTAAGCGAAAATTCGTTATTGTTCAGGTATGTATTCGTCCGTTTGATACACCTTTTTAATTCTTACTTTATCATCTAAAAAGGGGTCTTCTGTGCTTTTCAGGTTGGAGAAAGTGAGCCATTTGTATCTGAACTTCTATCAGGCCTTGCTACAATCGTCGGAGATCTTCAACCTCATCAGATTCATACATTTTATGAATCTGTACGTATTTTTAGTCTTGTCTCTTTTATATAGATGGGAAGCTATTTGTTATCGTGATCTCACTCTATATCTCTATCTCTCTCTCTAGGTTGGTAGTATGATCCAGGCAGAATCAGATCCTCAGAAGAGGGGGGAATACCTCCAGAGGTTGATGGCTCTCCCGAATCAGGTCTGTTAATTAAAAAGGTACAGTTCATCTTTTGTTTTTGTCATAGCTGACTAAATGTATTTTTTTCTATGATGTAGAAATGGGCAGAAATTATAGGACAAGCACGTCAAAGTGCAGATATCCTCAAGGACCCAGATGTGATACGTACTGTGCTTAATATCCTCCAGGTCTGATATCTTAGGGAGTTTAGTTGGAATTTGCTTTCCTTTTTGAACGTATTAGAATTTTATACATAAAAATAGCATTCGTTATGGTTGAGCTGGTGCATCGGTAGACTTTTGTTTAGCTGCATGGTGTAACTTATATTTGTGTGCAGACAAATACGCGCGTTGCAACTTCATTAGGAACATTCTTCCTCTCTCAAATTTCGTTGATCTTCTTGGATATGCTGAATGTTTACAGGTAAACTCTTTATACAACAGTTATATTGCCGTTTAAAGTTACAAGACACTCTTTATGTTTATTGACTTAATTCTTCCTCTACTGCACCAGAATGTATAGTGAACTCGTGTCAAGCAGCATTGCTAATGGTGGCCCATACGCTTCGAGAACATCTCTTGTTAAACTTTTAAGGTAGGAGGGCATTATATACCAAATAAAATTGATGTCCCTATAGTAGAAACTGGAATAATATTACATCTTTATTCTTCACGGAACAGGTCTGTTAAGAGGGAAATCCTTAAGCTGATAGAGACGTTTTTAGACAAAGCTGAAAACCAGCCACACATTGGAAAACAGTTTGTTCCACCAATGATGGATCAAGTACTTGGCGACTATGCAAGAAATGTTCCTGATGCAAGAGAATCAGAAGTCTTATCACTCTTTGCGACAATAATAAACAAGTATGTCTCTTTTCTGTATCAGCCTGTCTTATTAATCCATGATGTTTGATCTGCTCCTTTAAAAATATTATTTGTTATCATCATGTATTAATTGAACTAGTTGATGCGTAAAATGTTCAATACTGTAAAATCTCAAAAGAATTTTTACCACTAGATGTAACATGAAAATCTACTCTCTTCTAAACCCAACTTGTTGATGTGCTCGTGTAGGTACAAGGTTGTAATGCGAGATGAAGTTCCCCTTATATTTGAAGCTGTTTTCCAGTGCACATTGGAGGTAACTGATTCTATGGTCCATTGAAAATACTTCTCACATGTGCATTTTTAACCTGTCAGTCCACACTTTGGAAATATTATAAACAATGTTATGTGATACTCCTCAGTCGTAGTTATATGCATAAATGGAAGTGACTAGTGAATTCGTTTTTCATCTTTTTCTGCAGATGATTACTAAGAATTTTGAAGATTACCCAGAGCACCGTCTCAAGTTTTTCTCGTTACTTCGAGCTATTGCTACATTTTGTTTCCGTGCGTTGATACAGTTGTCAAGTGAGGTTGGTGATTATAATCTTGCATTAGCATTCTTTGTGTGATCTTAGAGAGCTGTTAACGCCCTTTCCATATTAATAGTTTTCTAGTAATCCCTGATCTTTTCTTGTTTTTGTGTCTCTTTATAATTACTCATCAGCAACTGAAGCTAGTGATGGATTCAGTTATCTGGGCATTTAGGCATACCGAAAGAAATATCGCTGAAACTGGGCTCAATCTCTTGCTCGAGATGCTGAAAAACTTTCAGGTTTTGGAAGTTCCTTCTCGTTTTGCTGGCACTTTTAGCCTCTAATTTTTGTATGCATGATTTATGACATGTTCCTCTTTGACTTGTGACAGAAATCTGACTTCTGTAACAAATTCTACCAAACATACTTTCTGCAAATTGAGCAAGAAGTGTTCGCTGTCTTGACCGATACCTTCCATAAGCCTGGGTTCAAGTTGCATGTGTTGGTGCTGCAGCACCTATTTAGCCTGGTAAGTAATAGATATACTACTACTTATACAAAAATCTACCACTTGGCTAGTCTCTGTAGAATTAACTGATCAGTTATAAAATTTTCAGGTTGAGAGCGGATCGTTGACAGAACCATTGTGGGATGCTGCAACGGTAACTCATCCTTATCCAAATAATGTCGCCTTTGTGCTTGGGTACACCACCAAGCTTCTAAGCTCATCATTCCCCAACATGACTACAACAGAGGTAACTTAAACTAAACCAGAGGGATTTCCTTTCTTCGATAGCCACTTATCTTGAAATAGAATACTGACAAAACACAACAAAACAGGTGACAAAATTTGTGAATGGACTTTACGAGTCGAGAAACGACGTTGGCAGATTTAAGGATAACATACGCGACTTCCTTGTACAGTCCAAGGAATTTTCTGCTCAGGTATGTAAAAGTTAGCTACAGATTGGATTGGTATCTTCCATTATACCACATTTCATTAAAAACTCTAATGAATGGATTATTTTTCTTTAGGATAACAAAGATTTATATGCTGAGGAAGCTGCGGCACAAATGGAGAGAGAGAGACAAAGAATGCTTTCGATTCCTGGACTTATAGCTCCCAGCGAAATTCAAGACGACATGGCTGATTCTTAAGTCTTGTTGTGTCAAAGAAGAAGGCTATCGAAAAGAGAAATGGATTTTTTTATTTGTAGAGCTTCCTTATGGATTTTGAGAAATGGAAAGCTTAGAAAAGAGAAGTGTTAGGTTTTCTAAATTACAATCTTTTTTGTTAGACAGGATTTGTTTACTAATGAAATTTGTTTGGGATCTCAAAAATAATCGGGATTCCCTGTTTAAATTAAAAATGTTTATCATTCAGTAATACACTACCAGGCTTTGTTGCCCAACTGGCACTGCGACGAGCAATTGCCAAACACAGTTCCCTTAACTTAAACCGGTTTTAATTTCAAAGACTTTTGTAAACCGAAATAAAATTGAAAGACCAAGTCTAATCTCTCTATACATATGGAATCCATTGTACCGAAAACGCAACCTTTGCTTTCTCGGGAAACTCTTCAATTCCTGAAGAAATCGATCATCTTAGCTTTTGATTCTCTCTGTTTTCTTCAGTTTCAATTTCTTATTTTGGTGTTTGTCGAGAAGAGAAAGTTAAAATACTTCTTGTGGGGGTTTAAGCTTTTTGGGGTGAGAGATGGGTCAAACTTTTCGCAAGCTTTTCGATACTTTCTTCGGCAACCAGGAGATGAGGGTACTCTCCTTCTCTCCATCTTCTGTTTGATTTTGCTTTTGATTGTTTTCTGTGTTTCTTCCATTTTTGACGGAATCGCGTGTTACCCATCGTTAATCGTTATATCCACTTTCAATGTTTTTGACACTCGGATTTTGAAAAAAATATGAAAAAGATCATTCGTGGTTTGATGCTTTGGAATGGCTGTATATTGATTTGTGCTAATCATTGATTGATCCTGGGTTTTTATTTATATTTTCAAAGAGTTTCCTTTTAGGTCAGAGGTGAAAAGTGTCTGTGTATGCTTGTAATCTAAACTCTTGCTAGTACTTTAAGGTTATGTATGGTTTGCTTTATACCCTGAAGATTGTAGTTCCCTTCTACATTAGTATAGTAGTACCTACAGTGTTTAGAATCTTGATGTAGCCAATCCACTTTCATAGACAGTTGGGTTACTTGTGTATCCATGAAAACATGCACACAAGTTAGGTAGTCCAGCTTTTGTTTTGTGTACTATTGACCCAGCTTGTTAGCTTAGCTATCAAGTGTAATAACTCTTAAATATTAAGTGCTGCTACAGCTTTTGTGGTGTTCTTGTTGATATATGACTAATTTATGGTGTTTGGTTTCTCACTGTGCATAATATGATGAATAGATATTTCATATTTGGTGAATTTCTTCTTGTGTTTTCGTTTTGAGATGCCAGGTCGTTATGCTGGGTCTGGATGCCGCTGGAAAAACAACGATACTGTACAAGCTCCACATAGGAGAAGTTTTGTCAACTGTTCCCACAATCGGTAGGTCAGATTGCTCAAGCATTTTTTTTGCGTTTTCTCATTTATCTTACAACTGGTTTACTGAGGATTTTAGATTTCTTACACAGGTTTCAATGTTGAGAAAGTTCAGTACAAGAATGTCATGTTCACAGTTTGGGATGTTGGTGGCCAAGAGAAGCTGAGGCCCTTGTGGAGGCATTACTTCAATAATACCGATGGACTTGTAAGTCTCTACTTCTTTTTGCCTCTGCCTCTAGTTAGATAGTTAACTCATAGAGTCTCTTCTCTTCATGACAGATGATTTCCTCATGTTGTTTAAGGAATTTTCTCTGATTGATATTGGTCGATGCACTTGCAGATATACGTGGTAGACTCCTTGGACCGAGAGAGGATTGGTAAAGCGAAACAAGAATTTCAGGTACCTTAGAAAAATTGAACAAAACTTTGGGTAAAATTAGTCTCTGGGGTTGTTTATAACCTCTGCTTATTGATTTCTTCAGGATATCATAAGAGACCCATTCATGCTCAACAGTGTCATTCTAGTGTTTGCAAACAAACAAGACATGGTAAAAGTTCATAGCTCTAGCTTTCCTTATTTGATATTTTTTCTTTCTCATTTACCAATATTCATCCGAACTCTTTATAAATCTCAGAGAGGCGCCATGTCTCCTCGAGAAGTATGTGAAGGGCTTGGCTTACTTGATCTCAAGAACAGGAAATGGCATATACAAGGCACATGTGCTCTTCAAGGAGATGGGCTCTATGAAGGCTTAGACTGGTTATCCGCTACACTCAAAGAGGTTAAAGCCGCTGGTTACTCATCAGTTGGTCCCTCGTTTTAGCTCTTTCCATTTGCAAAGAAAAAAATCCCTGACTAGCTAAACTTGACATACGAAAGTACCAAATCAAGCTCATGGTGTCTCCTGTCTACTCACCATTATATACTTTAGATCCATGGCCACACTCTTCTTCTTGGCCTCTGATATGGTAATATCACAAAATGAAAATCTCTCAAGACTTTTGTAATGGAATTGTTTTTCTTTTTCTTTTGTCTTCACATGGCTCTGCTTCTGAAAGCTAATGTTAGTATCAACTAGGCTCCTTTTTGCATAATATGACTTTGGAGCTTCACTGTAAATTCTGATGGATACAAAATGTATAAATCTGCAAAATTCTCATGAGATAATTAAAGTGTCCCTTATAGCGCTATAATAGATGATTCATCTTTTTAAGTCTCTGTCTTCCCCTGTTGAGCTAGGACACTACAAAACTTTGTAACTACTCTTCACCTCAACAAATTAGGGCTTTATTCTAGTCTCTTTTGAGATAGAAAAAAGTGCAGCTAAGTCAGTTTTTTGAAAAGCCATGAAGAAATTACGAATGAGATAAAAAGAAATAGGTCTCTTTAGAAATTCTGTTTGGGTTTCTTAAAACAAGAAAAACACAACACCCTAAAGGAAACGAAAAAAACATCAATATTTTTCCAAGAGAGAAGGAAATGATTTCAAAAAGGCTAAAAGGGTTTTTCTTCATTACTCAGGACCCTTGTGTTGTTGCTTACTCTTAATAGCAAGTTCTTTCACCATCTTCGTTAGTTGCCTCATGCTCACATCTTTGAGCTCTTCATCAATCGTCTTCTTCTTCTTCTTTGTCTTCTTAACCTCGGCCTCAGCTTTCCCCTCTCCATTGTTGTTAACAGCCATCTCCTTGTCCTTGTCGCCCTCTAAGATTGATTCTGCTTCAAATGGAGACAACGAAGTTTTTGTCTCATTACCAGCAAGACTTGATGAAGAAGAAGAAGCTGGAGACTTCTTATCTGAAACAGGAGCCTCTTCTGATTCAATATCAATCGATTCTTCAGATGCGCAACTGTTTTCCTCTAACTCAACCTCGCCTATCTCATAATCAGACCATTCATCGCTGTCTACTTCGAGTTCCTCCTCAGCAAGAGGTGAAGGAGAGAAATCAAGTTCTTTCGATTCATCAGCTATCAGAACTGTTGTGACTGAGTCAACCTTACTCACATTATCACTAGCACGGACTTTAGACTCAAATGCCTCTTGGTTTGTGTCAACAGCAACACCAAAATCATCACCCTCCCATGGATCAGTTTCATATTCTGTTTCCTCTGATTCAGATTCAGAATCAATCTTCATTTGCTCAGACTCTGATTCTTTGTAGCAGGCTAAAGTGTTTGTGGTGGTAGTAGAAGCAGCATGGTCAACAACAACAAAATCATCCTCCTTCGAAGTTTCTTGTTCATTGACTAGAACAAAACTATCGGAAGCTGAAACCGTGCTGGAATCTGCAAAGAAAGCCCCCACGGAAATTAAGAAATGCAAACAAGAAAATAGTGAAGCAAAAAACACTGATGGGTATGCTTGTGTGGTATACCTGTTCCATTCATCTGTTCCTTACTGGTGGATGCATCAAAGAAAGTGATATCTCCAAGATCACCATATAATATATCAAGATCTGGATCATTCTTTGAACCATCCCATTCCTTCTCCAACGAATCATTTAAATCTCTCACTGACATTACTCCACCCTTCTCAGTATTTTCTGAGTTTTCATCTGACTTTTCCTGGAATTTGGAACCTGCATTGTACAACTGAACTTGATTACAAACTCATTCAATATATAATAACATGACAATCATCTGTTTTGAAAACGAGAGAGAGAGATTGCATTTCATACCTGCTGGAGAATCTTCTCTTTCAGCATCTTCGTGCTTCTTTGCAGGTACATTGGTTTTCAAACTCAGGTCAGCCATGGATTCTTCTAACAATCTGACAGACCTTCTGGTGCTGTACACCCTCTGAACCGACTCCTTCTTGGAAGATGCAGCTGCCTGAGCCCTTCTTGTGCTTCTCGCCGCTGGAGTTTTGCTCACATTGGCTTCAGGCATGATATCAGTGACATCTAACTTCACAGCAACTGAGGTAGCTGCTTCTCTTCTACGGCTCTGAGGTAGTGATGGATTCTGGAGCATATTCATGTTTTTGTTTTCTTGATCCATTTCTCCAGCTAGGGACTTGCTCACCACATAACAAGAACGGGTCACCAAATCTGATGACTGAGTTTCATCTTTCGTGGTCTTCCTTCGAGTTGTTCTAGCTGCAGTACGAGCAGCACTTGGCAAATTTCTAGCTACACTGGTTGGAGACTGGTCACGAGATGGATCCATGAACTCATCCATACCTTCCACCTAACAAATCAAAATGGTTAGACTCTGAGGGATCTAGTAATTACAAATTGTAAACTCACAAGCAAAGAAAAACCATCAAATGTTAAGATCAAACACATAAAGATTTATAGTCACTGGACTCAACAGAATCGAACAACCATCCAGATCTAAAACCATTTAGAGAAATGTTCCGATTTCTTATTCGCACCATCAAATACTCTAACAAACATCCAAAATTTCTCAATCTTGCAAGCAATTTCAGTGGTTATTTTTGCAGAAATTGATGAATCCACAAACAACGACACGCTCTAGATAGTTAACAAGATATCGATCTCAAATCATTGGCAAGATAACAACAAGCAAGATCCGAAGACAACGGGAACAAAATCTGAAGAAAAGAGAGGCAAAAACTTACAATCTCAAGATCTCTGAGAGCATCAGCCATGGCGATATTGGTCATATTGGCTGGGATTTTGTTCCTCTTACAGAAAAATTGGAGATCTCTTCTCGGAAGACTGTGGAAATCCATGGAAACGAATTAGAGAAAATGAAAAAAGTTTAATTTTGTTTGAGAAAATGACAGTTGAAAAACAAGACGTTTCTGCTATGTCTCTAAAGATCCGAAGATGAAGGATATTTATACCATTAGGCGAACATAAACCCTAACTCCCTCAAGCACAAGTGACCGTTGCAGAGTAGAATTTGAATTTAATGGGCCTAAATGATAAAAAGCCCATAGTTTGGATTGTAAGATGGGCCTATGATTCGGTAACGTAGAAAGCACGCGCTTTTCGGAGCGCGTGTAAATTAATTGAACTTGCGAAGCTCGCAATCACCATCATCCGGAGGAGAGAGAGAGAGAAGGCGAAAGAGTCACGGAGGTTTCAGAGAGAGAGAAAGACGAGGACGCGGAGGTTTCAGAGAGAACGAGAGAGAGAGAGCGACGCAAACTCGCTTACATAGCTTATAGAGGGACGGTGGAAAAAAGTAGAGAGGAAAGGTTTTAACCTAACCTAACCTGCGTAAAGAGCGTAGGGTTAATGGGAGTTTTCCAAATCTGAATGGAAAGCTTAGTTCTCGCCGGATTCACTTTGTTCTCTTCCGTTTATTTCAGTTGTGGTTTTGGATCCGCCGGGATTCGTCTGTATTACCGGCGGCTGAGCTGATTTTTAGGTAGATCAATACACATCCGTAGAAAGAAAATAATTGGTGTTTTCTTGGAGAATGGTGGACTTTTGAGACTTGTGTGTGGTTAGTGACGTACAAGAAACCCGTAGAGAAAGTGTGATCTTGAGTGTTGAAAAGGAGAGAGAAGGATGGCAAGTCCAGGATCAGGTGCGGTGGATTGGACTGTGGGTTCGATTGTGTGGGTGAGGAGGAGGAATGGCTCGTGGTGGCCGGGGAAGATACTTGGACAAGAAGATCTTGACTCTACGCATATCACGTCACCACGATCTGGAACTCCGGTGAAGCTCCTCGGGAGAGAAGATGCAAGTGTGTAAGTCTCTTCTTTTTTATCTGTGTGAACTTTCTTTCTTTTGGATTGATTACTGAAAGCATTCATCTTTCAATGTGCTTAGGGATTGGTACAATCTAGAGAAATCCAAGCGGGTCAAGCCATTTCGGTGTGGTGATTTTGATGAATGCATTGAAAGGGTAGAATCTTCGCAAGCGTTGACAATAAGAAAGAGGGAGAAGTATGCTCGTAGAGAAGATGCCATTCTCCATGCTCTTGAACTTGAAAAGGAAATGCTGAAAAGAGAAGGGAAACTAGTCCCTGACAAGGCTAGAGATGACTCTCCTGATGCAGCCAAGGAGAGAATGGCTATGGTTAGGGTTCAGGATTCCTCTAATGGGACACGGGAATCCACAGATTATCTAAGGACCAACCATGTTGGTGATGTTATGCATTTGCTGAGAGATAAAGAGGAAGATCAACCAAGTTGTGAAGATGAGGCTGTGCCTCGAATGAGAGGCTTGCAGGACTTTGGACTTAGAACCGCCTCTTCAAAGCGAAAAATTTCATGTTCCAATGGTCCTGATACTTCCTTTAAGTATCTTGCCAGAAGCAACTCTTCAGCTTCTTCCAGTGGGGATCATAGCATGGAGAGGCCCATTTATACCCTCGGTAAGATGTACTTCAGCTTCTTCCAGTGGTGATCATAGCATGGATACTTAAGGCTTCTGGCTCTTTTTGACATGAAATTCATATGCATTTTTGGCTCTGTTTCAGGAAAGGAGAACGCTAGGGGTAAGGCAGAGGCTAAAAGGACTAAATATATGTTTACACCAAATGAATCTAATGATGTTTCAGACCTGCATGAGAGTTTGCTAAGCCACAGGGAGGCAATGCATTCCTCCTTTGCCGGTGGTGATTCTCGTTATTCAGATTATGACCCTCCTGAATTTTTGGAAGATATGGAATCAGATTATTCTGAATCTGAAACTGATTCTTCTGATATGGAGGAGGATACTGATGATGACATTCCCTTGCTGTCAGGTGAAGCATTTCTGGACAGCTAAAAGCTAGTTTTTCTTATCATATAAATGTTTTCTACTTTTGCGAAACTTGGTTTTCAGTTGTGTCAACACGATATTCATTTCTGATTCTTCTTTGACTGAAAGTTGTGTCAAGCCTCTGGATTAAAACCAATTAACCTTTTTGATTACGTAGACCACGATTTTCTCTGTGTCGCATAGGTGTTAGTTATTCCCTAACTAGAGTTTGAAATCTTCTCTTTCCAGGAGCTGGGGGTCATCTGGAGCGACGCAATACTTTTAGTAGACATATGTCAGGAGAAGATGAAAGTACCAGCAGTGAGGAAGATCATTATGAGTCATCCATTTCTGGCGACTCTTCCTATCTTTATTCCCACAATCCTGATAATGAAGCTAGTACGGTTTCCAAGTGGCAGCTCAAGGGAAAAAGAAACTTGCGCAATCTTCCAAGAAGATCTGCACGGAAGAGAGAAATGCACCATAATCGTCTGGAAGATGGAAGATATTGTGAATATAAGAGAAGGGCATTTGGCCAAAAGCCTATGGGTTATGGGTTAGATTTTAATGGGACAAATGATATGAGCGATGAAACTGATGACACTGATCCCAACGAAAGGCAGTTCGGGGATAGAATGATTGGACCAGGTGATGATTATCAGCTCTCAACTATGGTTGCATCTGGATGTAAGAACATCTACAGCCGTGACATGCTGGACTGGGATGATGATCCTTGGGAAGGCCGGATTGGTATGAAGAAGCGAGGGGAGGAAAAAATCGAAGGTTTAGGTCAGGAGTTTGATGCTTCTCAACGACATTTTGGCAGAAAAATGTATTCTCCATTGATAGATGTGGATTTAGAGGTGCGAGGAAGCTATCAGAAAGGGCCTGTCCCAATTGTCTCCCTTATGAGTAAGTTAAATGGCAGAGCAATAATTGGACATCCGGTCGAAGTCGAAGTCTTAGCAGATGGTTCCTCCGAGTCATATATTCAGACAATTGATTACTTTGGTAATGAAGCAACTTACCATGACAAAACCTTTCTGCTACCCTCTGCTTGGAAGACTGCAAGGAGGAGTAATTCCCGGGTTCCACGGCTGCAACCATTCTCATCGTCCCTCGAAGCAGATGATGAAGCAACCTATGATCAATCTCCGGCAGATCAGGGAAGGAAACCGCTTGTTAAGAAACTCGGGTTGGGAAATTTTAGTAATGATGATAACTCGGTGAGGAGAAACAGTTCACTGCGAATTCCACGACCACCTGCAGAGAGAAAGCAGCAGCAGCTGCAGCAAAAGAAGTTGCTGAAGAACACAAATGCTAGTGCTAGTCAAAAGACAAGGGCACTATCGTCATTCAGCAGTGAACAAGGACACAATGGGATGAAGGCGCTACGAGACCGGACACACGAGCTCTCTAACAGACGGGTTTTACCGGGACCACCAACTGTGGCCTGCATACCGGTCAAACTAGTATTTAGCAGATTACTTGAGAAGATAAATAGACCGCCATCAAAGCCAACTGCGAAAGCCTTTAACGAGAGAAGAAGAGATCAATAGCAAGAGCTACTCAAGTGAAAACGAGATTTACAGGTACTAAACATATAACCATTTCTAGTCTCTGGTTTTCGTAAATTGAGAATCACATTTTAGGGCATTACAAAATCTGGGGTGATGGGTCTTTTTGAGCAACCATCAGGCTCTTATAATGTGATGATTCCGAGGGGAAATTTAGTTGTAGGGAGAACAATTTACTTAGAGTGGAGGCTCTGGTTACTTTTTGGTACAGATCGGTGAAGTAGAACAATATACCACTGGTTCGTTTTGTATATTTTTTATTTTTCTCTCTTCAGAAAGCTTTATGTATCTTTGATTTAGCATCAGCTTTAGTTTATTAGTCTTAGAGCTTTTTTGCATTTATTTGATTTATGAATCTTCTCTGGTTAATCAAAATTACACATTATCAATTTTGTTCTTAGGAGATTCTATTAGCTGATGATGTCTTTTTATTATCTGTCGTGGGGTCATCATGGCTTGATTAACCGTGCCAAATTAAAACCAAACATCATTTTGATTGGTTTGATTCTTTTCTATTTGTGCCCATCAACATAATCAATCACTTGGTTAAACATAAGTATCAAACATAGCAGAACATAAAATGTTTTTTAGGACACTTAGACATACGGTTTGTCTACTTAGAACTTTATTATACATACACCCGTAAAAAACAGAGAGAAAGAGAGAATTTAAACATGGTGAGTCTTGTCCGAGTCCTCGAGACTTGTTGGGCGAAACCAAGCAGTCTCCTCCAGCACCGCTGTGTCCTGGCGTGCACCCTCAGCGGCGGCGCTGTGCTCAGTCGTAGAGGGACCGAAAACTCCAGTTTTAGGATGAGGAGACCAATATTTATCAGAATCTGGCTTTATGACTTCGTCAGGTACTGCACTTGCATGCAGTTCATCCTCCACGTTCTTGTCATACGCCGAGGAATGACCACTCCGACTGTTTAAAGAAAAACAATGAATACTTAAAGACGATTTTTATTGATCTCACCCACCTCGAATTTATTATTCTAATAACTTCGGTATCAATTTTATTAAAATATATCATTCCTGTTGGGTGGGAGATTGTTGTTAGGTAGGTGCGACATTGTACACACCACAAAATACCCACAACAACCCCAAAAAGAATGAATTAAGATGGTCTTTGTATTTTGCCCAAAAAAAATAGATGGTCTTTGTATAGATTTTTCTTTATCAGGTCTTAGTATATTATTAAAGATGGAAAGTTTTGTTTTTCATAAAAGGTGACCCCGTAAATGGCTTTTCTTTATAAATTAAAATAAAATCAAGTAACGTCAAAATATGTCATAGTCAGCTCCATCAAAATTTCTATATCTTAAAAACTGTCGGTCCAATTCTTATCTTAATTTAACGATATGAGAAAATAAGCCACGTCACGTCTACTCAGCTCATGTGTTACGAAAAGATGGGCTATACAGCAAATAACTAAATGTGGCTTGAAATTAAAGATGTAAAATTATTAATTTGGTAACAGTTTCGAGATTTTGAGTTTAGGGTCAACTAATATTGCCTACTAACACTCAAAGCTGCGAGTTTTCAACAAGAAGTTATTCTTCAGGGGTATGGATGTAAATTAACAATACTACCACGTGTCAAAACCTGAACTGGATGTGTTTTGGTATTATCCATTTACGCCTAATGGCATATGCCTTTTTTGTGCACTGTACGTTGCTTATGCTATCTGTACGAATATATTTATTTTCAAGAAAATGTATTAATCTTTTTTTAAAAAAAACAGAGTGCTTTAAGACTTAAAACTAATAGTACATTTTTGCAAAAATAAAAGGGTTCTTTCAGATCCATTGCGTTTGAATTAAGCAAATATATGACATTTGGAAAAGAAACAAAAAAGAGAGGCAAATTTGTGACATTGAAAAAATAAAATACACAAATATTATAACTTAACTGATCTGAATCCGTACTCCCTAAAGGAAACCCTGATATCTGAACTTTCTAGATCTGGGAATAATATTTTGAATTTAAGAAAGTCGAAAATAATAAAATTGTTTGTTTGACCAACAGCCAGTGATACTTCAAAAAACCTCTGATATGTAATGTTCATAACAATTTCATTGTAATCAAGACGATGTTACTACTTACTATATACTGTACATTTCATGTGAGTTAATCATATTTCCACAGAAAAATGTTGTATTTTCTCTCTTTATTTGTTACTTAGGTTAAAAAAAGAAACATCAAATAATTTGGAAGAGGCAAAAAATAGAAAGAGAAAGAGAGTGTTTGATACCGTGAAGGGAAGAGAGCAGAGGCGGTGGCGCGTGGACAAGCGCGTGGGTTTACTAGATGTTTCTTTAAGCCGGTGATCAACTGAAAGCTCTTCGATCTGGTTGCCATAAAACTCTGCTTCTTCGTCGGAGATTACGAGAGAGATATGAGAATTTGTTTCTACTCAAGATTTTGCTTCGTAATGTTATGATGAGTTTAACTCCGTTTAGTGTGTGTTTATATAGATGCATTTATGTATGCTTTGAAAGAGATTGGATTAGGAGACAAAACACTATCTGATCCACGTGTTTCACCTACCAAACGCTGCCGTTTCGTTTTCTTTTTGACGCCGTTACTTGACAAATGGACAGTGTGTGAATCTAAAGCCTGCTTTAAAGAAACGGCCTAATATCTTTACTTATGTAATTATTTGGGCCGAGTTTAAGTAAATGCAGCCCATTGAAGCCCATCTTAATAAGTCTTCTCCCTCTTAACCGACGTGCGACACGCGTTGACCGCCACGTGTATCACGTTCCTTACATATTCTCTTTTCTTCCTCACGAGAAGAAGAAAAAAAACAGGAAAATCGAAAATTCAAGCTGCGATTGCGAAGAAGAGACTTCAGATCTAGCTTGATCCGGTGATAATGGCTCTCGAATGGGTGGTTTTAGGTTACGCGGCGGCGGCCGAAGCGATTATGGTGGTGCTATTGACGATGCCGGGACTCGACGGACTCCGCAAGGGATTAGTCGCCGTCACGCGTAATCTCCTCAAACCGTTTCTCTCCATAGTTCCTTTCTGTCTCTTCCTCTTAATGGACATCTACTGGAAATACGAAACTATGCCTTCGTGCGACGGCGATTCCTGCACACCGTCGGAGCATCTTCGTCACCAGAAATCAATGATGAAATCTCAGCGAAACGCGCTTCTGATTGCGGCTGCACTTGTGTTCTACTGGATCCTTTACTCAGTTACCAATTTGGTTGTCAGGATCGAGCATCTTAACCAGAGGATCGAGAGGCTCAAGAACAAGGATTGATCGTCTCGTCTCGTCTAAGGTCCAATCAATTAGTGTAATGCCTTTTCTTTTTTTTTCCGAGGATCTTTCTTATTTCGCTAGGTTTTCTCTTTTTCAACGTCTCTGATATGCGCCTTTATCTTCTGGAGATTGAAGGATTTATCCTACTTTTCTATGCTTGGATTCTTATTTGTTACCAGATTGTGATTGTTTTTTTTTGTTGAATTTTGATTGACTATATAATCTTCTCTTCAGGATAGGCATTGATGACACACACATGATTGATGGTTTTATTGAATTGATTCTATGCCACACACTGTGATTTCTCTTATGCATTCTATGAATTAGAGCTTGTTGATAACAGATTTGGTAATCAGGGAACCCTTTTGTTTAGTTGTGTTCAATATCTTGTTTCTAATTTCCGAGAGAAATCCAAACTGTCTCATATGTGCATATTCCCAATGTTAAATACAAATATCATGATCCATCTGAAATCTGAAGAAGTAGTATGTGGGTTTGATATGCTTTGCTTGACACAAGAACCTAGATTGACCAATACCAAGCAATCGACATTCGGTATAAAATGATAGATTAGCGTAAACTAGAGTAATCACTAGTCATCGAGTCTCTAGGTAAATTCAGTTTTAGAGTGGGTTACATCCTAAGTGACTGAAGATTGATAATGTAGGAAAAGAAAACTGATGATCATGTATTTTTGCTTCTCCTTTGACCTTGTGAAAGACTTCTTTTTCTTTTCTTTGGCTTTCACATATTCTGAGTTCTCTTAGTTACCTTTTGAAAATGTTTGAACTTTGGCCACTCTTACTTACGAAATGTATGGACTTGAAGTATATATTGAGATTCATGTCCTCTTAGTGGGAGGAACTCAATACAGAGCCATACTTGGCCTGAGTAGTGATGCAGAGGTGCTTTTGATTTACAAATTATAAGTTCTGGTGGGTTTTGGAACATAAACAATCTTTTTGCATCTATGTACTCCGTTATGAAATAGGAATATTCGTAGCCCACGAATCTGGCTTTGCAGTTTACCCTTAGGTATGGATTGAGTGGCCCTTATTAGAGGAATATAATTAGAGTGAAGAAAAGATGATTCTGACTTTGCGTCTTACCAGTTAAAATAAAAGCAGTAGAAAATTAGTTAATTTATTTTACACAGGAATAAGGCAAAAGAAGAAGCAAAGTAGAGGAAGACATTCTCTCTACTTGCTCTTCGTTGAAGAAAACGTATAGATGCCTCAATATTTCGCATTTTCCTCCCAAATGAGTCACACATCTTGATGTTTTTTAAAAGCGATCATGTGCTAAGGGGCCTTAGAAACGGTCCACAAATACTTAAATTAAAGTTCATTTATCAATCATGGCCCAAAAGTCTTTGAATCTGTTCAACATAGGTCGACACGTATCGTTAGATTCGTTGCACAGAGATTCTCGATGACCTCGTTGTTCGTGCCATCTGTTTCATCCCACCACGTAACAAGTATCTAATCTCCGTCCATTTCTTCACTCTTTCCACGTGTCATCATCTAGTTCCATCATTCCCAAGATATCTTATCTCTGACATAAAAAATACCTTATTATATAAAGACCGCAAAACCAGAACCCATGTTCATGGGCGTGACATGTTATTTGAGAAACAGAACTCACTAGATAATGTTTTAAATTCGAATATCCATTACGTAAACAATTGTAAATACATTTTAATTACGGGCCGACTATATAAACACATTCATTAAAATAAATATAGTCGTATAAATGCCACTGTTTCTGTTCTCTCAACTCTAAATAAAATTTATAAGCGGCTTAGAAGAAAAAATGCACTATCAAGAACAGATGGAGTCTCTTATGTTGGGAGAAGAACGCAGACGCGGAAACTACGTCAGATACGCAGACGCGGACGCGGACGCAGATGAAGGTGTTAACTCTCCCTCTTCTTTTCCAAACTCTCCTGATGATTCGGACCGTCGCACTACTTCTTCTTCTTCAAGGTAATGAGAATGAGAAAGTTCCGCTTTTAACCTCTGATTTTAGATCTTGTCAGAACAAACCCCCAATAATTAGGGTGTTTTCTTTACAATCTTATAGTTTAGGGGTATACTACGGAATATTTAATTTCTGAGGTCTTTTTCGGTGGTGGAAGAAAATTATTCATTTGGTCCGAAAATTTTACATATTTTTTAATCTTACCACAAATTTATGTTCGGGAAATTTATATAACAGGAGAGGATTGTCGAAACATTACAAAGGTAAATCACAATCGTTCACAACGTTGGCAGAAGCGCTAACTGTGGAAGATCTCGCTAAGCCCGAGAATCCATTCAACGCAAAGCTGAAGCAGCGACGAGGGAGCCCTCACTGTCGTAGATTATCCGGATGCGGCGGCGCTTCGGAGCGAAATCTAAGTGGTCACGACGTTTTTCTCGCCGGAAACGATAGGCCGCAGCGACTCTCCGGTAATAGACCGCCTCTGAGAGCCCAGACGCTCTCGGCGGCTCATATTTCGTCTTTGCTTACTCGAACCTAAACCGGAACAGAACCGGGTTTTGTTTAGGACGATGTTTTTCAATCTTTTGTTTTCTAATTTTGTACAAGTTACTTAAAAAGTGTGTGACTCTTTTGATAATTTTGTAATTTTTCAGTTTAATTTAGAAAACACTTGACAGTATATAATACTCCTTCCGTTTCAAAATATAAGGCGTTTTAGCTAAAAACACGCCGATTAAGAAGATCTACTTTTTAAAAGTTCAACCAATCATAAGAGAGACTGTATAATAAAAATAATCATAAAATATTTAAGTAATATATAATTTGCATAGAAATTTGAAAACGACTTATATTGTGAAACAAAAAAGTTTCTCCAAAACGTCTTATATTTTGAAACGGAGGGAGTATACAACAAATACAAGTAACTGACCATATTTCTTATTCATCATAGTTTTGGTTATGGAAAAATGAAAATTGATGAGTTAAGAAAATAAAAAAACTGTTATAAATAATTACTTTATATTATGGTGTATATAAATATAAATAATGGAGAAAAAATTTATACCCGCAGAAGGATCGGGATACTGAAAATAGTAAAGAGACGAGAGAGAGATGTTTGTTACTTCTCTTATAATTGAAGTAATCAATTGTGATTTACAACGAACGATTTCGTTCGTTTATATAGAGGTAGAAAAAGTAAATTACTATGCTGCATAGTGACGGTGGGCTCCACACAAAATAATATATTACGAATGATTTTACGCATGTTTTTATCCTTCGCAGTATTTCTTGACTTTCGTAACACTCCCCCTTGGAGACCAGTGTCACTATATCTCTTGCGAAATATCTTCTGTTGTATCTTCTGTTGCCTCGTTAAAAACCTTTCTAGGAAAACCCAGTGGGAAAAACCATAGTAGGTAAAAAGAGTGCAACCTCGCAAGCTCCCCCTCGAATGATCAGGATCATAACTTACAAGTCTTGTTGACGACGCATTCCAATATTATGAACATGTTTCCTGAACATAGAGGTGGGCAATGATTTTGTGAAGAGATCCGCAGAATTCTCGGATGATCGGACATATCTTACTTCAATGTCTTTATTCTTCACGAGCTCTTTGGTGTATGAAAAGAATTTCGGAGGGATATGTTTGGTTCTATCATTTTTGATATATCCTTCCTTTGTTTGGGCAACGCATGCGGCATTATCTTCATATAGGATGGTTGGCTCTTTGTTTACGTTGATCCCACTGCTTGATTGAATGTGTTGGCTTATTGATCTCAACCATACACATTCTCTACTTGCTTCATGTAGTGCAATGATTTCAGCATGATTTGAAGAAGTAGCTACAAGCGTTTGCTTCTGGGAACGCCAGGATATAGCAGTGCCTCCGATCGTGAATACGTATCCTGTTTGTGATCGAGCTTTGTGTGGGTCTGATAAATATCCTGCATCTGCAAAACCAATCATTTGACCATTTATATTTTTAGGATAAAATAACCCTAAATCAATAGTCCCTTGAAGATAACGAAAGACATGTTTAATCCCATTCCAATGTCTTCGTGTAGGAGATGAACTAAATCTAGCCAGAAGATTGACTGAAAATGATATATCAGGTCGAGTGCAATTTGCAAGATACATAAGGGCTCCAATTGCACTTAGATATGGTACTTCAGGACCGAGTATCTCTTCATTCTCTTCAGGTGGTCTGAATGGATCACTCTCAACATTAAGTGATCTAACGACCATTGGAGTACTGAGAGGAGTTGCCTTATCCATATTAAAGCGTTTTAACACTCTTTTGGTGTATGTGGATTGATGTACAAATATACCCTTTTGAGTATGTTCAATTTGTAGGCCAAGACAAAATTTTGTTTGTCCGAGATCTTTCATCTCAAATTCCCCTTTTAAATAGTTTGTTGCTTTCTGTATTTCAGCTTGAGTCCCGATTATGTTTAGATCATCAACATATACCGCGATTATCACAAATCCGGAATTTGTTTTCTTTATGAAAACACATGGGCATATAGGATCGTTCACGTATCCTTCTTTTGTTAAATGTTCACTGAGACGATTATACCACATTCGCCCAGATTGCTTTAACCCATATAAAGATCTTTGCAACTTTATTGCACATAACTCTTTTGGTTTAGATTTCAATGCTTCTGGCATATTAAACCCGTCGGGAACTCTCATATAGATATCTGTATCTAATGATCCATACAAATATGCTGTAACAACATCCATGAGACGCATTTCTAAATTTTCATCAGCCGCTAGACTCATCAAGAATCTAAACGTTATTGCATCCATAACGGGGGAATATGTTTCCTCATAATCAATCCCGGGTCTTTGAGAAAATCCTTGAGCTACGAGACGAGCCTTGTATCTCGTAATTATATTTTCCTCATTTCGTTTTCTAACGAAAACCTATTTGTATCCAACCGGTCTCACATCTTCAGGTGTGAGTACAATAGGTCCGAATACATTTCGCTTGTTGAGCGAATCAAGTTCGACTTGTATTGCATCTTTCCATTTTATCCAGTCATGTCTCTTTTGACATTCATATACCGACTTTGGTTCTGGATCCTCGTTTTCTTCATCAATTTCCTTTGACAAAAGGTATGAGAAAGCGTCATTAACTTCATCCATTTTATTTCGATCCCAGATCTTTCCATTATGGATATAGTTGATAGAAATCTCATGATTTCCTTCAGGCTCATGATGCTCATCATTGTCATTAGACTCATGATTCGTTTCTTCCAAAATGCTTTCTGCTATTTTGGGAATATCATGCTTTTCAACTTCCTTTCGTTTTCTAGGATTTTTATCCTTAGCACCAACTGGTCTACCACGTTTCAAACGTGTTTTAGACTCACGTGTATCATCTGCTCCTCTACGTTCATGTGGGATTTCAATTCGAGCAGGAACATTTGCAGCTGGTATATATGATTTAGTTACCGTTTTGGTATCTGCAAAAGCATCGGGAAGTTGATTTGCTATACTTTGCAAATGCACAATTCGTCGAACTTCTATTTCTGACTGTTTTGTAGGAGGATCAAGGTGTAACAGGGATGGTACACACCATTTAAATTATTTTCCTACTTGCTTATTTTCTCCCCCTAGAACCGGGAATACTTTCTCATCAAAGTGACAATCGGCAAAACGTGCCGTAAAAACATCACAAGTCTGCGGTTCTAGGTATCTTATAATTGATGGAGAGTCACATCCAATATATATTCCCAACCTTCTTTGTGGTCTCATCTTTGTACGTTGTGGTGGTGCTATAGGCACATACACTGCACAACCAAAAATTCTTAGATGGGATATATTTGGTTCACGACCAAATACTAGTTGTAATGGGGAATATTTATGATATGCACTTGGTCTTATCCGAATGAGTGCTTCTGCATGCAAAATGGCATGTCCCCATACAGAGGTTGGAAGTTTTGATCTCATGATCAATGGTCTTGCAATCAATTGCAGACGTTTAATTAATGATTCCGCCAAGCCATTTTGTGTATGAACATGAGCTACAGGATGTTCAACTTCAATTCCCGTTACCATACAATAATCATTGAATGCTTGGGATGTGAATTCACCAGCGTTGTCTAGTCTAACTCTTTTAATAGGGTAATCAGAAAACTGAGCCCTCAGTTTGATTATTTGAGTTAGAAATCTCGCAAATGCCATATTTCGAGTTGATAATAGACAAACATGTGACCATCTGCTGGATGCGTCAATTAATACCATGAAATAGTGGAATGGTCCACATGGTGGATGTATTGGTCCACAAATATCTCCTTGAATTCGTTCAAGGAATTTTGGTGATTCTTTATCAATTTTAGTTGGCGATGGCCTTATGATCAGTTTTCCAAGAGAACATGCGGCACATGTCTTTTTATTCCCATGATATATCTCCTGGATTTTCAATGGGTGTCCATGTGAGCTCTCTATAATTTTTCGCATCATCGAGGTGCCTGGATGACCGAGGCGATCATGCCATAATGTGAAATCTTCTGGATTTCTTTTAATCACTAGATGCGATTCGATTGCACTTATATGAGTATAATGCAATCCTGAAGGAAGTTTTGGAAATTTTTCCAATATAAGCCTTTTTCCCGATTTATCAGAAGTTATGTACATATACTTCTTTTCATTCTCAGTTGCAGACTGAGTATCATATCCTTGAAGGTATATGTCTTTGAAACTCAACAAATTCCTTTTAGAGTTTGGAGAATACAAGGCATTTTTTATGGAAAACTTGGTTCCATTAGGCAACATAAAGTTGGCCATACCAGTTCCTTCAATCACGTCTACAGGACCTGATATTGTATTGACAATAACGTTTGTCGGTTTTAAGTTAGAGAAATATCTTTTGTCCTTCAGAATAGTGTGTGTTGTTCCACTATCTGGTATACAAATTTCTTGAGCCATTTCCTTGGAGATTGTTTCATCCATTTCTGTGATTAAGATAAACATAAAGAAAGTAAATTTTATAAAAGGAAAACACACAATAATTATACATTAAATTGTTGTTAAAACAACATTATTTTTCAAAATAATAAAAGCATAATATTATACATATATGGCATAACTAGAGACTATTTCAGCAGTCTCAATACAAGCTCTTTAGTTAACCGCATGAGCGGTCTCATTAATCTTTTCCGCTATTAGGAGTGCCACAAATAAATCCGAAAATTCGGTATACCCGTATGACATATACAGTTTTTGCTGGGTAATGTGGTTTTTATGAAACGTGGTATACGTTTTCTCAAGCATCTGAGAATCAGTGATAATATCACCATAATATTTCAGTTTAACCACAATTTCCATCATAGCGGAATTATAATTCATCACTTTATCAAAGTCTTTGAACTTTAGACTTTGCCATTCATCCCGAACAAGTGGGAGATTTATTGCCTTTCGATTATCAAATCGAGCTTTTAGGGATTCCCAGATCTCTTTGGGATCTTTTATGTGTGCATAATCACATATGATACTTTCATCAAGGTGTCTTAAAATAAAGATCACCGATTTTTCCCTTTCTTGAACCGTCGAAGTATTATTCTCTTTTATGGTATTTATTAAGCCAAGAGATTGTAAATGTAGTTCGACGTTGGCAATCCAAAATATATAATTGGCCAAAGTGATGTCTAGAGCTGGAAACATAAGCTTCTGAATGCTTGCCATTAGATATCTAAAATAAAATCACAAAGAACTTTATTAGAAATTTAATTTATTTCATTTTAGAGCATGGGATGTGCTTATATAAGCAATGCGATTACAAGAAATACAATTACATAAAAAAGTAAAATAATAACCATCAAAATTTCTTCGGGAGAAAATTCTCCAAAGAGTAAACCGTAAATTGCAACAATTATAAAGCCTATTACAAAAACTAAAAACGGATGAGTCATTTTCCAAAATGAAAACTTAAACAAATTTCTTAGAAAAATATATGAGGAGAGATATGATTTTTGAGTGAATGAATGAGTGAAAATGAGTGTATTTATAGATTGAAAATTACTGTTCATAGCCGTTTGAAAAGTGATAAATTTTTGAAATTTTTTCTTCATGACCGTTGTTGAAAAAAAATTTAAACAAAAATTAATCTGAAAAATTAGAGATCAATCAGATAAAAATTATCGATTCAGATATAAATATTTATACAGGTGAAAAAAAACCTTCTTGTATAATAATCATAATATAAACAAATAATTCACGGTGATATTATGGTCACGGAGTCATCCACATAGAAACAGTAAATAAATATGTGGCGGCTCAGCCGACCGGTAGCAGAAATAAATATTTAAAGCAGCGCATAAAATTAAGGCGGCTCAACCGACCGGTAGCAGAAATAAATATTTAAAGCAGCGCATAAAATTAAGGCGGCTCAGCCGACCGGTAGCAGAAATAAATATTGAAAGCAGTGAATAAAATTTCAGGTGGCTCAGCCAACCATTAACAGAAAATAATTAATTATGGTGCATGAAGTAATATATATATACATATATAGTTTCTTTTATTTATTTATATAATTTTCTTTTCTCTTTTTCTCTTTTCTTTTTTTTTTTTCTTTTTCTCATTCTCATATTTTTTTTCTTTTAACGAGGCGACATACCGCCCGGTATAATACCGTATTTTTTTTCAGCGATCATAGAGTGATCGTGCTGATAACGTGTTATAAATAATTACTTTATATTATGGTGTATATAAATATAAATAATGGAGAAAAAATTTATACCCGCAGAAGGATCGGGATACTGAAAATAGTAAAGAGACGAGAGAGAGATGTTTGTTACTTCTCTTATAATTGAAGTAATCAATTGTGATTTACAACGAACGAAATCGTTCGTTTATATAGAGGTAGAAAAAGTAAATTACTATGCTGCATAGTGACGGTGGGCTCCACACAAAATAATATATTACGAATGATTTTACGCATGTTTTTATCCTTCGCAGTATTTCTTGACTTTCGTAACAAAAACTAAATTCTGCAACACTGTAAGATTAATAGGCCTTTTCTTAGAGATTGATGGGCTAGACTGGAGGAGTCACGGTTCTCTATATCAGGCCTACAATGGGCTTTCTTAATTTACATGTCTCTTCGCTTTCATATTTTCATCCCCTTTTTCTAACTTCTACGATTTCCACCACGTCTTTGTCCTTTTGTGTAAAACACAAGATTTCAGATATTTCTTGTTTTACTGCACATTTTTTTCATTCGAAAATTAATTTTTATTCAAAATGTTTCCAATTCATGCCAGAAATTATATGTTGATTGCTGAATGTTAATGTATGTGCATAGAAATCTTTTGGGGTAAATTCCGAAAGAATTGACAGTGAGGGGGTTCTTATAAAAAATTTCAATAATGTTGGATAATGCTGTCAAGATGACGTGGAGACCCATGGATGACGAAGCTTTGACTCGCTTGGTTCCTTCTACTGGAAGTTGACACCACGACACGATCCAATCTTCATCGATTTTTGCAGTTTGAAGAAGATGAAGATTCAAACTCTTGGATTGATTTCAGTAGATCAAAAATAACACTTTCTCAAATCTGAAATTTGTGTTCGTAAACGTTTGTGATTGTCCAATTCGTCGCTAACAATGCCTTCCTTGGAGATGAATGACCTAAAAAGTAAGTTCCGATAAATTCATAGAATTGGGATGTGATCATTAACTAGATTCGAATTGAGTTATTTGCTGAATCGTTGAGGAATTTATTGGCATCTTCTGATTTCTTCTGTTTCTTGGCTAAGGATTCTTCGTGTGTTTAGTATCTATGGTCTATGGAGGCTAAAAAAATTTGATTTGGTGAACATTTCTTATTTTGGTTTTGATTCTTCATGATGTTGCACTTGTTATCATTATTGTTGAGTCATGCAAATTTTCAATTTTTTTTTTAACTCATATTGTTGAAATTTTGCTGATGTGATGATGATATATGTGGCAGAGATAGGGCTAGGTTTGACTGGGTTTGGTGTGTTCTTTACATTCCTGGGAGTGATATTTGTGTTTGACAAGGGACTCATCGCCATGGGGAATGTAGGTATATTTATACCATCTTTGTGCTCTTTACGATTTTAGCAAACTTTTGATGTGTTATATCTAAGTCTCTGTGGTCTATTTGAACAGATTCTCTTCTTAGCTGGTGTGACTCTAACCATTGGAATCAACCCGGCAATCCAATTCTTTACTAAACGGCAGAATTTTAAGGTTCTTTCATTATCCCTTTTTGCTTCCTGTTTGATTCCTGAGATCTCAAGGCAAAGATGACTACGCAAGAATAACACTCACGGGTTTCTTCATATCTGTGTGTTTTGAAGAGTAGAGTAGTAGTTAATACATCTTCTTGGTTTTCTACTTCTTGATATACATACAGGGTACTATATCGTTTGGATTGGGCTTCTTGTTGGTTGTGTTTGGATGGCCTATTTTCGGTTTGCTTCTAGAATCATATGGGTTCCTTGTGCTTTTTAGGTGGGGTTTTATTTAATGTTCTTCTCCTCAACAACATTGTGGTTTTACTAATTCATTTCTAGTTTTGATTTGCTTACTTATGTCTTTTCTCCTTTCTTGTGTAATTGTTAAGTGGTTTCTGGCCTACACTTGCCGTCTTTCTTCAAAGGATACCTCTATTAGGCTGGCTTTTGCAGCAACCATACATCAGATCGGTACATTGCACTGCTCTTCACTTTTACTATTTAGACATATTTGCCTTATCCAATCGAACTTTTATCAATTATTGGTCACTTAATCAGTTGCTGGATCGCTACCGTGGAAGGCGTGTCCCCGTCTAAACCCTCTTTGCACAGAAATACGTACCGTTATAAACGACTGTTGATACAAAGGTATATATATGTATATAAAACACTCTTGTTCTCTTCCTTTATGCGTTGTAAATGGTTCTTGGAACTGAGTTTGTGAATAATTTTAAATGTAGTCTTGTGGCTTTTTCTCTCTTTACGACTCTGTGATCATTATTAACCGATTGAAAGCTTCTCCTATTTGATTATGGAGATTTCGTTTGTCCAACCACTTACGTTAATTCTATAGTCTATAGTTATGTTCATGATTTTTGTATCTAAAACATCTCAAATGTTGTCTTTGTTATGTTGAGACTACTATCCAATTATGAAGGCTTATCAAAGTTCTTATTTCGTAGCATTCTCTTTTATGATATTTGACATAATTGGACTGTAGAAAACCAAATATATTTCATGCTAAAAGCACGTTTCATTTCTCACCTACTCACAGTCCAGCGGATTTCAAAATAAAAAAAATGACCACTGATTAATATCCACAACAAGCAAAGCCACTCATTCTTTGGAAGTAGAAATATAATATTTGTGGCCTATAAAATGCATACATCCATATTCCTGTCGGTATTTACAATTACATATCAATAGTTACGTATAAACATATATTTAATCAGAAAATGGTGGTCAAAGTATTTGGGCAGATAAAAGCAGCTAATCCACAAAGAGTATTGCTCTGTTTTTTGGAAAAAGGCATCGAGTTTGAAGTAATTCATGTAGATCTCGACAAACTTGAACAGAAAAAACCAGAACATCTTCTTCGTCAGGTATATAAGTCACAATATTTTAAGTATTTTATCACAGACACATTACCTAATTCTTACGTTGTATACTTGTATTAGCCGTTTGGTCAAGTTCCAGCTATTGAAGATGGAGATCTAAAGCTTTTTGGTAAGATAAATTCTCGAATTGTTTTTTTCTTAAATGACTACATGTAAAAAAGCTATATATATGTTCAATTTTTGGTTTCAAGAATCGCGAGCCATAGCGAGGTACTACGCGACAAAGTATGCGGACCAAGGAACGGACCTATTGGGGAAGACATTGGAGAAACGAGCCATTGTGGACCAGTGGGTGGAAGTTGAGAATAACTATTTCTACGCTGTGGCTCTACCCTTAGTTATTAACATCGTCTTTAAGCCCATGTTTGGTGAGCCAATCGACGTCGCTTTGGTTGAGGAGCTAAAGGTCAAGTTCGACAAGGTCTTGGATGTGTATGAGAACCGGTTAGCTACGAACCGGTACTTGGGCGGTGATGAATTCACATTGGCTGATCTGACTCATATGCCCGGTATGAGATATATCATGAATGAAACCAGTTTGAGCGGTTTGGTTACGTCTCGAGAGAATCTTAACCGGTGGTGGAATGAGATTTCGGCTAGACCGGCTTGGAAGATGCTCATGGAATTGGCTGCCTATTAAATTACTTCAAGTTTATAAGGATGGTGGTGCTGATGATGATAACGTGCTATTAGTATTTTATTTTCCCCCATATAAAGTTAAATCGCATGTTATATTAATTGCCTTCATGGAGGATTTGATAGATTTTTCTACTAAAAAAAAAACTTTTAACATATTCAAACGGTTAACACCGACACCGAGGTTCCTATGGATTGTAATAATTATTTTTGCCCACAGGCGTAACACGCATAAACAATAGACAAGCTTCTCTTCTGAATTCATTCATCTACGCCGATCACAAATCTCATGCACCTCACTAATCGCCTTGGACACCTGAAAGCAAATGAAGTTTCTGGTTTATTCAGTTTTTGGGTTTTCAAATGCGAATATATATATATATATATATATATATATATATATATATATATATATATATATATATATTTTTACCATTTCATCATGACGTTGGTTCATGAGTTGTAATTTTTCACGATATGTCTTTGCCTCAAGGTAGAGTCTTGCTAACCCCACAAGATCTGAGGTATGAAACAAAAATAGAACAAGTAAGGAATCATAAATTTGTAAACTGAAAGATGCCAAAATAATAAACGGATAATCTAAACAATTACCCCAACTAGTGTAACCAATATATCCAAACGCCATCCATTTAAAGAAGCTAGTGTTATTCACCCATGCCGCGGAGGGAAATTTCCCTCCGGCTTCGTTTGAAGCTGCAAGACATCGAAAACCAGTGATCGCGAATTCGATACGGAAAATTGAGAGAACATCACCACTTACCATTGCTGCTGATAGGGGGAGAAGAGAAATTGCGGGATTGACGAGACACCGTGGATCTCCCACCTCGGTAGTAACCCTGTAAACTTTTCGTTAAATCAACGTTGATCGGATAACCAAAACCAAACAAAAAAGGATAAAGTTGAGAGGATTTTCGATTTAACTTGCGCAATAAGGGATCTCAGATTCGGCGGCCTCATGATCGGGAATTAGGGTTTCGCTCCTCTATTCTACGACTGATGGGCCTGCCGTTTTCTTTTATCCTATTTTCCTATTATTGGGCCCTAACCCGATTTTTTCTTATAATAATCATTCAATTTCCTTAACCTCTATTTATTCTCAAACTCTCTTTTATTTTCAATTGAGTGTCACTGGCCCAATCTTAATGAGAAAATATCAGCTTTTGCACACAGAAAAAATAAAATAAAAGAGGTTCGGCTCACTTTACCCTCAAAATGGAAGAACTGGGAACAAATTTTAACGTGCGCTCACCGCTGGGAATCACGTGACCGGTTGTTGATTGATCATAAGTTACTCGGCCCACGGGCAAGCCCATTTAGCCCACAAATTACAACCAATCGCAACACTAGAATGGCACTTTCCGCATGTCATTCCATGATGAAATCGTATGAAATATGGTTCTTTGCTTTCAAATGGATGGAACCTGGAAGTTCTAGCAAGAAATATGTCATAGGAACTTATCTTTGGGGTTTCATTGAGGAGGAAATACTTAATTTGATTATTTGCTTTTTAGTATTAATTTGTAATGAATTATTTTTGTTAACATCCATTTCATCTTCGGAATATATTTCATTGTGCATATAATCTTTTTTTTTAGAGAGTTTCAAACTAAAGCTTATGTGGTGAGGTGTAACTCGTTTTGTGTGTGTTGTTGACAGTACAACTCCTAAACGTATTCACAGGGGGCACTTGAAGCGGGTCGAGAGAGATATGATTGTATTCATCATCTCCTCTAAGTAACTAACATTTTTCTAAAGGAAAAGAAATTACAAACTTAGTTGGCCACTAATCGATTCCACTTCTCAGATCGATCATCCGCTCTTGATTGTTTGCGTGTACTCCGTTCAATCCTCTCCAGCTTATTATTATGGTTAACATAAAAATTTAACACTGAATTTCATGTTTAACAACGAAGAAAACTATCTTTCGAGAAATACAAATTACAAAGCTTCAAGAAAATTAGTAATTTTTCCGAAGAGATGCAACCAAATCAGACCACTTCTTTTCCGATTGTTCCATGAAATCCTCAGTCTCCTTCGTTTTCTGAAAAAGACAAGATGAGATGAAACAATAGCAATGGCCACATAATGTCATTCAAGTGCATCTTGCTTTTGTGTTTTACCTCGTTCATGGCCTTTTCAATTTCCGATGCCTTATCGCCAAGTACGCGATAACCTAAAAATAAAAAATCACAAGGCTGATAGATTAATTCGAAATTGTCTTTTGAGGAAAATAAAATTAAGGCTTTCTCTCTTTGTCTCTCTCTCTCTGCATACTTATGTAAGCTCCCGCATATAATCCTGCAACTGGACGCAAGATCAGCCACACGCCAACGGTCTCTCCTGCTCCCTTCGACTCTATAATCACATATATGACAATTAGAGAAAAAATCAAACAAAAAAAAAAAATCTTACAAATACAAATCAAATTGAGAGATGGTCACCAATTACCATTGCTGCTGATAGGGGCAGAACAGAAATTGCGAGATTGACGAGACACCGTGGATCTCCCACCTCGGTAGTAACCCTGTAAACTTTTCGTTAAGTCAACGATGATCGGATAAACAAAACCGAACCAAAAAGGATAAATTTGAGAGGATTTTCGATTTAACCTGCGCAATAAGGGATCTCAGATTCGGCGGCCGCATGATATTAGGGTTTCGCTCCTCTAAACATGATTTAGCAGGTTAGATCAATCATATTTAAACACACTAATGCAAATATAAACGCAAACGCAACCTTTTCAAAAGAAAAAAAAAGTCCACACTTATTTTAAGTTGATGATACTAATTTAAATTTGGATCGTCTCATTTCTTGTTGTTGTTGTTTTTGTACATATAAGAAACATTTTTTAATAGTAAGAAATACAACAATTAAATGTAAATATGTATATGTAATGCCCTTTTATCCAAGAGGGATAAATAAATCAACAATTTAAAAAGAAAAGAATCAGAAAAAAATGGCAAGACGACATTTGTAGTATTGCTGAGCCACTAGACTAAAAAGTGTTAGTTTAGACTTCGTGATCTTCTCAGCTCTTTGTAACCAAGAATCTTTGTCCTCTTCAATGAACAATGTTCTCTCTTCCACATTGTGATTAATAGGATTGACGTGAACTTTAACCGTGTGAGAAGGTACGACTTGGTGATATAGAATCTTCGTTGTTTGATATGTCGAGATGAGCATTTGGTTGTTAAATCTTGTTTCCTCTTCAACCACATCGAATTCCGATGAATCAAGGGTTTCATTTGTATTTGCGTCTTCATTGTCTTCTATCCGGTTTACGTTTTCCTCGTTATACATATCAAACGAGAAAAAATCATCGATATCTATGTTGTCATTGGTATTGTTCCCTGTAAATTAAACAATTTGTAATTATCGTTAGAGAAGAAGAGCACCATAACAATCTTGAATTTGAAACCAAATTATGCATCATACTCACCATGAAATCCAAGATCTTGGTTCATATGATGATTTGACGTTATTAATTGTTGTTCATCATAATTGCCAACGTGGATCACTTGATCACCAACGCTATTATAGTGGTTGGAGTTACTTGCAGCGAAAGTAAAGTCATCAAAAACGCCATTATCGTTGTTGTGAGTCATACTCGTGAAGAAATCGCAATCACTAACCGAAGAGTTCTCTACACGCAACGGTGGTAGAGATATATTGTGTTGTAACATTGAACATTCGATCTCTGTATTAACCTGTATGAACATATAGAAAATCCATCATTAATAACATTATATGTTGATAGATGTATTAAACTTTATAGGGTGATCATCAAAACTTTGAAATATTAGTTATACCTTATATGGAGTAGGGAACGGTCTATAAGAAGAACCGTAGTATTGTGACCAGTCCTCGTTGCTGATTGCGTTAGAGTTATAACGCTCGTTGCCAAATCGCGGTTGGAATGTGTTTTGAACTTGATGAGTAGTTGAACTGATTTCGAGACCCGAACAAGCGTCAAAACTCGATGAGCAATTACCACTCACATTTGACATCGCGTGTACATATGACCGGTGCTGATCTCTTGGCTTAGCTTCAATAACAATCTTTTTGAACACACGACAAAGTGCATATGCGTCCTGAAAATATAAAATTTAGACGATTTTTCCTAATGATATAGACAATAAATTAGTTAATTAGCCTCGAACCTGCATGCCGTAAGCGGAAGGCTCACATTCTGTTTCATCAAGTCGATATTCGTGCATGACCCAACCAGTTCTTATGCCGTGTGGTGCGCGCCCACGGTAGTAAACCAATGTCTTCTTGGTTCCAATGGCTCGGTCTCTCCAACTCACTCGGCGGTCTTTACCGGTAGCCTTCCAATAACCGCCTTTGGTTGCCCGGTTCGTCCTTGAACCGTTGGGATACTTCCGGTCCCGTGGGCTGAAGAAGTACCATTCTTGGTCTTTGCTCGGAAGCAAGGACTTCCCTATCATTGAAATTGATTACTTTAAGTAACGTAATTTATCAGAAGATATTAGATGATATAAATTTTAAGAATATGATTCAATTAAGTTGGCATTAATGTTTTCAGTTATTATATCAAAACAAATTATTTTATTTTATTTTTAACTCAAGTTCTCATTTTAATTTCTAAAAGATTTGGTGGAAATGATGAAAAAATAATAAAATAGTTATCTGCAGAACTAGTACATATGTACTTGTACATGTGGTATTTTCCCGGTAGAAATTAAAGTATATTTAGGGTTTCTTCATCTATGCTATATTCTTATTCTTTTCTTCAATCTCTCTTGTTCCTATGGGTTTTAGACAAATAATAATAATTCTTAATTATCACAGATGTTGTGATTTTAATCCAAATATTTTTGCAGAATTTTGAAATCTAAAGTAGAATCGCGTAATTAATGTTTATCATAAATCATATCTTTCGAAAGATTTAAATTTTAGTAAAGATCAAAATTAATAGTACCTGGCAAGTCCCATGGCTCACACTTGTAAAGATCAACTTCAGCGATAACTTCAAGTTCGATTTCTAGACCGTTGATCTTTCTTTTTAGATAGTAAGTAATTAGTTCCTCGTCCGTTGGATGGAATCTGAAACCTGGAGGTAACGAGACAGGAGCCATATATATAATCTCGTGCTGTTCTTGAAATTATTTTGTTTGAATCAATTTCAAGAAAGAAAGACAGCTAGAGAATCGAGACTCGAGAGGAAGAAGAAGATATTAGCTAGAGAATAGATATGTTTTGTGTTCGTTGAGGGTTTGGAGAGCAAGGTTATATATAAAGAGGTAATGAAAAAGGAGAGGCAAAAGTGAATAAAGGGGAAGGTCCCCATCCCAAAATAAGAAATAATGATAAAAATTTAATTAATATTTAAAATTCATCAATTTTTTTGTCTGACGCATAGTTCTAACTTCTAACTCTAAGTTTTTTTTTCAATAATTAAAATGCTAACAAATAACATGATCACGAGGCGATTCTGTACTTAACCGGAATAATTAAATCAAAAATTGCCGCCCTAAATGTAAACCGTGTTTCTTCATCAAGTGGCTTCATCAATTATCCCATGCTTCTCCGAGAGTGGTCGGTCTGGAATATACGTGCACGTGTCAGAATTCTATTGGTTGCATGGGAGATCGAATCTTGGGTTAACCCAAAACTGTTGCAATCTCTTCTTCTTTTTTGCTTTTTTTTTTTTTGTTATTTGGCGGCACTTCTAACTGAAATAACTGTCTCTTTTGTACCCACTTGCATGCCAATCCTTTATTCCTTTGTTTTCCTTCACATTGCCATCCGATCTACGTACATAGATCTTTCTTTTTTTTTTAAATAGATATCTTAATGTTGTAATTTATAATAGTAGTGTTTTACATTTTATTTTGTCATTTATATATGTCTTTTTCAGTTTCTCATATTCATTTTGCATCGTAGCTTATATGGCTCGACTAGAAAGAGATGAACTCCATTTTATGGTCGTTCCATCAACGTTCATATATTTTATAGTGTATTAGGCTGTTTATTTAAGGTTGTGTGATTCGGGAAAAAATAATTGAAATTTCGGAGATTTTGAAACTAAAACTAAAAAATTGAATGGCCAGAGAAATCCTTTCCTCCCCATATATAGAAAAACTATTGACCGAAAGTCCAATTACGTACTCCAAAGACTTATGGATATAAGAAATTATAATCAAATGAACATATTCACATTTGGTAAAGGCGACTATAAAACTTATCTAAAATTGGGACATATGAAAAAATCGATCAGATATATGTATATAAAATTTGAAAAAAGAATATGGGATTGAGATGGTTATATGTATCATCATGTGGGATCCAGCAGTTGTGAACATGTGAATAAATCCTTGGAAGCTATTGATGGGCCAACCCAAGAGAATCACTTCTCAGCCTTTCTCATCATCGTCATAACCTTTTTCTCTCATTATTCCAAATTCCATATTCTCTTTCTTCTATGTATCACCATATATACATATCTTTAATATATCTACATATATTATATACAATGTGTACATAGTACATACCCTTCTTGACACATTTCCCTCACATGAATCCATCTTTTGGTTCTTTACTTATTTCTTTCTAACGTTCACACACATTTCTATAAACTAATAACATATATTAGTCCTATGATTAGCCCTACCTTTAGATTGGGTGTATATATCATGGCATAAATATATAAATTTGGTTAGAATGAGAAAGTAATCAATTAAAAGCTAATATTTATTTTTTGTTAAAGATTAAAAGCCAATATGTAAAAATCGGTTGATATTATCATGAAATTTCGGAGTCTACAAGATCCCCAAGTGACTTTAACTTAATGTCATTCCAAGATGAAATAGTATGATCAAAAAAAAAAAAAAAAGGAAATCGTATGATTGATAATAAAACATGGAGAAAGTGGTCATTCTAGTGTTGCGATTTGTTGTATGTTGTGGGCTAAATGGGCTTGACCGTGGGCCGAGTAACTTATGATCAGTCAACAAGCGGTCACGTGATACCCAGCGGTGAGTGCACGTTAGAATAGTTCCCAGTTCCATATTCAGACTAAAGTGAGCCGAATCATGTCTGCGAGAGATGAGATCATAAATTAATGGAGATCTTACAAATATGGAAATTTTAAAAACAAAAAATCGAACCAAAGAAGAAGCCTACGGTTGTTCTGTTCCTTTCAATCTCACCAAATTTTCATCTTCGCCTTCAATTTTGATGGATTCTCTCCACCAAACCAAATTCGTAACCCTAGCTTCTTCTTAAATTATAGAAAAAGAGTTTTAATTCGAATTTGGATGAAATTTTGTTTGTCTAGATGGAATTCTAGATGTGTCTGATTCCGAAACCTGAGAGATGCTAGGAGCGATTCATTTCGGAGTATTAGCAGCTTGTTTCGTCCTCTTCGTTCCCATGGCAATGGCTGGTTGGCATCTGAGCAGGAACAAGATGCTCTTCTTTAGTGGTGCTTTGTTTATTTCTCTTGCGGTTTGTGTTCACCTCACGCCTTATTTCCCTTCCGTTTCCGACATCGTTGCCTCTGTTTCCTCTGTTGTTGTCTACGATCATCGTATCTCTTGTATTAACGAGGTGAATCAGATTGTCTGGGATGTTAAACCGGTAACGAATCCGGAATCTGTTCGTAGAAATAATGGCTCGACAAAGCTTGATTATTTCGACAAGAATTGGGATTGGATGAAATCGAGGAAAGTTTTGAGTTGTGAGTTTCAGAAATTGGATAAATTTGATGTTTCGGATTTGTTGAATGGATCTTGGGTTGTTGTTGCTGGTGATTCTCAGGCGAGATTCGTTGCTTTGTCTTTGTTGAATCTTGTTTTGGGTTCGGATTCCAAGGCTATGGATTCGGTTAGAGGTGATCTGTTTAAGAGACATAGTGATTACAGCATTGTGGTTAAGGAGATTGGGATGAAGCTTGATTTTGTGTGGGCTCCTTATGAGAAAGATTTGGATGATCTTGTGGTATCTTATAAGAAGATGAAAAAGTATCCTGATGTTGCGATCATGGGAAGTGGGTTATGGCATATGCTTCATGTGAACAATGCTTCTGATTTCGGTTTTCGGTTGAAGCAGTTGAGTAGTCATGTGGAGTCTCTAGTGCCCTTAACGCCAAAAGAGCAGGAAGGAGGAGGATCGGTTTCCGGTAGATCTGTGCATCTGTTCTGGATTGGGATGCCAGTTTTGATCAACGGGATGTTGAATACGGATGAGAAGAAGGAGAAGATGAGTGATACGGTGTGGCATGAGTATGATAGAGCGCTCGGGGAGAGTAAGATCTTGCGCCAAATGGGCGGTCCTCTTATCTTGCTTGATATCCAGTCCTTCACATGGAACTGTGGACCGCAATGTACACTTGACGGGATGCATTATGACTCTGCGGTCTATGATGCCGCTGTCCATGTCATGCTCAATGCGTTGCTTATTGAATCTCATCAAACTTTATGAGTTCTTGACACGTTTTTTTTGTTTATTTCCTTTTTGGTTTGGGGTTCTCTTGTAGAGTTTTAAGAGAAGTGGGATGTTCATAGGAATTTTACAACACACGGTGATCCTTTTGGCCTGAGTGATCTTCACATTGGAAGTAAGTGAACTTACATTCTTGGCTATAATAGGTTTAATATCTTTTGACTTTGAGAAGTTATAACACCTTTAGTTATTCTGATTCTTGTTATATCACAGTACCCTTTTGCATTCTTTTTACGATAAGACTCAATGCGCATCATTAGCTTTAAGCATTTGAAAGGAAGCTTTCGCTCCTTAGTAATGTAAACAAATAGATACAATAGTGATGTTTGTGTAATCACTGTTCTTAGTACATTGGTGGTTTTTGTACCTATGCGTGGGAGAGAGAGAAGTATGAAATGCAAAAGTCTGACCCAAGTTCATTCCTTTTCAACCCTAAAGATAACCTTAGACCAAGATCGATATACTTGCCATCAAAAAATTCTGACCCGGAAAAAAAGAATTATGAGATATCTCAATGCACCCCCGTCCCTGTCTTACGGAGTCTCGAATTGTTTCCCTTCGAAGGTCTGTCCATAATTCCAGTTTTTAGGGGAGACGTTGTAAGATGTCACAGTTGACCTGTCACTAGAAGTTACCTCAAATGAGAGAGCTTGGTTCTTGAGATCAGCATTGATATGCCAATTCTGTCCCCAATTACGACCCATAGGTAACCACCCGGTTCTCGACCCTTTGATCTTCACAGCAGCTACATCACCGGCCCCTGCAACATTGGTGATCAGAACCGAAATGAAAATGCCTCCACCATCGACTGTAAACCGCATGCTCCCTTCCTTTCTACAGTTGATCCTGTTTTGGGAAAGCCAACAACAATGGTTGTAAGTCATAACAGCTCCAAACCAATAACAGTCAGTTTCAGTCCTATCATTGGTTTCCAAATTCCATCTTCTTTCTCTCATGGCTAAGATGAAAATGAGAGCAAAGCTAGCTACTCAACTATGATGAGCAAAAACTATACATATATACTACAATATTGCCATCAATTTCAAACCTATCTACCATTTCTCAGAATCTTGTACACACTTAACACTACAACTACTCAAATAAAACGATCAGGGGCAATAAAGTAAATTACGTATTGAGGACGACATTTAGGGTAAGCCCATCTCACATAATAAAGCACACGGATATCGAAGAAGACGCAAACACACAAAAGCAAAAGCATCGCCGGATTTTTTAAATCGATAGTGGCGTCAAAAAGCAGAACCGCGTTCCCACCACCGCAAACGCATTTCTCACAAAACGCGAAACAAATTGGAAAAAAACGCACCTTCGATACTGCACCGGCATGTTCCCAGCTTTCCAAATAGCGATCTTCTCAAACGCTTCGATCGGAAGCACGAAATGTTTGTTAGGTGGATTACAATGACCACCACCGTCTGGATCAAATCCGTAATTAGGAGCACAGAAATTCGTAGCGGTGAGAATAATTGAAGTTCCAGGGATACACCAACGGAGATCATCAACACATCTGAGCTCGAAACAAGCACCACAGATCTGACCACGCTCAAACAGAGTCTCGCTTAGACCAACTGTAGCCATACCGTACCCAGATTTGACGAGATCTCCGTATCCACACGCACCGCCCACCGCGTCTCGAGGATTGGAAGCGGCGTAGTAGGTGGCTCGAGCTGGACGCCATTCTGAGGCGTCGGAAGAGACGGAGGAAGAAGAAGGAGAGGAGGTTGAGGAAGAGTAATGAGAAATCGCCGGCGGCGATAGTGTAAGGAAGAGTAAAGGTAGAAGAAACCGTTGCATCTCTCCGGCGAGAGTTCGAGAGAGAAAATGCCAATTTTGATTTTAGAGATTTTGATTTTGATGATTTAATTTTAGTGTCTTTTACTCTTTTAGTGGGAAAAAACATTTTGCTTTTACCGGTTTGTCGGTTTATATGAAATGACTAAAATACCCTCAGTCGAAAATTGTCTTAAGGCCCAAATCACAAAACCCAAATGTCGTAAGTGAGGACTTAAGTTACACTTCTGGGTCAACTTCTTTACCTTTCATTCTCATGTGTCTCCATCCGACTCTCTCCCATGCTCAAAAGTAGTTACATTTATACATTTGTCTAAATAGATTAGACAATTTTCTTTGTCACATGAAACTTACATAGCCATAATTTTCTTAAACTGATTTAATTTCATATTGAAATCTTATAGAGTTTTTTTGTTCTCATATTTCATTCACTACAAGCGGCTTTGATAATGGCTTCAAAATGCCGCTTCTCATGGATAATGTAATGTCCACCATCAGGGACCTCATGGAGCTTTATCCATGGCAGCATATCACATATATAGAGTAAAACATCGCGTGAAATTTGTTTGTCTTCGAGTGCACACCACATATGAACCGACCCTTTGTTACTATCCGAAAACGGATTGCTCAATTCCGTTGGATCAAATTCCCAATTCCCGTAACCCGCAATGATGTCTCGTTGTGTGCTCACATAATCACCTTGTCGTAAAGCAGACTCCTATAGTAATAGCATTCATAAGTGTCTTTTTAAAATCGAATGGATCATAAAGTTCATTTTTATATATACATACCTTGATATAGGAGTGTTTTGTATGCATTTCCGCGAGTTCTAGGTCTCGCTCGGTCATTGTATCTTTGGGATTTCGACTATTTGGGAACCATTTCTGAGTCATCCACCAATATAACAACCATGGAAAGTAGTGTGCAACTCGAAGTGTCAACTGAAATCCAATTGGCAATTTCTTCATTGCTGCATTCAATAAGTTTTGAGGCACACGGCTCCACCAAAAATTTATTAACGGAACCACCAACGAAGCTCCACTAAGCCTAGCAATATTATAAGAAACATAATTTAAGTCCAACACAAACCACTAAAACTTATAATCTTCATTCAAAAAAAAAAACACTAACTTATATTCTTATTTTGTAGAAGTGAAATATCTAAGTCGGTCACTTGGTCTTATAGTACTATAACCTCACTTTTGGTAATTAAAAGATGAGGAGATGAAACAAGAGAGAGAAAAAAAAAGTAGTGTATTTGAAAAAATCATTATTCCAACTCTAACAGTACTGTATTTTTTCCTTTAAATTTTTAAATATTGAATCTACGACTAAAAATGCTTATATCGCTACAATTTTTTCAAACCGACTTTTTTTGACAAAATGGATAAACCAAATGTCTTTTACGTAAGAACTCGTTTTGAGAAGTATTGAGAAGTGACAATCACAATTAATATTTAAATTTTTTGTTAATGTTCTTAAGAGATAACCCATTGATATATTATTTACCTATGAGGAATGTATTTGAGGCAACCGTAAATTGGGTAAGCTCCAAGTGACATGCCTATAACGTGGAACTTTGGACCGATTTGCAATTTGTCAGCAAGTTCTTCGATATCGTATGTATCAGATCTCAGCGTTCGTGTTGGATTAGGATCGCTCTCTCCATAACCAGCTCTATCGAAGAACAAAAAGTATATCTTGAATTCGTCAATCATTTCCTGAAAGCCAGAGGAGCGTTATAGTTGCAGATATTATTCAATATACAAAACAATCATTACTTGTAAAATAAACCACCAAAATATGAAAATAGTTGTGGTCTCTTTCTTTATATTTCGTTCTTAATTCAATACTTATGTTTATATATACCTGTGTGATGTATAAATCGACGTCTTTGGAATTTCCATTTCCGTGGACGATTATTATTTTGTTTTTGGCTTTGTCCTTTGGAAACCCTAATTCTTTGTATGCTAAATGCCTCCCATCATTGAGCTTGATTCTTGGAGATATCTCGGAAACATTTTCCGGCAATGGGATCGGTGGCGGCGGTATTATGGACTTGTAGACATAATAGCTTATCAGCCCCACAATCACAAGTAGAAGCAACATATTTGGCCTATAATTAAGTCTCCGAAGCAAAAGACTAGAATTTATTTAAAGAAAATGAAAGAAGAAGAAACTCAGAAACTAATACTGCATATGTCTAATAATATGAACAATTAATAGAGAGAGAAAACGACCTATTTATTTAGGTGATGACTAGTTAACGTGATGTAATGGTATCTTGGGTCCAAGCAACTTAATAATGATACTATTTATATTTGTTGGCAAGCAAAGCATGACCACTTTTGTTACAAATGTCGTTATTCATTTTCTCTTTGTTACACATGTCTTGATAACTTATTTTGCATTACTATTAGTCTATTATATATTGAATCGGTTGTCCTTTTGCATTTATAATCAATTGTGTAACTCCCCTCATTTATATTACATATTGAATTATTGTTTTGGATTTATTCGACATTTTGATTTTTGGAAACTAAGAAAGAAAAACAAACTTATCCTTACTAAATTTTAAGAAATTGCTTTGTAACTTTAATCCAAGTGTCGTGGCATGGTGGTAGCAGTTTCAAAGCTAAATATTATAGACTATATTGCAGGGTGACCGAAATTTGTCAACCATGATTGTATCGCCAGCGCTAAGTAAAATTAATTATTGACACAAACGAACTCTATATAATTATTTACACATTAAAAAAAAACACACTCCGATATAAAATCTGGATTTAGTCGTAAAATCGAACATATATTTTATAATATACTAGTATATATCCCGTGCTACGCACGGTTCCGTTTGCTTTTAAAAGAATTTTTTTTTGTAAAACTAAAATGTAGTTTTGACTGAATTTAAGACCAAAAGTTCATGTAAGAAAATATTATGAAGTATATCTTACAAATATTAAAATTTATACAACCCATATAAGGTTTTTGTTTCTTTTTAATACTTCTTGAAGTTATTGTCGTCAAATGTATTGTGAACTCATCCATAAACAAAGATGAACATTTTTTTCTTTTATTTTTATTTTCTTAACCCTTTTCCATGTGTTTTCTTTGGTTATTTATCAATTTGGTTGCACATTAAAATATTTCACTATTATAATTTGTTCTGCACATTGTAATTTGTTGTTCAAAAATTACCTATGTTTTAGAGGATCAAATGGACTGGATTTATAAACGAAATGTTTCGAGATAATTGATTTTGATAAATCAAATGTAACTAAACGAATTTGTTGTGCAACAAAAAAATTGTGACATTAACGAAACTTGCAGAGTACACAAAGTAGCTTTGCATCGTTAACACATTTATAGTGTGATTTCTGCCAAGTCGATTATCCTTTAGTTGTTGGAAGTCGATTACAAATTTACAATATTAGGAATCAGATGGACACAACGAAAAAAATTGGTATTAAAAGCAGTTCAAATCGTGGAACCAATTCCCTTGGTGAAGTCATAGCCCCTTGCTCTTCACCGCATCAATCTTTGCAACTCTTTCTCTTCTCCTTTTTGTTAGGTTTACATTGGTTTTGAGGATGCAAAGCCATATATCAAGTAAGTGAATTGTTTTGTCTCTCGTTTGGTTGTGTAGGCCCCAACTTTTCTTTAAGCATTTCTTCGATCTCAACCTCCCTGGTAAAAAAACAATGATTAAAATGCATGAAAGAATAAATGAATACTATTTTTAATCTTAAAATAGGTGGGGAAAAACATAGATTTAGCTATTTGTTTACCTGCAGAGAAATTTTAGTGGGAGAAAACTTGATCTATACGAAAAAAAAAAAAAGAATCTAAAAACGGTGGAGAAAGAACCTCAACTAATGAACATGGAAGAAGAAAAATCAAGTGCACTATATATAAAGAGGGATAAAACTGCAAAGAATCGTGGGAGTGTTGGTTAACATTGTGGAGGGAGTGGGATTGCAGTTTGTTCTCGTTAATTATGTTTTATATTCAGAAAATCAGCGAATTTGGAGTACGTTATTTTCTCTAGGTTTAATTTTATTTATGATTATTAATATTAATTTGCTAAATTTTCCACATGTCACGTTTTGATTGGGCATGTGACTTGTGCTTTATAAGATAAAGGATATCAAATTTCAAATCCATTCCAAACACAAACTATTGAAGTTATTTTTTTCTTTTTCTTTTCACATTCAACTACAAGCGGCTTTAATAATGTCTTCAAAATGCTGCTTCTCATGGATAATAAGATGTCCAGCCTCAGGGACTTCGTGAAGCTTTATCCATGGAAGCTTATCACATAAGTAGAGTAAAACTTCATGCGAAATTTGTTTGTCTTCAAGTGCACACCAAATGTGAACTGACCCTTTGTTATCATCTGAAAATGGATTGCTCAGCTCGGTTGGATCAAACTCCCAATTCTCGTAACCCGCAATGATGTCTCGTTGCATGCTCACATATTCACCTTGTCGTAGTGCGGATTCCTGAACCGCATAAATCAATTTCTTTCATGAGTGTCTTTTCATCAAAGAGTATCACCAAGTTCATTATATAAGAAAATATATAGATCCAAAACTATATATCTAACTTTACACGTAACATAGAGTCAGTTCAAAACTACACAAACTTTTAAAGTTAATATTTATAGGTACCTTGATATATGAGTGTTTTGTATGCTTATCCGCGAGTTCTATATCGCGCTCGGTCATAGTTTCTTTAGGATTCTGACTAAATGGGGAGAACCATTTCTGAGTCATCCACCAATATAATAACCATGGAAAGTAGTGTGCGACTCCAAGTGTCCACTGATTTTGAATTGGCAATTTCTTGAACGCTGAAATCGACAAGTTTAGAGGCAGACGACTCCACCAAAAATTCAGTAACGGAACCACCAACGTTGCTCCACTTAATCTATACATATTGTTAGAGACATTCACATAAGTAAAGATTATATGATCTTAATTCATATGGGAAATATATTCAAATTAATCTTAGTTCAAAATATAATTACTAGGCCAATATGATATGTACGTAAATCCATGTGTAAATAAATGGTAAATGATAACTACGATAATATCTGACCAAAAATGTTATTCTTGGATATTACTTGCATTAGATTGATATACGTACCTATGAGGAATGTACTTGAGACAGCCGTAAACTGGATAAGCCCCGAGTGACATTCCTAAGACGTGGAACTTTGGACCGATTTGCAATTTATCAGCAAGTTCTTCGATATCATATGTATCTGTTTTTAGTGTTCGTGATGGATGAGGATCGCTTTCTCCATAACCAGCTCTATCAAAGAGCAAGAAGTATATCTCGAATTCGTCGATCATTTCCTGAAAGCCAGAGGAACATATGTAGTAGTTCCAGTTATCATGATGATATGAAACAATCAAGGAGCTAGTTTGCAATATAATAACTTATTTTAATCCTTATATTAATATTAATACCTGTGTGATTTTTAAATCCACTAACTTGGAACTCCCGAATCCATGGAGAATGATAATCTTATTTTTGGCTTTGTCTTTTGGAAACCCTAATTCTCTGTAGGCTATATATCTGCCATCGTTGAGTTTGATTCTTGGAGATATCTCAGAAACATTCTCCGGCAATGGAATTGGCGGCGGCGGTTTTATGGACTTGTAGACATAATAGCCTATTAAACCGACAGCCGCAACTAGAAACAACATCATATGACCTGTAATATATGAGGGAACATCGGAAAGAGTACGTTCAATGCCTTAAAACAAACTAGCAGTAGTGATCATCGTCAACGTTTTAGTAAGTTAAATAAAAATTGTTTTAAGAAAAATGAAAGAAGAAGAAACTTTAAAATATGATAGATGCATGCGTGACCAATTGACATAGAGAGAAAACAGACCTGATGATTCGAGAGATGGCTTGGTAATGTAAAATCTTTTAGTGAAGATATCGCTGGTCAAAGGAATTTATCAATACTTATACTAACCAAAAGACAAGACAAAGGCTAAGACTAATCAAACAAATTAAGAAGGAGAGGCAATTTATGAGTTTTAGATTTGAATAAAGATTTGTTATTTTCTTTTGGTATCAAGATTTGAATAAAGATGGAAATACAGAAGAGCTTATCTGTTAAGATATATTTAAGATCATAAGGAATTGGACGCGTACTTAACATCTCAAATGACACATAATATGTTTATTTTACCTTTTCAAGTAACCGACATCTATCTAATGCTTTAGATCGTGACATGTATAAACATATCGTAAATTTAAAAATAATGATTAAAGTACCATTAAGAATCTAAGATTTTAGATTACCAATAAGATTTAATACACGTATGTGTATGCATATAAAAATAATTGATATCTTACTACTCTCTACATTATTTGGTTTTCCTTCTTTATTTGATTGATATAATACCAACTAAATCTATTTGTTTCTAACCGAAATAAACATGTCACAATGTATGAATATAAGAACCTATGCAGGTCCATAATCTAGTTAGTAGACGACATAAATGTAATAAACTAGTAGTATCAGTTTCCAATCATGAGCATGATTGCGGAAAGAAAGAGTGGATTATCAAAAAGAAAATAATTGTGGATGGAACCCAAATACAATCGAACTTTTAAATGTTATGTTTTGGGAAAACTCAAAGAGCAAAATTAAAATAAAGTCCAAAGAAGAAAAGACTTTGCTAGGCTGCAAAAAGAAACATTATTTATTCATTCTTCACAAACTTGCTTTGCTGTGACACTGTGATCTTTTCACACCAATTAAAAGAGTATCAAGATGTGTCTTCCCCGAGAGAGGGAAGAATTTGAATTTGTCTTATTCAGAGGTCTTCTGGACCATTGATGTTCTGTAAAAAAAAACATAATGGTAAGTTTTAGTTCAAAATAATTTAGGGTTCAAACTAAAGATGTAGAATGCCAATGCGGTTTAGCTGAACCAGATAAAACATTAAATTCAATCCTAATTTTCATTTTGGAGATTATTACTCTCAAAAACCTGAACCAAGATCATAACCGCATCAAACTAATTTATGCTGTTTCTAAAAATCGATAAAATGAAACAACATATGGATTGACCATCTCTGAATTAGAAACCCCAAGAAATCAAACCAAATTTCAATTTTGAGTGATAAAGTTTTACTTTCTCAACATAGAATCAAACGGTAACCATAATTGTGGCGAAAAGAAAACAAGCCGAATTTTGAACCATGGTTCGTTACATTACCTTGTTGTCGACCACGGCCCTGTCCGGAATTTCGAGCTTCACACCGGATTTTGCCGTCACAGTTACTTTGCCCTTTAAACCCAAAAGAAACCACTCTGAGCATATAAAATATCAACACCACCTTGGGAACTAATGAACAATTTACATATATATGTAGCTATACCTTGAGAACAACCGAAGAGCCAAACCAGACATCCCCAGACACCTTAAGGCTGTCGAGCGCGACTATACTAGGAATGGACTTAAACCGGCTCAAGAAATTAGCCACCTGTTATAGACAGACACACTAAGTGAGGCTCAAGAGTCAAAATACAATGTTTAAAATGACAAATGGGACTTGTCAGGAGATCATTATCTTCATTTACCTTCTTGAACTCAGGTCCCAATTCAATTGATGGGTTTGAGGGGTTAGTTCTAGCTTTGTTTCGGGTGACGAAGCCATCAACTAACGTGTAGAGATCAGACTGTGGAAGAATGAAAACTTATATCATTAGTCAAATGATTCAAAAGATATCGGTGTTACTCTGTTGCACTGTTAAATGTGGTGGGATAGAGTTTACCTGGACGAGCAGCAAGTCTGAGCTTGCCTTCACTGGCAAGAACCGTGAGCGAGGTACATTAACACCGATAGCATTGTCAAAGAACTGTTTTGAGACAGAATCACACAAAAAAGGAGTAAGAAAAGATTAGAGTTTGCATTCTATATTTCGAAATGTGCCACTAGGACAGGCATGTTACCCTTATCGCAGCACCAGCAGCAGTTTCCAGTTGAAGAACTTTGACTCCATCAACTTCCTGTATAGAATTTGCAGTTTTTCTTAGGTTAGATAATAATGAAAATTGCAACAAAAAAAAAAAAAAAAAAAACTTGTGCATTAGGCCACGCAGGCACCTTTGGGTTTGGAATGATCTCCATTTTAAGTGCATCAGCTTCCACAAGCTTTTTGATGGCCTTCAAGTTAACCCATCTGTAAACTTACACAGTTAGCGTGTACAAATAAGTTTATATTGTTTTATAGGGACGTGATCTACTTACAAGTTGTTTGTGTTGAATATCTTGAACTTCTCAATCGATTTGAATTCATTGACCTACCACAAGGATCAAAACACGAGTGCAACAACTCTTTTAAGCAGATGATACAAGTCGAAGTAAACAGAAAGACGGCACAAAAAAAGTCTACAGTTTGACATTCTATTGTTTCTTCAATAAATTTGGCATTTACTATATTCCCTTCATAAGAACAATCTAAAGCAGAGAGGAGGGATAAATGGCTTTGCAGAAATTCCAAGAAATGATTCTCTACACTTAGCTCGTTTATACCACCTTTCCCCAAATCTCTAATGAATAACGATCGCTAAAGAAATTGAAATCCAAACGGTAACAGGAAGGAAAACGAGGAAGTATAGAGACTTACATGTTCATCAGGAACCTGAGCAATCTCCAGAAGCTGGGATAAACCAAAAAGTCCATGTCAAGAACAATACTTATGTTCTTCAGTAGCACAAGAAAATTGTAGCAGTGAGAAGATCATGAGTTGCAAAGAGGTTTAAGATTTTTTTTATATAATAGGAACTTAATACTTAATAGACATATAAATAAATATACTACTGTTTTTTTCATTTTTTTAGTATAAAAATGCATTTACAGATCCAATAACAATCTACAGTAGAGGAAACCGTTTCTTAAATAACCAATGCATAAAGAAAGGTACATCTTAACAAGAAAGGACACAATCAAGAACTTACCTGGACTTTGCCTTCATAAGAAATGAGAGTTCCTCCCTTTACATCAGCTAAGGTTTTGGGTGTAACTTCCATGCAGTACTCGTTCTTGTTCTGGATCAAATGCTTCAGGATTGCTGCAGCAATTAGACGAAGGACGAGGTAAGTAAGACAGTTAGTATGGGAATTTCATGTAAAACTTTCTGATTAACCATATAAACTATGTGTAAACAAGAAAGAGAAGACTACAAAGAAGACATACTTAAGTCAACGATGGCACCCAAGTTGTCTGAATTGGCAACAAACACATACTCCTTACCCTGAGAGACCCAAAAAACGCAATTTTCAATACACATGGACATCAATCTTAAATGCTGGGAAAAACAGTAGTTGACAGCACTAAAGAAAGAACCTGTGATAAGAAAGTATCGAGCTTTCCACTGTTCATGAGGGCTGGGAATACATCACCATGACCAGGAGGATACCTTCACAAAGATAATTTATTAGTAGGCGGTCTGATAAGCAACAGAAGATATTCTTTAAATGCAAACGTAATCTACAATGAAAACGCAAATAAAAGGAAAAAAAATCTACGACGACTACAACATATAGTCAACCAGCAAACAGATGAAACTTATGATAATTGAAAACATGTCGTATTCTCTAATAGATTTCAGACATGTTAAAAATTCAAAACTTCATGTTCTCTGCAATCATGGACTGATCTCAGAGAGCACAAGGCATTATAATTCAGTTATCAGTAATGATACTCCATCACGTAGATAAATTCAACCAGTTCTCACTTGCATAAGAAGATAAAATGCGACTTCATATGAACATGAACAATAGCCACTTAAAGTATCAAGATTTAAGTAAACATGAATACTGTTTCGAGAGTCTGTTTCCTGTTGCTGTTCTGTATCTAAATTGCAGAATGATAGATTTCCATAGTTTTGACGAAGTTGAAAAACTTGTGTGATAATGAAGCACAAGGCCCAACGAAGAAAGAAACTAATACATAACAAAATTAAACCATACCAGCCCTCCTTGTCGGTCTTTCCCTTGCTGGGCCATGGCACAAACTCATCTGCCACAACACGGGGATATTTGCTCTACAATATCCAAGTAAACGTTAGTAGTTGCAGATCAGATGTCATTTTTTACATACAAATGAAGTGCTAATTTGATATCCACAACACAAACCTGGTTAAATGTGTGAATGTCAACATTTGAGTGGGTGTACTTTTCCACAATCTGAATATGACAAAAACAGTCAGCCAAGAAGAATAGCATAAATATAGAAGTGAAGAAATGTGATCTACAGTTAAAGAGAAGTACCTTTTGTGTGTCATCATGTGTATTAAATGAGTTCATGAGAACCAACGGAACCTTGCAGCCATACTTGTTGTTGAGATTCTGTGAGTGAGCAAAATATATTGAGCATTAGATTAGCAAACATTAAGTAGGGCAGAGTAAAAAAGAAAAGAAAATGACAAACCTCAATCTGGATAACAATCAGATCAAGAAATGTCAAACCGTCACGAACTTCGATAACAGACCTGCACAGAAACAAGTAAGCTATAATTTCTTTAGTTCCTGAATCTTGGACTGACTACTAGTACATGACTGCAAATGCCAAAAATTCACAATGGATTCTTCACTAGCTTCAATTTGAGCGTTACATCCACTAGCGATGAAAGCAAATTTTAAACTGTAGAACAAGACAACATTCAACCAGAAAGTCCAAAGACAAGGATGACATAGCAAATAGATCTAGCATACATAAACTTGAAATCTCAAAGAGACACAATTAGATTGAAAAAAAAAAAAACAGACAGGAAAAAAGGCTTACTTGGGGCCAGTGCATCCCATTGTTGTCCCAAGACCTCCATTAAGCTTTAAGACAACAAGTTTGTCCAACAGATTCTTGGTCTCGGATACATCTACATCAATTTTAAAATTAGTATCACAGAGAAACTGCAAGCATATTGAAACAAACAAAAAAAAAGGTTCAAGAATAAAACCTTCGGAGACGGAAGCCATTTTCTCGTAGGGAACAACGATTTCATCAGTAGGTGTCTGGATCTTACTCCACTCAATGTGCTGTGCCTCACCGCTTCAAAATTCAATACAAAATCAGTGACCGTGGAACTAATCAGTCTATTGTTATTACGTAAAACAACGACGAAAACAACTCAGATCTATATCCAGATCCGATCGAACTCAAGGTCTAATAATCGTTCCAGATTGAAAGCAATTTCAGAAATCACAGAGAATCAAGAATAACCGACAAAGCTGAGGAACTAGGAAATAGTGTTTGATCATCAACAAATCGATCGATATATCGGAAGTACACATCCACAAAAAAAAAACACAATTGGAAGCTATAAAGAGAAAGACGAACCTTAGGTAACGTGAAACGAGGCTGATGAATCCGCTCTTCTCATTCTCACTGAAACAAAAAGGAGAAAACAAACAGATCAGTCTATATAATAACGAAAACTCAGATCTAGAATCATGAAGATCCAACATATATAGGAAGAAACGAGACTAATAAAATAATCGAATCAAAGAAGACGAACCTCATCTCAGAAAGGCCATCGACGGCGGATTTGAGTTGAGGGAGATTCTCGGTGGTGGCGGCCATTGTTGATTACAGATTTAAGAGAGCTTTGGATCCAAAAGAAAAACACGAAGAGAGGATTGTTTTTTGTTAATGAAGAGAGAAAATTGGAAATTAAAGCAGAGAAATATTTATAGGCGAAGGGAGTTTTTGGGAGTAGTGGTGATGAAGTGATGATGCGTGGTGTTACCGCAAATATATATGTCTGTCGTCTTCTCCAAACCAATTATAAATTTACACGTGTTACCTTTCATGTCCGTCCGGTTTCGTTAGTACCGTCAATTTCCTTTTTCCTTTTTTTTCCCATCGTCCGGTTTCGTCTTATTACCGTCAATATATTGTTTCCTTTTTTTTTTTAGTTCTTTAAAAAAAAAAAAACTTTTTTGGTCGTGAATATTTGAGTTTAAATTTTTGTTTATAAAAGATTTTCTATTATTGATTGCATTAGAAATAAAATGGTACACAGCCATCATTAATGCCCAATGGGCAATGGCTAAATAGCTCAACACATTACATAAACGGAACCAAATTGAACCAAATTAACTTCAAACTATAAGAAATTTATAAAATACTGTTATTTATAAAGTTGATTAAATTATAGTATTTTTTTATAAGACCATGCATACAAATTGCAAACTAATTTCTAAGAGAATATATATATATATCAATTTATAAGGAGGTGAGATTTAAGAACAGTTATATGTTCACATGTAATAGCTCATAAGCGCATTACACCAAAAAAAAGAAGAAGCTCATGAACATATTTATAAATGGGTATCTAACATTTTTCTAGCTTTACTAAAAATTAGTTTCAAAATACATAGTTTGATGTATGTTATTCTTATATCTTATTCCAAATTATCAAAGTTCATAATAAAAATAAAATTATTTATGAATCTGGAATTTGAAAATTTTAAGAATTTTTTAGGAATATTGTAAGAGTTTATTAAGAATTTTGTAAGATTATTGAAGAAGTTTCAAGAATAAGAATTTACGGATTGTCTGTTTTATGTTTTTCAAAAATATTAATATTTTGTGTAAAAGTTAACGGATGTTACTTTCCCAAAAATAAAATTAATCTATTTATATATTTTTTGAAACATTCATAAACTTATGTAGTTTAGTGAAAATATATAACTAAATAATTAGTGTATATATTTTTATGAATCTTCCTTTTTTTTTTATCAAATGGTCAATCATATTTACGATTTCATCATTATTATTAAACATTTATCTTCAAACTATGAGTAACTTATTAGTATAATATAACCAATAGAATAAACCAACCAAAACCAATAAGAAAACCCCATATAAAAATGGGTTGTTTTATTACTTTCATCAATCGGTCTGTAATCTTACCGATCGGAAATATCTTAAAGCTCATGTCCATAAAACCATCACAACCAATCGAAGTCATAAAATCCCCGATATAAATATCTCAAACAAAACAAAACAAAACAAAAAGAAAACAAAAGAGAATCTTCCACAGCATATTCCCTCACTCAACATTGAGGACAATTGAGTAAACCTTTGATCCTTTGAACAGTGGAGCTGATCAAACTACTCACTGTGTCCACCGACTTCTCATTCACCTCTCTCGACCTAGGGGCGTTTCCAGAGACAAGGATCTGAAAGGCCACCGTGAGTAAGGTTCCACCGTCCTCCACAGTGGATCGCCTGCCGTCGCTTGAGATGATGAAACCAGAAGGAAGGATTGGGATATGGGAAGGGTCTACTTCGTCGGAGACAGCGAAATCCATTGTAGCCATGTCCATAGGAGCGTACACGATCATGCCTCCCAAGGCGTCCATGTAGCAATCTTGCAGCATCAAAATATCATCCTTGCTTGAGTCTTCTGCCACCAGCTTGTCATTATTCTCTTCTTGCATTGGCTAATATTGTATAGTGTATATACACACATGCACGACGATTAAAGATGATTAGAGTTATATAATTTGCCAATAAACGATCAGTAATTAAAAGATCGTTGAAAAGAGATATACATGTACCCGGAGGATGGTTAAGCAGTTGGTTTCACTTGATCCGGTGGCAATGCGAGCGATCTCATTGACTACGGTTCCATAGGAAAGAATATCCCACTGTTACACGTAAATGTTTTTGTTGTTAATACGTGATTTAAGCCAACAATAATCAAGAAGGAAAAAACAACTTTAGTTATCCATATTTGCTACAACATAAGGCTTCGGTCCATCATCATCCGCATGGATGAATTCGGGCAAGTGTAACCGTATCAAAGTTCATAAATTTTGATGATCGTGCAGATCAAGAAAGAGAGATAGAGAAAAGAAAGAACCTGTTGACGAGTGTCGAGGTTTTGAAGGAAAACGAAGACTTGCAAAGGAGTGAGAGGGATTGAGAGAGAAGACGAAGCACTGACAACGATACCGGGTGGTTGACCGGCCTCATTGTTCATCCGAATCGAGACTCTCACTCCATTTTTCGACTGCTGCGGAAAGTCAACTTTTCCGGACATGGTCAACATTTCGTTGAAATTCTTTACTATTCTCTCACCTAATTTCATTACACTCCTTCTTGCTTCTCCTGTCGATATGACTGCCAAAATATAATCAATTTGATCAAACGCCACATTATTGTAGAAACCATATATACGTGATATACAATCAATATCAAATAATTATAAAGTAAAGTTGCATGTCTTAGGGTTAGAACCTCGAGGTAAAATAAAAATCATCCGACCAGCTTAACATTTTTTTAGCCGGTAGCACTAGCATCATAAACTGATATGATGTGTATTATAGATGACCTATGATCTTAATCCATTTATTTTTACAATTTTTTCAAACTTCAAAAAGCAAAATTAGGATAAGACCAGAAAATTAAATAAAATGAAATAAAACATTTTTGTGAAAATTTTGTAACTATATCATACTTTTGATTCAAAAAGATAAGCAATGACAAAAAGAAAATTTTGTTTCTAAAATTTAAAATTAGAAAACTCGAATATCGAGAAATAAATATGGATATATACGAGAAAATATATTTTCTTTATATGTTTTTTATGCCAGTACATTCACATTTTTAGGGAATAAAAACTTCCGTTTATTCGTCATCCAAATTTTGACTCGTAATTTTTTCCTAATTTATTTATAGAAATCGAAGAAAACATTGACTAGTGTTCTAGTTTTTTTTAACAGAAAAAAAATTGTTGGTAAATATCAATTATCATCAAAATGATACAATCATACCAAGTGATAAAAAAATAACATATTTTTACTTCCTCAATTTGAAGTCATTAGTTAAGTTAGTCGTAAAGATGATACGTACCATCGCTCCAGTCACTTGGAGGAAGGGTTCGGATGGAGGAGAGAGCCATCCTCTCACACATTCTCTCAAGTGTGATAATCCAACGCTTAGCTCCATAGCCTGACCCGCCACTTACAAGATCTCTATAGATCTTATGTGTATCCAATTTATGGTCCACTTCCACATGCTCTATCCACATTACCTACAATATTTTTGATAGCTCCCAATTAAATGCAATATAGAAAAAAGACATTTATGAGCTCGATCGAGAGGCGATGAAGAGATACCTTGGAGTGAGCATTGGGCAAGGCTTGGATGAGACAACCCGAAGGACGTTTGTAACAAGCAGCATTATTGACAAAGTCAAAGTTAGGACGGTGTGACACGTCAGCAATAATCCAGAGTCCTTTCTCGATCTCTTGGCAGCACCTGACGATCATGAACTCCCTTGCTGGCACTAGCGGCGACAGAATATGTAGTTGCTCCCATATCTATCAAATTTCATTTACATTCAAAACACCAAATGTGTTAGTGACTCTATTGAGGAAAACAAACCTTATCTAATATCCTTCAAACCTAAATTCGAATTAAAAATCCTTAAACCTAAAGTTGGTTACGTAAATATTGGATTGGTAACATTTTGAAGTTCCACTACAAAGATAGTTCTTACCACTTGCAAAACATTGCAGTTTTCTCTTATAGGAAGCCCCGATCCGAGCACATGAATCGTCTTGGCCTTGTTCACAATCGTTGGAAAAAGCTCTTTCCATTTTTCCTACAATAAACAAAATCCATTTTAACATTTGTTTATCCAAACCTCAAAAGTAAAAAATAAGAATAATTTTTTCAAGAACAAACAAACAAATAAATACCGAATCTAAGAACATTTCGACCAAGTTTATTGCTTCAATAGGAACCACCGTAACATCTTTGGATGACTCGACATGAGCAGTAGTACTGCTGAAATGTTTGACAGCATGCGAGAACTTCTCATAGCTCTCTGTATCAATCACATAAGTCCCGTCGATACACGACTTAACCCAAAATTGTTCCTCAGTCAAAAACAGCCGCTTGAGCTCTTCAACCGCACTTGCGGCGATTTCAGACAACAGGCTTATATCCGTTTCGGATAGTGGTCGTGGTTGGATGATTTGAGAAGGTTGTGGTCCATATGAGCTAGATGGCTCGTATCTGTTGCTTCCGTTAATTCCGTACGAGATGCCATCAAAGATTTGATGGCTAGGAACATAAGCTAATGAGTCCCCCACGGTTGGTTCATTGGGCATGTGATTGTTTACAAAAGTGGAGAGTCTGTCACGCTTCACACAAAAATAAATAGTTAGTTGCATATATGTATATGTATATCTATATATTCACAATCAATATTTACAGTTTTCTATACTATTTCGAATATCGAATATCATTTCTTTAAAGACTAATATAATTTTGTTCGTAAATTTAAATGAAAAATATTCTGATGGTCAAATAAACATCCAAAAAAAAAAGTGAAATATATATTTATGGATTAAAACAAATGAAATCATATGCTTACGTTCTCTTTAAGGCGGGCGTTTTCGAAACGCAGAAGTTGGAGATTGTGTTCGCGTCCTTCTCTGCCAAAAGGAGGGCCTCCACAAGCTGGACAGATCACATTTCTTAAAGCATCGAGCATTGCTTCGTTCTCACTTTGGAGAGCCTCGTTTTCTCCACGAAGTAATATGTTAGTGGATCTTTCGTCTTGAGTCTATAGCATATGAAAAAAATATATGTATATATTAATTGGTTGAAGTAAATTACTGAAGATTATTTAAAAAGGATTTGCCAAGATGAATATACTTTGCTCTGAGTTCTTTTGTTCTGAAACCAAAATTTGATTTGGTCAGCCTCGAGTTTCAGCTCTTGACATAATTGTCTTCGTTGTGTTTCGTCTGGATGAGGACACTCCTTGAAATAACTTGATTCAAGAAATCAAAATCAGTTATTATAATAAAAAATTTATTAGGTCTTTAAGAAATTAATAAATAAATAAATAAATAAGGTTTTACGCTTCAAGTCTTTGGATCTGTTGAGGGGTGTGGCGATGACAAGTCCTCTTCCCGTTTTGCTTGGCGTCTCCCGAAGTGTATTGTTCATTGCCTGATGAGCTCCCACCACCATCATTATCCATTTTGTTCTTCACAAATAATAATTTTTTTGTTTTTGCAAATGATTTTTTGTTTTTGTTAAGGCACAAGTTAATCAGTATTTATAGGGGAATTAAGGATATTTTTTTAAAATATACATTAATTCATAAAAAGGGAAGAAGGGGGAAATATAGATATTACTATGTGAGTGGGTAAAATTATATGTTATTTATTAAATTATATTTTAAAAGGTAATATTTAAGTCAAATATGTATTAAAGATATATACTATATGTTTTGTATAAAATGTGAACAAATAAAATAAAATAAAAATTAAATCTAAGCAAAACTTAAATTATTGAGATAAGATTTGCTTTCTAAATATTATTGGTCGATTTATTTTTGAGGGTGAAATAAAACAAATCAAACAAACATTTTTATTTAGCTTATAATTATTAAATGTATTTTTTGAAAAGTAAATATATATTTCCCTTATATATAATATGAAAATACCAAGTGTTAAATCAAAAGTATCAACAATGTCAAGTGTCAAATAAACTTTTTGATATGTTTTATATTATTTATATTTTAAGTTTTGGTATCTAAATGTCTATTGTACAAAAAAGTGGGTAAATACTTTATTACAAAAAGCTTGTGCTAATCATTAAGTTAAATTTTTAGTTAAAATTTAAAAAATTCATAATTAGTATTTTAAATTTTAATTAAATGGTTTTCCTCCTATTTTCTTAATTATGTTAACTTATTTATAAAATAAGAGAATGGAAAGATATCATCAATTATATAGAATAGAAATGACAATTTATTGTAAAGTACCTTTTTATAGACAATGAAAGCTTATTCAACAGGTTGCAAATACTCAAATTAGTAATGTGGAAAGAAAATTTGTAAAATCTAAGGAAACATTGATCTAGAGATGTGTCGGATGAGGAAAGAAAAAAGATGACATTTTTCTTACGTCTCTATATTATATTAGTTTTTAGGTTTAAAAATAAAAATAAAAATCCTCGTTTTTGACATCATTTTTGTTAAAATTCTATATAAATTGTTATTTTTTATTCGTCTTAAATCTCCAACATTTTAGTGTGACACTACTAATAAGTGATACAATCCTAAATGGTTGGGATTATGGTGCATGATTCGAAAAACCGATTCAAACCAAGACTAAATTGTCAACAACTAGATCAATCCAATCTAGATAGAAAAGCATAAATTATAGATATTTTTTGCTCAAGAACATATATTATAAATCAGTTTAGTTCAATGAATTCATGAAGCCATTATGATTTGGCTCCCATTCTTTTTTTTTTTTTGTCAAAATTTGGCTCCCATTCAAGTTCAAGAATACTAATAATTAATCCAATCCATACGACTCGTGAATCATCTCATGAACACTAGTCTTATGCAACAATAACCATATTACCTACCTAGACTAAACATAATTTGTTTTTTATACTAAAATTTAAATTAAACGTCTCTTTTTATATTCGAAAATCACACATCAAGTACCAATGATTATATTTCCAATTGGATTCACCGAAACCATATATGGATCATCAGATTAATCTTAATCATATCTGACAGTTGTTCATCCACCCAAAATTTAAGATCAACGGCTCTTTTTTGTCTTTAAAGGTCACAATTTAAGTACCGACGAGTATATTCCTAGATTGGATTCACTTAAACCATATTTGGATCATCAACTTAATCTTAATCATATCTTACAGTTGTTCTTTCACTTTAAATTTAAATTCAACGGCTTTTCCAGTATTTGAAAGTCATACATCATGCATCAACATCTATATTCCTGAACTGTACTCACCGAAACTATATTTAGATCATCTGATTAATCTTAATCATATATGATAGTAGTTCTTCTACCCAAAACCAAATTCTAACAGTAATTCTACCCAAAACCCATAGATTTTTTTCATGAATGAACAAGTTTCTAAATCAGCCACCGAGCGAAAAATGAAAATTTCAATTTTCAATCCAACGGTCATCATTCAAAATCAGATAAAAAAAAGCTCCAGCGACGGTCTCTTTTTTTATTTCTCTTTTAATTATGTACTTGTTTTATTCTCTTTTAATTAAATTTTTGCTTTAATTTATACAGATTGTCAACAAATGGACCAAAGAACGTAAAATTGATAGACTGCCCACACGGGCTAGGCTGCAGGCATGGGGGTTGCATGTCTCGTCTTTATGCTGCTTGTGTTCTGCTGAGCCAGAAACAAGGGATCATTTAATGCTTCATTGCGAGTTCAGCACCGCTATTTGGAGTTTAGTTCAGTCGAGACTTAGGCTGCATTCCTTACGCTTTATGGACTGGGCTGAGCTGTTATCTTGGATCAGAAGGACAAGTCCTGCTGCTCCTTCTACATTGAGGAAGCTGATTACTCAAGCCGTTATTTACGCAACTTGGAAGCAGAGAAATAACATGTTGCACAATTCGAATCACATTGCACCTGCTGCGGCCTTCAAGATCATCGATAGGGAAGTCATCAACTCTATAAATGCTCGGAGGCACCGACGAAAGTTCCGTAATCTTATGAGCCTATGGCTCGTATAATGCTCCTACTTTGAAGATCTCTTCTTCTTTGTCTACTTCCTTGTTTTTTATCCTAATTTTTGCCAAGGAACTAAACCTTAGGTATTGCACATGTAATTTCTAACTTTTTCATTTTATATGATATTTACCCACTTAGCAAAAAAAAAAAAGAACGTAAAATTTTTAAAGGTTTCCAACCCAATAATAACTTTTTCGGAAAACCCAAATCCAGCCGATCAGTTCATGATCCAACACAATAATTTTGGGACTACTCATCTCGGCCATGTTTATAAGCCCATTTTGATCATGATCTAGTGATTAAGTCCAACTACGCTATGCTCAAACCTAATGATCATGAATCCATTATGATTCGGCCTGCCAATCAAGTTAAAACAAACCCATAATCTGGCCCATACAATATCGTGAATTATCCCATCCACGACTTGTCCTATCTGAATGAATCAGCACACACGACATGATCCATATTCCATACATAGATTAGCCATGATCAACCACACATCAAGATTCAATTCAATCATACCAATCAACGATAAAACAATTTTCTTTTCAACAAGATTCAACCTCAACAACTATTTCTATATTATCCCGGAATTGTACCCATTTAGGCTATCTTTTGATGGAGAATAGTGATTTATAAACTCTTGTTGTCCAAAAAGAAAAAATTAAGGCCATCTTGTGATTAACGGATTAATCTTGATCAAACATGGGGATTATTCCTCTATCTAAAACCAAATTCCAATGTTTATTAATATTTAGTTTTTTTTTTGTTTAGTCCACGAAGATTTTTCATGAATGAATAAGTTTCCAAATGTACCACATATTTCACATCTCATCTGCATATATCACATTGAAATTGGAAAGAGACTTTAATTTTCCTAGTAATGTATTTAGGTTATCAAAAGTTAAAAGCATAAAAAGAAAAACTAGTTATTTTTTGTTGTGATTTCTACGTAACAAACAAACAAAAGAGTAAATATCATTTAACTGAAATGATTAATGATACAGTACTAATCTTTTTTTTTTTTGTCAATGATACAGTACTAATCGGTTTCACAAATTTGCAAAAGGCAACAAAATAATAAATATCAAAACAATGCATGAGTGACACACGTAACTACTAGCGTTATTAACTGGGTCCAATTAAAGAACAAGAGAAACTTTAATTAGCCTTAACAACTGTGACTGGACATGTTGCATTTGTCACCACATGATTGCTCACACTACCCAGCAAGATCCTACAATAAAAAGAAAACCATAGATAACATAATTATGTTTGCCAAAACAAAAAAGATAACGTAATTATTAATCAAATCTCCTTCTGGTGTATACGTAATTACGTGTATATATATAAACTATATACGCGTGGCGATAATATAGAGGTGCTCAATTTAGGTCCGGTTAACAAAAACCTAAGACCATGATTAATGGCAGGTTCTTAAGAAAATCTTAAACTGAATCTTAGCAATAAATGATTAAAATTAAATCTCAATTAAGCTATTATTGCTAAGAGAGTTTCTTAGCTAAGCAACAAAAACATAGTTAAGATCCATATTTTACAAATATATTACTTAAATATTCCTAAGATTTATTTCTAAGACACTATGGATAATCATGCTCTAACAACCGTTACTAAAGCCAAATCAAACCACTAAAATTAATTTGAGAAAAGCCAAATCAGTTTCAATTATTTGAAGCTATATTGCCTAAATATACTGAAAATCCGATTTTTTTGAACCAAAATGTAACGAAACTAGAATATAGCTAGTAATTAAGAATAAGAATTTACCTTTTGAGAGAACCCAAACCTCGACTGCCAAGAACAATGGAATCGAGTTTAAGATTTTCGACAGCATCACAAAGTTTCTCCCTTGGATCTCCCCAATACACCTTTGCCACAACCTTCACCTATAATTTTGTTTAAAGTTTATATTACAATGAATTAAAATTTAAACATCATTAACTATTTGAAAGAAAATGATATTAAAATTAAGCAATAGTTGTTAACTTGTGTAAGATTACGAAAGAGAACATTTACCTTTTTAGCCCTAGAGAGAGTATCAAGAACATCAAGAACCTCAGGATCGTAAGCAAGTCCATACTGTTTAGACAAATTAATCTCTCTAAATTCCTCCAAAGGAACTAGCGCTGCATGCAATAATTAGTTTGTAAATTTAAATTATCAACATACAAAATTTTGATCATAATATGGAAATAAATTTACTAATTTAATTACGTGAACCGGTGTCCTCGAAGAGGATTTTGCGGGTATGATCGGCGTTTTGCGGTTGGACGTGAATCAAGATGACGGTGTCGCCGTCTTCAAGGAGATTCTCCGCTGCCCACCGGAGAGCTAATTTGCTCGTCGGAGAATAGTCCATTCCCACTCCCACCGTACGTGCCTTCCCCATCTCTCTATATATCTATCTATCTCTCTCTTGATGATTTCTAAGTGGAAATTGATTACGGTAGTCTAATTTATAGAATGTATAACCGGTTTGATGGTTTGGACTTTGGAGAATATTGGCGCACACAGAATTCGATATATTTAATGATTGTCTTTTTCTTTTAACTGTTTTTGGATTTTGATGGGTAGATTCTTGAAGCTACTAGGTCTCTCTCTAATTGCTTTTTTTTTCTTAAAATTCTTTGTTAAAATACTGTAAAATTAAACTTGATAGAAAACAGAATTTTTAACTTTTGAGTTGTTTTTCTTGTTATTACTTCTGTGTGCATAACATTTCATTCACCTCATATAGTTTGAAAAGAATTAACATGTCATATATAGAGTTGGTGTCATATTCATATAAACATTTAATATACTTGATATTGAAAATATGTGGTGTACTGATGAAAGCCATGGAAGATTCAAGATATGTATTTGCACACGTAGTGTATTGGTGAATTCTCTTTATCTCACTTGCTCTCGAAGAAAAGTAATATTCTTTGTCAACTTTCAGCAAAGGCGAATTTTATTCTTCAACTTTTCTTCCTTTATTAGCTTGTTTTTTATTCATTGATTGATGGAACACATACCAATCAAAACCAACTTTATTCTCTTATATTCTATGTAAATGTACTGTAAACATATGTTTAAATATTTGATGGCTTGGAAAGAAAAAAAAAACCCACAACGTTGTTACGTACGATGCCTATATCGTTAATTAGTACGTAAGAAACTACAAAACAGTCAATGTTAAACTCAATTTAAAATATCGGTCTCAAATTAAACGATCTTTAAAAGATAAAATAAAAAAAATACAAATTGTCGATTTCAAATGGCCCAGTAATAGTAGGGCGGCGAGCCAGTGTAAATAAGTAAATTAGAAGATCCACAACAACAAAGCCAGTAAAAGTGTAAAAACAAAAAATGAAATGGTAACCGATATTTTTGGTTTAATCTTTTACAAAAAGCTAAGTAATTGTAAATCATCTTAAAAGATGATAAGAAATCATTATGAAATTCAAATAAATATAACAACGCCTTCGGTGAAATATTATTCCAACTCAAAATTTCCTTGAAACTTTAGAAAATAAATGAAGTTCCTGATGATAAAACATAATCTAGAACAAGAAACAAAAGAAATTAAATGAAACAAGCACAGCTAAAGTAAACCTAAAACAAATCTCGATCAATTATTAATGTAAGTGCAATACTGCTTGACAGAACTACTAAAGAAAGAATTGCTGAGTGGTTTAAAAATGGCTTGAGTACAGTCTTCATCGATCTCAACAATGGCCTTGCAACATTCTGGTCCTATCGTGATTTGACGGTTAAAGAATGAACCGAAGATTTCCGCCACACAGGCTTCTCCGTCTCCTAGGTCTGGAAAACACATCCTAGCTAACTCGCTATTATCACTGTTACCGATAATTCCACCGAAGATAGAAGGGAGCGAAAATGGAAGTGGAAGCGGGAACGGAAATGGAAATAAGGAGAATGCGGTTGCGGTTTGAGGCGCAAAAGATGATGAGAGGAGAAGGGCTAGTACGAGAGAAATTGGTTTCATCATGATGATGAAGAAACAAAGCTAATACTTGATTAACAAATGTGAGTGATATTTTTATAGCGGCTTTAACTGATGCTTGAATCTTGGTGAAGCCTATAAAGGTTTTTAGGGTTTTGTAAATATAAGAGAGATATATAAAGGAAATAGAAATCTTAGATAGAGGAAGACAGTTATACACTAACAATAAAAAGATCTTTTTGTTATAATTCTAGAGTGTTCAAAAATCGTTAATATTGGACTAGCTACTTTGATTGTTCAAGCGAAGTTTAAATAGTTTATATATAGGTTATACCACTTAATTATTACGAGTTGTTTATAGGAAACTATAGTATCAAACTTATACGAATTTGTAACAAAAATGTGAAAAAACTAAAGAGACAGATTAAAAATGAATCTTACTCTACGGGTTTATTCGAGCGGTTTCAGAACTAAACGGTTTTGTGGAAATTTGTCAATGAAAAAGTTTAGATTGTTTAATTTAACCAATTTAAGATTACGATCGTCTACATATATATGATGGCGTTAGAGTAGGAGAAGCACAAATATCCCGTTTACATTCAAATTTGAATTTAGCAATCAAATTTTAATACATTAGTTAAAAGAAAAGGATAATTAGGTCTTGAAGCAACAAGAACAGTCCCATGGACAACGGAACCGTCGCGTCATTCAAGTCAATAAACCGAAACACAGATGTATTAAGAAGTGAGCGTGGATCCCACACGAATGCTTATACTATATCGTGTGATTAAAATTATCATATCGTGTGATTAAAATTTTGTGATAACAACTGGAAGAGTAAGCAAATACTATATCTCCATTTTGGTTTAACTAATAGTACAATAATTTGTGCGTCCTTTCCTCACACTTTGAACCCCTAAATATTAGGGAACTTATTATATGTCACCGTCTCTTCACGATGTATAAAACAGGTAGCTACGTTGACTCAATACATAAAAAATTTAACTTTCTTCTAATTCAAAATAATTTTGAGCTTTTGACTTTTGCATTCTTTTTATTATCCAAACTATTTTGGTTAGATGAAAATAATGTTAATTAATTTTGTTCCCACAAACTTATCAAAACATTTCATGTAATATCCGACCCCTTCAGGAAAACCAAGTACTAACACTATAAATAAAATTTAACATTATGAATCGACTTCATTATTATTATTATCTCTTAATCATTACCTTTTTACGCGGAGTAAAATGAAACCAAATAATGGCCATAGACTTCTGAAAACACGGCTTAATGATACTATAGTTTATGCTACGACGCGGATTCAACTATCTAATGTCAACCTCTATATGCAACGCTGTCCATCTTCACTATATTTTATTCTAATCATCATATTTGTTATTATAATGCATAAATTTTGCTCTCGTTTTCTATATTAAGCTTCCATTTGTCTTTTTCCATCTTCTCAAAATCCAAAATTAGTTTCAACTTCACTCGTAAAATCTTTCGATTTCTTGATATATTAGTATATAGCTAGTAACTAATAACAATGGGCAACTACGTTTCATGCGCTCTAAACAAAACGTCATCGTCACCGTTGGCCAAAGTGATTCTCCCGGACGGTGGAGTGCGTGACATCCACGTGCCGACGAAAGCAGCCGAGCTCATGATGGAGATGCCAAGCTATTTCCTCGTCGACGCCAAATCGTTGAAAATCGGCCGTAAATTCATCCCACTCGCCGCCGACGACGATCTCGACCTTAGAGGCTTCCATGTGTACGTTGCTTTTCCGATGACACGTGCCACTTCTGCAGCCAACGCCTCCGACATGGCTCGGCTCTTTTTAGCTGGCAAGAAACGCACGAAAAGCTGCGATAATAGGAGAGTGTCTCCGGAAGATGAAGATAACGATGACGTAAGGCTGATCGGACCGAAGCTGAATCTTGAAGACATAGAAGAGTTCTCGGCGGCGGAGTTTATTCATCGGATCTCTTTTTCCAAATCTAAGAAACCACAGTTGGAGACTATAGTTGAAGAACATGTGCCCTAATTCAACAAAACCATCCAATTATATTTTTTTTCCTCTTCATCAAAGTGCCTCTCTTTTGTGGTATTAATGTACGGAAGGAGACATTAGTCGAGGATTAGTATGTGATTCCTTATAATTTTTTTTCATCCGTTATATATGTAAGTGTATATATATTTTTCTGTTAATCAATAATGTGTGTGAATTATCCGTAAAGACTGGTGTGTTAAATTTCATTCATATGAAAAATAACAAATTATTTCCTTTAATAATGTGTCCACCTTTTCGTTACAAGTTACAAACTAGCCGTTAAAGAGAAAACTGGATTTTAATTAAATAGAATCAAATTTTAATCATAGGAAATGATCATTGGAAAATGAAAGTGATTTAAGACTTTCATTGAATAATTTGGCATCGAGACCAAACTTTGACTTTATATTTCGGAAATGTTTAGTGATAAGCTTGCTCGTTTGAAGACTTAGGAGATTGCGATTAAGGAAGCTCATCCGAGGTATTCCGATTTATATCGGTTTAATGGATGTGATAAGAAGATGGAGATATCAGATAAGATATGGAGTGATGTGAAAGCTTTAATGCCTGCAACTTACGGCTTTGCGATGGTTGCACATGTGAGTGAGGACGGGAAGAAGAAGGATGGTATCGCTCTGGCTCGATGTGTGATGAATGTGGAACGGGACATGAAGAAAGGCGGGATTTTCTGGAAGAAGTTGTGGAGAAGTAAGTTGCAAGCCTCCTCAAAGTAGAGATGGTTACAATAGATGAAACTTTCGGTTTATTCAACGAGGTTATAAGAATTGAGACGCAAATTTATCGTGTGTTGCATTAATAAGATCTTCAAATTTAATAAAAGATTTGTTACAACTTATTCTGTCTTTGAATTTCGGACTAATATATTCTCATGGTACGCACGTCCTAGGAACTCTTTTGTGATTAGTTTTTCTTTAATTATCTTGCACGTTTGTATTGTATATACGGACAATAACAATGATCAAGATCAAACGTATGGTTGTTAGAATCAAGATTCATAGGAGACATGGCAAGATCGCTCAAGAAATCAGTCAAGTTGAGCCTACGACATGTCCGGGTCCGTTCTTCAACCATCAGGTTGAAACAAGACTCTAGTTCCATAGAAAGAGATCAGAGAATTGAGTTTCTTGGACGAGACAAGGGGGTTGGAGAAGAGGAAAACGATGGTGACGGTAGCAGCAGTGAGTATGAAGAGTTTGAAAAAGAGGAAGAAGGAGGAGGAGAAGGGGAAAGAGAGGAACAAGATGATGGCAAGAGCGTTGTGAGCGGTGGCAAAAGTGAACGCGGGGAGACAGAAGCCGCGGTGGAAGCAGCAGAGGCGGAGATTACAGAGGCCGGGAATAGAGTGATGGTGGTGGTGGATAAAGTGATTGCATCAACTGGAGCTCTTGAATGGGCTTTGAAGCATACATTACAGTCACAAGATTATCTTTTTCTCTTATATTTCTCCAAACCCTTTAGAAAAGGTTATTTCTCTATCTTTAAATCTAAGTGTACGTTTGGCAATTTTGGTTTGACTTTTTGAGATCTGAATTCTAAGGATTATAATTTGTTATAGGAAAAAGAAAGAACCGGAAACGTGAAGTTAAGACCGATGAACTTGTTCATACACTAAAGAAACTCTGCCAGACAAAGCGACCAGGGGTGAGACCAAATTCTAATAAAAAGCGTTTGCTGCGTTTCAAATGCTAAAAATGTGAGAAATCTTACTATTTCTGTATAATAACAGATAGAGGTTGAGATAAGAAGACTAGAAGGAAAAGAGAAGGAGAAAGGAGAGAAGATAGTGGAAGAAGCTAAAGAACAACAAGTGAGTCTATTAGTGGTTGGAGAAGAGAAGAAACCGCCAGTGTGGAGATTGTTGAAGAGATGGGGATGGAAGAAACGGCGAGGCCGAGCCGGAACTCTCAAGTATTGCCTAGAGAAGGCTTCATGTATGACCATTGCGGTTAAACCAAAGAACCGTAAGCTTGGTGGTTACTTGATCACAACCAAACGTCACAAGAATTTTTGGCTCTTAGCTTGATGGTTAAAGCCATTTTAGGTGGTTATTTTTTTGTTTTTTCATATTGTTTGGAGATATTGATTTTAGTATAGCTTTGTTCTTCTTTGATTAAGACATTCCGCGTAAAACAAATTCAAAGTATAATACAAAAAATTGGTTATTAAATAATTCATAATGGAGAGAAGAAAGAAACAAAAAAACAAATACTAATCAAGAATAATATAAGTTCTCTGAAACAATTATTATCATGAATGAATGCGCAATAAAGTTGACAAGAAGAAGAAATTTAGGAGTCCAGGCTGTTCTTAAGTAAGTTCAAGACTTCTTTGTAAGCCAATTTCTTGGCCATTTTCTTATCAGAGGCCTTTGCTGTGTGAACAAAACTCATTTCCTTAGCTTTCACCTCAACCGTGAAAGAATCGAAATCTTTAGTTTTACTCAACTCGAACTGCGCTTTCTGGCATAATTCCGTCAATTCTCTCACAGGATGTAGCTTCACAGTCTCTGGAGTTATCATACAACCCAAAAGTGGTCTAATACTCGCAAACACTACTTCCTTGTTGTAACCTGAGTCAACAAATATCGCGCCTGCTAAAGATTCTATCACATCTCCAAGAACCTGACAGCGAGACCAAAAAAGGTAAGACGTTAAAGGAGTTATGTTCACAGTAGAGTAGAGTTACTATGTGGTTAGATTAAACTCTGTTACCTTAGGAAAAGATATATCGGATTCCCATCCGAAAGTGGATTGCAAAGAAGACTGTTCAAACTCACTGACTGTTCTAGAGATGTGCTTGTGGAGATCATGAGAGGCGTACAGGATGTGTTTGTGCAGGTTTGCTTTCACCGCCACTAGAGCATAACATTCATTGTTAACAGAAGCTGATCGCATGTCGGTTAATAGTCCAGGAGACAGACAAGGATATTTGTCGTATAGATGCTTGGTTATGAGATAATCCAATACCGAGTCACCGAGGAACTCCAACCGCTGCAGTAGTATCAAACTAGTTTTATTCGAAACACCAAAAGAATAACAAGTATATGATTAAATTTATGGAGAAGTGACCGGACCTGATAGCATCTTGGAATTTCAGGCATCATGTATGAACCATGAGTCAATGCTTCAACAAGAAGAGACTTATCCTCAAAACTGTAATTCAACAGCGACTCCATATAACCTACATTCACAAGCTTCTCTGCTTGTATTGGGGACTCTCTCTCGATCTTCGTAGTAGTGAAATCGACCTTTATACCGACCCAATTCATGAACATCAAAGCTGCAAGTTCACCTCCCTCGCTGAGATATGCTCCAATTAGTGATTCTACAACATCAGCCACACTCTTTCGTTTCAAATTCCTCCTACTAGCAACGTATATGTTTCTAGACTCGGGTAGGGTATCATTTACAAGTGCATAAGCTGCAGAATGTTGACCAGGTACCATCCAACCTTTAGGTTCAAAACACTCATTGCGGATAAATCCCTGTAATTAAATAAATCATTTTACTCCACCTGCGGCAAATTAAACATTTCTATACAATCCAAAGGTTTGGGAGTCGTTAAGACTGAAGAATGTTTACCTGAAGTTTCTGCTGACATCCAAATTGGCAGAGCATGACATTTGAAATCATTCCATCTTTCTTCGCGCTAAGAAGACCCTCATGGTGAGAATGGCAGTGTTGGAATAGTTGCTGACAAACAGCATATTTAAGAAAAGAGTCACCAAGAGTTTCTAGTGATTCCAAGTGGAACTGATCTTGGCACTTCTTTGTCGTGATAGCTTCCAAAACCTGTAGTCACAAGTGAACCAGAAGAATTTGGTGAAAAACCAAATTGAAAATATATACAATATGTATATGAGCTTGAAAGTCCTAACTCCTAAGTTCTACCTTGATGGTTGGGATATTGACTTTTGGGATGCTCTTCTTTAGGTTGTATGCTATAAGCAAAGATTCAATGCGTTGCATAACAGATGGGATAAAAGTATATGAATAGATCATATCAACTGATATTGGGGACAAAATGACATGACACAGTTCAGGAGGTAGTTCAACAAACTCTTTGTCATGCTCTGCAGTAAAAATAATATATTAAGGAATCAGGAATTCAACAAGAAATGATGATGCAATCAATCACAGAGTGTGGTTAAAAGATTGAACCTTTCTCCTTTTTCTTCTTGGTCATGTGAAGATAATTATGCAACGTGAAAATGTGTCTTCCATTCAGAAGAGGTTGATCCACAAAGTTTAATTGAATCCCATGCCTGCAAAAAAATTATAGAATCCAGCATCTGAAAGTAGAATAAAATAAGCAAAAGTATATTAACAGTGAGAACTATATGTACCTTTCCTCGTAGTACTCCATGTAAGTCTGATCGCCAGAATTTCTCTTCGTCAAAAATGAATTTGCATTTATATTGTTGAGAACGCCTTTCGTGCAGTAGAAGTATCCATTATGTGGTGTGTAAACCAATGCGTTTTGTACAACACAAGTACAAAACAAGCCGTCTTTTGTGTGTAGAATACGAGAAGCGCCGTTGATAGAACAATTTACGTGTTTTTCCAAAGCTTCATGACAAGTTAGATTCACGGATCTGATCACTTCCCAATCAATAGGAGATGTTTCATGTGAATGAGTGGATGGAACTAGTAGATAATCAAGTGCTATCCCGTCTCTGAGAAGCAATCCATTCAATGCCTCCATCAAATTTTCCACACTGTGATCTAAAAGAACTCGGAATAGAGTTATCTGAAATCTTCTACACAAAAGGACCTGAACAAAAGAAAATACAGAGACTTATCGAATTTGGACTTCAAATAAGAAATGATTCGTAAGAATTTAATTGAGATAAGTACCTCCTCTTGTGTGAGGTGAAAAGCTCCCACATAACTCAATGTCACAGCTATGGTACCCTTATGATCTTCCAACCGGAAGCCTGTGTTCCCAATGTCACCTTCAAGCACAACTCTGGTGCCTAGTAAAACATCGTTTAAATGAAAATTTCTTGGAGAGTTTGGCTTCATTCTTATTAGGTAGAAGTGGTACGTTGTCTCCCGCTGTGCTGAAAACTGGGAGACTAGCTCTGGGGGGAAGTAACATGGCTGCTCTGGGTTATATTGGATTTTCTCTGCAAACTCAAATCTCATAGATGAGTGATTTACTTTACAGCCAAATTTTACATATGAAAATGCAGAAGATTACCGAGTTTTTGTGCGACAGTTTCCGCCACAACCATGTCAGGCACAAGATGATCACTTAGAGCTCCAACTTTGTGCAGTTGAATGCAAGCTTCAAGACAGACAGTTTGTTTTAACACTTTATTATTTGCTTGAGCTTTAACTTCTTTTACTGGGCAGCTCTTAGGAAGGTAAAGCGTACAACTCCCCTGATCCTTGTTTACATCAAATCTAGGAGCAGGTTTGAAGTACCTTTTCCAGAAGAAAAAAAAAGAAACACAAATCAGAAAGATGTAAAGAAGCAAAAATTTGAATAAAGGAAAAGATGAAGCTGGTATTAGACTAACTCATCTGAAGGAAGCCTTGAGCAGTAATGATATATTAAGCTGACGCTTGAGCTAAGAGTTACAGTTGCGCCAGTACTTTCGACACGGAAGAATAGTTCGTCTGACTCATCTGGAAGAGGTGGACAGGGAACAAGAGAATGATGCAAAGACTCTTCACGCATTCTTTTCCCACCAGAAAAATATTTTTTTAACCGAGATTGTGTTACCAGATCTCCGCTGCCAGTGGCAATGAGTGAGAAAGAAATTACATTTTGTTAAGCATGGAGCTGTAAACTCTATGAAGACCAGCCAAATATGTAACAGACCTTTCCACCATCATCAAATAATCTGAATTTTGCATTCTAGCACGCCCACGAGACTGTATGAAACTGCAAATGTTGGTTGGAGGATCAAATCTGATAACCAGATTGCAACTTTGAACATCTAGTCCCTCCTCTAGAATAGATGTTGCTACAATGATGTTTACCTACGAATAAGAACAGGTTACTCAGATATAAAGATAACAGTAAGCAGATAACACAACATTTCACTGGAATTTGACCATACCAAGCCTCTCCGGAAGTCTTCCACAATTTCATTTTGCTTCTTCCGAGTTTGATTTTGCAGACCAGAGTTATTCCCAGCAACGTACTTGGTTTTCCAGTTATTACAGTTTGGAAGAATCTCAGCCAACAGAGATTCCAGAACAATGGCTGTTATCACCCTATCCACAAAAATGATGCACCGTATGTTCTCCAATGAGCTGCATCAATAAATATTCAAAGAAACAGAATTAGAAAACAACATAGGTATAAAAAAACATTGTACTCCAATATGTGTTGATTTAAGCAATGTCAATAATTCAAGGTTTTTCATTTCAGATCGTCATATCAAACTCCAGTATAATAAGAAGAAACAAAAGTGTGCATGCGATCCAAACCTATAACCAAGAAGAGTCTCAATGAGGCAGAATGTTTTTGATGTTAGGAGACCTGCCTCCACATTTCCATTTATGTTTGCAAAACTCCAATTAAGACCTATTTACACATGAAAAGAACCAAAGAGGTGAGGAAATTAAAGAAATGAATGAATCTTCAATCATTGAATGTTAGCAAACAGAAAATTACCATGAGGTATGTCAGCCAAAAACGCCTGTGAAGCATCAGAGCAGAATTTTTTAACCAATGTCAGGCTAAACATATTTAGTTCGCCCCACAAGAAAAAGTCATTCTGACTGGCTGACAATGACTGAGCAGCCTATTGTAGAAAAAACAAATATTACAACACTTCTTACTTTCCTATGTAATCTAAAATCCTAAAGCAGCACCAAGAAAAAAATAACACCTTCTGCGCCAGCAAAATTCCAAGATCATCCAAACAATATGTTAGAGTTAAACTTATCCTCGACAGTTTCTTCTCTATAGAATCAACGGTAGCGGAGTTGAGATCCAATGTTGCAAGGGATAAGCGATGCTGAAAAATAAGTCTACCATCAGTTAACATTTTGATAATATGATGCAAGAATGATCATATATGAGCTACATTATTTAAATTCACAAAAACTTCATTCTATGATTCAAAACCCAAAAAACAATCACCACTCGCATACAAACTTTTACCCTTAGTTCACGTACCTTTATCATTAGTTTTTCTAGCTTCTCTACCAAGATTGCTCGTTTGGAACTTGGTATCCCCATGTGCTGGTAGTATTTGAACCTTGGTGTAGAAAAGGGGACAAACCCAGCCAGCACAGACTCACTCTCACAGGTATAGACCTTTATTAATCAAACAAATTTATTATTATGGTGGAGTACGCAAGAAAATACGGTTCAGTTTCTAAATATTGAGACAGGTCAAACACTTAACATAATCAACAATCTTGCTACAGTTCAAAATGGCAACTAAGAAAATATGATGCTTCTGCATCAGATGTGGTCATACTACGAAGAAATAATGACCAATGATGTATGTTCACTAGATGATCGAAATATAAACGGACAAATCATTTTGCAATGACTAAAGTGACTATACCAAACAAAAATATCAATCTTAAGTAAAGGTTTCTGATTTTGTCGACACCTTTGACAGACTAGAACAAAAAAAAAGATTTCATTATCTGTAACTCAAAAACATATAAAACAGGAGGGACAATACCAAAAAATTCAAGATAAAGAAAAGAAGCAACCTTTGAATTCATAAGAGTTTCGAGTTCATGAATCTTTTTCCAGTAGCTGTCCAGATTTTCACCTTAGTAGAGAAAAGAAAAACCAAACTTGAAAAAACAAATACAAAATAAAATGTATAAATCCAATCAAGAAAGAATGTTAGATGCATATATACCCTTTGTTTTCACAAGGGATGCAGTCATCCCAAATATCCGTGGAACATCGGAAGTGCCAGAATTTAACTCCTTATGATAGAACTCCTGCATGAAAAGGAGCTATGCTGTCAGAAGTTGCAAAACTACATTATAAACTAGTTATTTCTAATATGAATTTCCTATGTTTCAATGAGATTTCATTCAGGTTTGAGTTCTCTAGCTAGGAATATCTTTCATGCTCACCCTCATGATACAAGCATAGGGGTGCTTTCCCCCAGCATGATGACACTCATCAACTATAAGAACCTTGATCATGCTCAAGTTCAGAAAACTATGCCTCAATGCATCGAGCAAAATGGCAGGGGTCATCACTAAAACCTGCACTTATGAAACCAAGGGAGAAAATAAAAACAGAATGAACACTTGAAAGCTCCAAACAAGTTGAAAACTTGGGCCTATATGAATGTGCATCCAGAGCAGACATGAAACAGTAATAGTGCCTTCCAGCGGAAATTAGCGTCAAATAGTAGGAAACACAAGTTCAATATGGCAAAATTCATATATGTCAGAGACAGCCCATATGGTGACAGATCATAAGAGACTGTGATGCAGGTAAGCAAGACTTTATGGACAAAAAATACTTACGAAATGGCGAGCTAAAAATAGTAATAATGAAACGCATCCTCATAAGTCATAACACTTGACCAAAAAAAAATATGTATATGTAATTGGTCAAAATAAGGAAAGGAGACCTCATATTTATCGACTTGTTGTTTCCATGTTGAAGAATCCCAAAAGTCAACCCCCATGTCTCCCCAATACATACCCACTTGTAGATCAGTATGCATCTTCAGGGCTTCTGCTTGCTGCGTAAAACACACAAGGAGAAATTATGAGCATGTGTACATATTTCTTGATAAGCCTCATACAAAAAATGGAGAAAGTAACACTAAAGTTTCTAAATTTGGAACAAAGGACAAGTCTGTATATTGGTGTGTGTGTCCCTTTGTCCACAACTCCAATCGTAACACCGATACTAACATTATACCTGAGTGACAAGAACCACTTGAGGAACCAAGAAGACACAGAAGCAGGGTGAAGGCTTGCGGAAAAGGTAGGAGTAGCTACGAAGAAGCATAATGGCAATAAGGGTCTTGCCAGAACCAGTCTCCAAGAAGACAATAGTGTTCTGCTTGATAGCTTTGTCAAGTGCCTCTACCTGATAACTGGTAACAGAGCATCAAATATACAAGATGTAAGACCTGAAAGTACAATGATGGGTTCTTCTAAACAGAGATTAGAAAGATAGGCCAACCTTCTAGCAAAATGTAGAGGAGAAGCAGAGACTTGATCAGTGGTCTCAGTTCCCATGGCATCAGCATCCATGGTCATCTAAAACATAGACTGATAAGTGATAATATAGACAGTAGAATTACGAGAAAAAAAACCCTAATTTTTATCAACAAATGTCAAAATTCGCCATAAGTTGAGCAGAAAGAGTAACAACGCACAAGCAAATAAGAAGAGATCGCTAAACCAACCCAAGGATATAATTTACAAAAAAAAAAAAAAAAAACAATGAAGCAAACCTCGAAAGACAGTAGTGTCAGGTACAGACAGTAGTGGAGAAAAAGCTTACTTAAAAAGAAAAAGAAGAAGAAAGGTATCTATCACGAAGACGAACGATCAAAAGCGATAGCCCAGTACTCGGTCATTTTAATTAAACTTTTTTTTTTTTTTTTTTGATTAAACTATTGAGTGGTTTGCGAAACCAAAAATTAATGAAAAAAACTTGAAAACTGTTATTTGACTGCTATAATTAAATTATCTTTGGGTGATTGACTGTTTTGTGTTGTGACTGACAGTGACACACGCTTTCGCTGACGTCATTATTCATTTTTTATTTTATTATGTTTTTTACTTTTTTTACCCAATAGAGCAAAACCGCTTTTACTTTTGGTCCAGCTGTTAAAAAAAGCAAAAGGATACAGAATAATTGGTGAACAATAGGGTAGGGTATATGCTTTAAAAAAACTTTTACACAGAAAGATAGGTAAACAAGGATATAAAATGCCTTAAACATTTTATGTGAAAAAAACTAAAATAAAGATTCTAAAATGCCAAGTTACATTAATAAAAAAACTTAGCTAATGCAATTTGTTTTTTTAACATTTAGAAAAATCATAATACTTGCTGGAAGACATCTTAGTCCAATGGTAGTAGAGCCATTTATAATCTTTCTCAAAATTCGACTTCTGATTTCCCAATTGTCCTCTATATATATTGTTCAACTCTATCAAGTAACAAATAAGAAAACCCCTAAATGTGTTTCTTAATAATCAAATCATAAAACACCAAAACTTCCACAGATGACTTCTCATGGAACTTTATGGGTTTTGCAGATAACATAGAGTAGCAACAATGGAACTACAAGACTGTAACCAGGAAAATGAACCACATTCATCTCATAAGCTCTAGCTAATGCCCAGCAATTCTGTCAAGAGAAACATAATACAAACAGTACTTCAGAAGTGATGCGATCGCGGGTTTTTGCCTATGCAAGACAGAAATGAATGAATGGATAATGAGTTATTTATTATAGAAATGGTACCTTGAAATGCTTCCAATATAGAGCTAATGAAGCCACCAAGAGTGATTTCCGAAACAGTCTTCTGTTAGAGAATAACAGCGAGCGGCGTTGTGATCTCTTCTTCCTTCCCCGGTCATGATCATCCTCTTTCTTACCAGAGACGGTTCGAATGTGATCTTTGTAGATTTCTCTCTCAGCAACCAGACAACACACAAGCAAGACACTGGGGATAACAACAAAGACCACATGTGGGATCACCAGAACCATTACATCAGGTTGTCCAATGTATTCATGTTTCCTATCTGCGCCTGAGCTCGTCACCACCCATCCCATAATAGTCATGTATGTTCTGTTTCCGGAATCAGTAAACACTTCACCCGAGAACCAAGGAAAGAATATCAGATACAACAAGTATGCCATGTAACCGAACCAAACCACAGGCATTCTGCATAGGTCTTGGAGAATCCACAGTACAAGTGTGATTGGTCCTTTCTTGGCAATGAACTTCTTGAGAGTGTACTGCTTCTTGAAAACGACGATGATGCATTTGGGGATAAGAAAAACGAGAAACAAACTATACATAGCAGCCCAAAGAATCGGGTAATATAATGCTGCCCATTGGCAGCCCATGACACGAAACTCATTCCATGTCCATGAAACTTTAGAACTTAGACCATTGATGGAAAATGGTCGCATTTCTGATAAAGTTAATCTGCCTTTGATGTCAGTGACTTCTATTTGCAGCCAAAATCTATCAGGTAAGGGATCTTCAAAGGCCCTATAATTCCATGGAACTGAAAAGAATGTTGCCCCGGAAGAAGAAGAATCGCCTCCAAGTTTTCTCATTGGAGCTTCCATGACCAGGTTGTCAAATCCAGGACTTGAGTCATAAACTCTAGCTACAACTTCCACAATCAGGGAATGAGAAAACACAATGGCTCTTATCGCGTCATAGGATGATGAGATCATATGTTGGCATTCGTATTTGTGACGTGCAAAGGATGTTGACATAAAACGTGAATCTAATGGAAAGGTCGGTAATATGATAGTCCTCTGGGATTTTGACTTGAAGTCAAGATCAACATATGAAACATGACCCCTATCAATGGCCATGATCCGCATTGCCCTGTTTTTTCTCCAGTCACCCATCTCCCATTCCCAAAATTCTGCAGCTGGTAAGGCTCCAAATGAGCAGTTCGAAGTACTTTCAGCACCACTCTGCCTCATGTTCAACTGAAACAAGTCATTATCTGATAAACTGATACCACCAGAGTGATGATGTCTTTTAAGATTCTTGCCAAACTTTGAGTGTAGATGGCCACACACATAAGCTGAGATGGAGTGCTTCAGAAAAACATCTTTAAGGCTCTTTTGAGAATGTGACAGCGCTGTGAATGACAATGGGAAATGCCCAAATGATATTTTTGCAACAGGTTTTGCTGATTGGTTATCCCATTGCGACAGGTGTGAGTCGAGTGAGCTCAAAAGTTCATCAGTTGGATGCCCAAAGAGATTTGTTGGGCCGCGTAATCCAATATGCATTGTGGTGTCAATACCGACAAACAGATGTTTACGTTCGCTAGTCTGTATAACAAAACACAGAACCGTTAGCACACTGTAATAGATAACCGTACGTCTCAAAAGCAAATCAGTCATTCCCCAACCCAAACTTAGACAATCAATGACATCAACCAAATCAATCAAGAATATAACAATAAACCAAGCTGGGAGAGCGTAACCAACCTCAACAGTGACAGTGTTAACATTTCCTTTCCTTCCCATCTGTCCATTGATGCTATACTTCGAGAAGAAATCAACAGATGAACCAACAGCCGGAACACCAAAGTTGTCATGATTACCCCTAAGATCATAAAATATGCTCTTATTAAGCCCACTTCTTTTCACAACATCTTGCATCACACTCTCGTATTCTAACCACTCATCTTCATTTAGCTTCATTGTTAACATGTCTTTGCTTTTCCCATCTGATTAACCAAATTAAGAAAAATAAAATCAACCAGTAGCAATCTTCACAAAACAAAAACCATATATATGTAACCACAATGGTTCCCAAAGCTAAAGTTTCAATTTTTTTGGGGAAAAAATCGAACTCGAATCAATCAAAGCTTCAGACTTGCATATAAGAAGCATAAGTAAAACCTAAGAACCCAGGGGAGAGATATAAACCTGTGAGATCTCCAGTGATGAGGACGAGAGAAGGGTTGATAAGAGACAGAGCAGGACCCACAATGTTTTTGAAATCAATGGCTCTCTCGGGATGATGAACACTGAAATGGAGATCAGATAGCTGAACAACCCAAATCAAGTCTTGCCCAGTTCTCGCTTCAATCACTCTTCTTCCGGATTCGTCAATCGAACCAGAGACCCTCGTACTCAAGGAGATTAACAGAAGAAGAAGAAGAAGAATCGTAAACGAGATTCTTCTCGGAAGAGAAACTGTTTTGCTACTGAGCTCATCGTCGTCGCCGATCGATTCCATCACAGAATCAGTAGCATTTGCAGATGAAGGAACCTCTCAAAATTGTGTATTTGCAAATCGTTAGACGAACCAAAGAAAGTCTACATTTTTATTATTTCTTAATTCCGTCGTTTCTTTGTCTTGTTTTCTGTATGGAAAGAAAAATGTTTGATTTAAGGGAAATAATCAATTCACTAATGGTGGTACTAATATAAAGCGTGTGAGAGTATCAAACAAAAGTAGCCAAAAAGAAGGTGATTCTCGATTAGAACATTGTTGTTGTTGTTGTTCTCAGAAAATTAGTTGGTGAAACAAAGGCAAAAAAAGGTATGATTAATGGATTCTGTTACTAGTTTTTTGTTCTTCTCCCAATTAACAAAATCGGAGCTGCTTAAGGGATGTCCTGTTGTTAAAGGACTTGTAGTATCTTGAAATGTTTACTTGTCCCCATTTATTAGAATCCAAGTTTGAGATCAGAGTAACTGTTGACCTTTTGATCCATCTTGTGGAAATTTATATAGTTGACTAGTGTTTATTAAGCATAACAAGCCAAAAGTTTCATATTCATTCATTCACATAAAAAGCAAAAAAAGGCATGCAAATTCCTTTGAATCCCAAAGGTTTTTTTTCTACTACAATTTCATGCACATACATATGTCACAACTCACAACGTACAATAAAAATAGCAGAAATAATTACAATCACACTTTAATAACGAGTTCTTCATTTTAACTAATTCAAACAAGATCTTTTAGTTTACTAGGCTTTGGACTTAACCAGAATCGACAACTTTGTGAGTCCTTAAATGCTTCCGTTTAGCCTTCTTGGGCTCAACTCCTAACCATTGTTGAATGAGCTCAAACACTCTTTTATCACGGAGAAGCCCGCGGTGGCTACCAGAAACTCCTACGCTCGCAACTGCTTTAAACTGTGCAGCCTGCAAATAAAAGGTAGAAACGTAAGGGTTTTGTTAACGTTGACAGTAACAGATTTGCTTCACACGAAAACCGAGACCTCTATATGAACAAGAAAGTAGCTTACCGCAGCTGATTCAGCAGGTACAGTTCCATCTCCATCTACATATGTATACTCAGGCTGAAACAAGATACAAAGTTGCAGAGACTTTTAAATCAAACATGAAAGTATAATAGTAAGTGAAGGAATACCAAGAGATAACAAACCGAAGGCAGGGTATAGAACAGCAAGATTTTAAAAGGGTCCAAAGCATTTTTCTCAAGAAGATTCATATTTCACTCACCATAGTTTGACATATTTCAGACAAATCGTCTATCGGAGAAGTCTCTGTGCCATAACTGCAACAGAAAAACAAAACAGCTCTTTTTAATGTGCAGCTTGCAAACACAGTTGGAATCGATCAAGAAACTTAGTTTGGATGATTCAAGAGAATACTCCTTATAAACCAATCAACAAAAAAAAAAAGCTCGGCAATAGAGGCGCGATGAATAGTATTGTTGCATACCAAACATCAAAGGGTGTATCAAGTGACACTCCGTAAATGTTATAGAAGGAAACTCCATCAGGAAGTTGCGCTTTGTTGAGAATTTCTCTCGTCTTAGCCGCCCAGTCGAGGATATCAAAGTTAAAGGGCAAAGCTATTTTGTTCCCACCGTAGCTTAGCTGCAATACATAATTACATTTTTGATTATGTATCCAGTGACCAGATCACATCTCAAGCCAATGCAAACGAGAAACAAAAGCTGAGTGTGTTGAGTTTGCTACCTCGTTATTTTTTAATGCATCGTTGAATAGATCAATACTCTCGATTAGGCCAAATGATTCCAGTTCTACAGAAGTGTCATCGTCGTTTTCAGATTTCTTACGCCAAACTCGAATCTTTGGTTGCTTTTTCCACTTAAAATCTGGATTTCCCATCATCTCGTATATAGATGGGCATTCGACCAACTAAAACCAAATTTTTTAAAACAGATTCATCAGTATAAAACAAGAGTTTCATAGACCCTGAAATAAAAATCTAAAAGGTGTAACGCCAAAAAAAATGATGCCAGTAAACCCAAAACTATGAGGATTATTACCAGTTGGTGCATCGTCCATCTTGACACAAAAAAGAAACTTTCTAACCCTTCCACAAATTGCACTCCAGTCAAGATTGAATCATTGATGCACCCTGGTGCTCCTGTTAACCAAATCCAAGTTATTTCCAATGAAACCGGCTATTTCTCTTATGAAAAACTTTTTGCAAAGAGATAATTCAAAGAGATAATTCGTATCACCTTGGAAAGGTGTTGCAATTGTAATCCATTTATTTACATACTTGGAAAAAGCCTGCCAACAAGAAAAACAGAGACTCACTCATTATCCTGTTTGAATAGGGGGAATCTCTAAAGTTCAGCTAGAATCTGTCGAAGATCATAAAGGTTGGAGATTATAATACCTCCGGATGGAGATACATGAAACATGAAACCATAATTCCTCCCATTGAATGGGAGATGATAGTGACTTTTCTCCCCCCTGAACGTTTATATGCAGTTTCCAGCTTCTTCTTCAGACCTAGTATCAGTAGATCGATCCTGCAAGAAATATATAAGCAAAGAATCTCGAGAACTACGATTTTCAGGAAATAGCCGAGAAGTTTTGCAAATCACCTATTGCTTTGACGGAAATCGTAACCATATCCGAATAATGTAGTCCCCTTCTTATAACCGCATCCAACCAGCATTTCTATCATATCGTGAAAGTGATAAACCTCTGTCAAGTGACAAAGCTTCACAAACTGGAAAACCAAAGTATATAATATCAGATATATCATGAAAACGAAGAAGTAAGGCTAACAAGAAAAACAATTCCAGAAACACACACTGAGGTTAGACATCAAGAAAGAACAACCTACTAGATACAAAAATGGTTGCACATACAATTTCCTAAACCTTAACAATCAGTCATCAACTAGTTGACCAACAACTGCATAGAAGTAGCCAATGCACATAGTAATATCTAGCTATATTAAGGAATTGAAAGAAAGATCTTACCCAGGAGGGATCTAGAATGTCAATTGCATAGAGTCCATGGTCATCATCAGGGACCAATACTTCAATATTATCATCCAACGGCTCTGTATAACCTGCCAAAAAAAATAACATTCAAGTTCAAGATCTGCTTCATAACTCACTTTTCTTAAACTCATAAGATAAACTGGTACTCTAAAGTCCATGACTTCAAAGGTAATCTCTTTTATCAAGCTCAAATAAACATTTCTCAAGATATTAAGAACGACTCAAAATTTATAAAGAGAGTTGATTTTACCAGTTTTGGGATTATAGAGAGACCAGAGGCTCTGCTTAAAGGCAAGGTTGGCGAGAAATATTCGAACCCAAACCCGAATTTCAGACTTTGAATCCTTCTTCTTAGAATGCAGAATGGAGCCTCCGATTCCAGAGACTAGAAGCACCGGATCACGATCCGCCACCTCGCCGGAGTTTTCATCGTCGTTGGTTCCCCAGCACGGACACGGAATCCAGTCCATCAAAGCGGGTCAAGTTTCACAATCTGTGTAGACCCGGAATATTCAATTCGGATCTTTCTACAGAGTTCAGGAGAAAAATGGTAAGTGGGGCTTATCATACAGAGGTACATTTAGTCAACATGGAAGATTTCTGAGCATATGCCATGTGTGACTGTGACTGTCTACACGAAAGCTTCTCGTGCTCCTCACGTGTCACCCTTCTAGATACCTCACTTATTGCCTAACGACAACGTTTAATCTTCCGTTACCAAAACGAAGTCAAGGTGTTATTGACCAATTTCAAATGTGGTTAGAACATTTTGTAATATCTAAAAACCTTGAGGGTATTTATCCAAATTTTTCTTTATTAAGACTATCGATTCACGTTGACATTTTTGACGAAAATGGAGCAACCAACGTCGCCGGGAACAAAGTCGGTGAATCTCCGAGAATGCATGGAATCACTTGTACGTTTTACGCTGAGCTCTCATTTAGACGTATCTGTTCCAAGTTTCGATCTTGACCTGACCAGAGATTTTTGCCTTCATCTCCTTGAGGAAGAAACAGATTCAACTGGTAAGTTTTGCTAATTAGTAAGCAGATTATGAAACTGGAATGCTGAAGAGACATAACTGAATTTTTCTCAGAAATGTTTCAATTAACAGAAAAACCTGCGGTGTATAAGCTTCTAGCAAGGGCTCTCTCTGAATGTCTAGCTTCCGAGGGTGATAAAAATCCTAACTTGGAAAAATACAGCAAATTGTTTCATGGCTTGGGACATGACTTAATAAATGTAAGTAAGTATGAAACTTTAGTTCTCAACTATTGCATCAAAACAGAGTGGGAAAAAGTTAGTTAGAATTTTTACACAGAAAAGGTTCTTTCTTTCAGATGTTGAAGAAGGTAAACTTTGAGCTTCATGTCCAAGAGCCTTACTTCACACAATTGAAAGGTACATTTCTGTTTACTTGATTGTAGTACACAATTTTATTTGCTGAATCTCACTTTTATTTTCGGGGTGCCTCTCATTTGCCAGATGGTCAGAAAACTGTTGAAGGAAGATGTGCAGTGGGAGATTACATGAGGTCTGATATTTTTATCTTCGTTGATGAACATGCAAATGTTGATTCACATCTCTTGTTCTTGCTTTTCCGTTTTGCTGATTCCGATATCTTTAGATTGTCTTATTGACTTCATAATTGGTTTAGTCAATTCTTACTAGTTGCCTTTTTGTGGTGTCTATGTCCTCTCAGGATCAGTTCAGGAGCTTTTATTTTATTCAATAAATGCTTGCTGCTTGAAGTTCAGGTAGTCACTAGTTCTTGTATCTCTGTCAATTCTTCCTTGTGAGGTCAAACACTATTCATCTTCTTACTAACCATTTTGACGAGTGCAGGACGTTCACCATTATACCTCATTTTCAGAAATGCTGAGAGTGGAGGGTCTTGCCAAAGTTCTTCCTGGAGTTGAAAGTATAGAAGAAGGTTTGAAGATCTTTACCATACTTAAAAACAACATAGAACGTTTAGAAAGTGTCTCTTTTGCTATGTGGACTTTGTTCTAACCTGAAATGCTGTTCTATCTGCAGGTGTTCAAGTTTATCGAAACTTTTACCCTGAAGAGAAGGAAAGAATGAACGGTGTTGTAGCAATTCATGTTGCAAAACCAGCTAATCAGCCTTATGCAGCTTTGGCAGGAGTATTGTCTGTGAGTTTCTGGCAGCAAGTGAAACCCCAAAAGCTTTCATTAGTCTTCAATATACGCATCACATAAACTTTCTTTTCGGTTTTTCTTTTGTAGGAACTGAAGTCCACTGGGATCAAAAGCCTGTTGGATGACTATACAGCCTGAGTTACCTCGTTGCTGCATCTAAAAACTTTTTGAGCGCAAAGAAACTACACAATTCCAATGGTACCAAGTTCAAGGTGTTTGATATCTTAAAACTAGAATGCTGTCAAACCAAAGTGGATGTTGTGTGTAGTTAAAATACAGAAGATCACATCGTTTCTTACTTATTGAGCTAATTTAACAATAAAGCAGCAACTACATCTACTTTATCAGACACCTTCTAAAGAACCAGTTCAGTTTGTTTTAGTCTTCTTCCCAAACAGTAAATTCCATGAGTATGTGTTGCCTTTCTTTTCCGCGACCTCTACACGCTTCCCTCCAACCTGCAAGCCGTTCATTTTCGTCAAAAGAATTGCTTTTAACAGAATAGTAATTGTCTCTGTTCTCTAACCAAAATCTTAAGATTCTTTTAGTCAAATATTTTTGTCACATGATAATTGGAAACAAAACAATATCTTATACCAGCAACTTATAAAAAAAGATAAACAGATGAACAAAGTACCTTGTCCATGAGCCAGAAGCCAAGGGAAGGCATGTACTGCACTAGATACATCACGAGCAGTACCGGCTGATAAAGAGCGAAAAGAAGATTGTATGTCAGCATCTAAACTGAGTGAACCATATGCGATTTTGACAAAGAAGTACCTGATATGAAATCCAAGCTTCCTTCAAGTTATGAGACGCAGCGATTATAGTCAATTCTGCACATCGTTCAGATGACACACGCTTCTGTGTGGCAAACGAAAATTCATGTATTAGATGCTTGAGTGGAAATATAAAGAGAAAGGACTCGGAGATAGAAAATCCTAATGTTGAAAAGGACAGGGAAAGGCAGAAGTAATAAAACCAGATGACAACTTAAATCAACAAATCACAATCATAATTAATAAACCAACCTCAGGAGACTTCTTGTCTTCTGAAGTTGATGTTCCTGTACCATTCAAGGTTTCTATAGGACCAGGACAAACGACGGTAACCTTGATTCCCTTCTGACAGAACTGAAACCATGCACAGATGATCAGAACTAACTGTGAGTTTATATACTTTAAGGTGCTATTTTCAGCAATTAGTGAAAAGGAGTGTAAAAGAAAAATTCAAATCAGCAAATAAGTTTATTTCACACTCTGGGATAGCTGTGAGTTTTCTATATCGACTTTCAATAGTCATTTGCTGCCAAATAATTAGCAAGCACCACAGTTTCTTTAACTGTTAACATACCTCAGAACGCAAGCTGTGGAAGTAGCCGTGGAGAGCATGTTTTGAAGCAGAATATATAGCCTGTCCAGGTGATGGTACCTTTCCTGCAGCACTGCTTATCTGTAGACTGACGTGAATTATTAATCATGACATTTAACCCAAGGAATTGGACAGTTTACACATACAAGAATAGCTAATCATAGCTTGACTTCTCAAGATGTGTATACGGCAACATGATTTGGAATTTAGCAAGCAGGAGACAAAAATACAAAAGAAACCTTCACTGTCTATAGATAGCCTAAAAGCCTCAGATTTAACATATATTTCGTCAAGATTCAATAGTATGATTCCAACCTTAAACTAACATAAAAACGCAATATATATTTATTATCCATAAACTATGATATGAAGCTCAATCCTTCAACAAATCCACAGAATTAGGGCACTAAAAAAAAAACTATCCCCGTTAGTCTCCACGTACCACAACGAAATGTCCACCTCCTTGTTTTAGCATATAAGGAGCTACCAACTTTGTAAGAGTTATCGTCCCAAAGACATTGATATCGAATGTAGTCTGCACACAAAGTCATTGAATAACCATATGTCACCAAGAAAACACGTTAAAAAAACCATACTTGTCTTACTTGGTACAGGCTAAGAAATATCTGGCAATCAAAACAAAAAGAAAATTGTCTGGCCTACGGATTTGACGCATTAATTTAGTACCTTGAGAGTTTCCTCACTTGCATCCGATGCCTTGGATTTCTGCAAGAAAAAGAGTGTGATGATGAGACGCCCTTGAACAAGTGAAATAATAGCTCGAACTAAAAAGACTTCTCTATTGAGTAGATACAACACTTACCGGACGCTCAAAGGCAGCATTGTGAACCAAATAATCAACACCAGCCCCAGGGAAAAGTGACATTGCATGCTCTACGACATGTTTGAGCGACTCCTCGCCGCTAGCTAAATCTAAAGGTAAAACCTTGACATCTTCTGGTGCATATTTACCTAGAAGAATACAGAGTCAGTTACATCATGTGTCAACAGAAATCAAAAGTGGAGACATTTCCTTTATTCATTAGTACCTTTGAGCTCACTCTTAACTCTCTCCAATTCAGCTTTATTCCTTGCAGAGAGAATAAGCTTGGCATCTAAACTTGCAAACTGTTTAGCAAGAATTTCCCCTGAATCCAATCATAAACATGAACAGTAAGCAGCCACAATAAAAGTTGGAGAAATCTCTTCACAGATAATTCTAAAAAACACGAGTTACCAATTCCACGGCTAGCCCCTGTGATCCAGACGACCTGAGTAAAACCAAGAAATCTGAATTAATGATCAGAAAATGAAATAATCGAAAACTCAAATCAATCCCACTAAATTCCATTGTTTCCTCTATCAATCCTCCAGTACCTTTCCTTGTATGGCTTCACGCTTCGCATGCTTCTTCGAAATCAGGGTAAAATCTCCTACAGAAAGCAAAGATCAATCCTTTATACAGAATCTATAACTAATTTCGATCACAACCAAAAACGAAAAGAAGTTAAACATTGCATTAGAAATCGTCAGAGTTATTACCATCGGCAAGTGCGAATTTGAATAGCAGACCGATAAGAAGAAGGACTCCGAGAGAGAAGAAGAGTAGAGTCAGCATTTTCTCGGATTGAAGCAACAGCCAGAGACCAAGTCTTACCCAAATATAGTTGGCAAAATATGTTGACGAAAATAAATATAGGGGTAAATAATAAATTATTAATATTTAGGGACTTGTATGCAATTAATCTTAAATACCAAAATCTTATTACATCGAATGCCCATTGTTCCTATCATTGTGGCTTTCGATCAAAAAAACCCCAAATCTCTGTTCCCAGACAGGACGAAGAAAAGAGAGAGAGAACGAAGATGGATGCCATAAGGAAGCAGCTTGATGTACTCATGGGAGCGAACCGAAACGGCGACGTTCAGGAGGTGAATCGCAAATACTACGACCGTGATGTGTGTCGTCTTTACTTGTCTGGTCTCTGCCCTCACGATCTCTTTCAATTGACGGTGCGTTTTCTATATATCTCGAATCTCAATGTTTTGTTATTTCTCAGTTTATTGCTCATTGAAAAAAAACCCTAATTTCACTTTTGAGCTAACTGGTATTAACACCTACAGTGTGAAATTTTGTATCTAGTAGAGTGTTGAGTACTATAGAGGGTGAAGGAGTTGTATGTATATCTGAATTCTGAAACTTTTGTATTGCTTCACCGATTTCTATGAGTGTCTGTCTAGTAATTTAGTTCATGGCTACTTTTGTTTGAATAATTACTGATGCTCCTTTCTCGTTTCTGTTTTATTATCAGAAAATGGATATGGGACCTTGCCCAAAGGTGCACTCTTTGCAGCTTAGGAAAGAGTATCCTTTTTTACAGTAAGTTTAGTATATACCTTATACTGTTACCACTTTCACTGTCGTCGAGTGAACTACTTTCATGACCTCTCTCAATTCTCAATTGAACCTGACATTTGAACATGCTTATTAATTGGATTGCTGTCTGTTGTTACTCATGTTTTTGTTCTTGTTCCTGGTTTTTGCTTGAGATACTTTAACTGAATGGCTAGTGCATATAAGAGTAGCCTTTGCCTTGAATTTCGTGTTCCAGGCAGATTAGTTACCAAAAAAGTTGGTTATATTTAGTTTATTTCTACTGTGGCATGTTGTTCTCTTTCCACTCCTGTGTTGCTTTAACTCACCCGTAGATATCGAGAAGCAAAGGCAAAAGGTGTTGATAACTACGACAGGGAATTGGAAGATGCCATAGACAGGCTTATCGTTGAGTGTGATAGGAAGATTGGTAGGGCCCTTAAGCGTCTTCAAGAAGAGGACGCCAAAGCTGCCATTGCCATTTCAGTCTCTGAAGTCACTCAGGTGATCATTTGATTTTGAATTTTGGTTGACGTGTCTTCTAAGTTTGCTTCACTTAGGTTTGTTTGTCATCATTTCATTGTTTAAATGCAGTCTCCTGAAATTCTCGAGTTATCGGAGAAAATCAAAGAGAAGATGAAGGAAGCAGATATCCACGGTAAAAATTGAAAGAATATTGCCCAGCAAAACTTTCTTTGCAGTTTCGGCTTTTGAATCTCCTTTTGTTTTGTAAAGGATTCTTGTATTGTTAATCAAGAGTGTATACTGGTTTGCCTATGTACAAACCGATGGTCTCTGGATTGTATATTAATGTTTTTGCTAATAATTGTTGTCTGGTTATCTAACTTTCAGATGCTGGTAGTCTTTAAAAGTTATGGTGTCACTTTGCAGATCTTGAAGGCAAAATGGATCTTAAGATTAGAGCTCTTGAGTTAGTCGAAGAAATGAGGACCAAGAGAGCTGACCAGCAGGTGAATTTGCTTTCGCTATTGGTTCAATGAGCATTTTTGCTTTTTTACTTTACCTATGGCAGCTGGAAAGTCCTTCGTCTTGTTTTTCCTGTAGGCGGTGCTGCTGTTGGAAGCCTTTAACAAAGATAGAGCATCCTTGCCACAGCCTGTTCCAGCTCAACCACCATCTTCCGCATTACCTACACCGGATCCTCGCACTCAAGAAATGATAAATGAGAAACTGAAGAAGGCAGAAGATCTTGGTAAGGGAAATAACCCTTATTTGTATGTGGTTATTTGTCTATGGTCATCTTAATTTAGAGCTCATTAAGTAGCCATTTTTGTGGAATATTGAAACTGCTAAATAATCACGGTCTAGTGTTTCCTGCCGGTTGGGAATATCTGCTGCTGATCTATTATTTCTTGACCTATAAATTGCTTAAATTGTATATACCTAAGATAAGGAAATATATTTCAAACTGGACTTCGCAAAGTTTGAAATAGATTGTATGGTTATTTGATTTCTTAGGTGAACAAGGAATGGTTGATGAAGCACAGAAAGCACTGGAAGAAGCTGAAGCTCTTAAGAAGGTTTATTCTCTTTCTTAAGTTCGTTTTCTTTTCCCCCTACTTTTGTTAGTCACTAATGACCTTTGGGCCTATATTTGTTTCAGCTTACAGTTAGACGAGAACCTGCAGCAGATTCAACGAAGTACACTGCTGTTGATGTGCGCATTGTAAGTTAACATCACTCCTCTCAATGCCCTCAAGATTCATATTCCTTATATAATTATCAGTTTGTTTTAGAAAGGACCGTTGAATTCGGGAATTATAACAATCATATATTAATGTTTAGGTAAAGAGTAATAGTTTATTTGAGTAGAACCATTTGATTTCTTTCATAAAGTATTATTTGAGACAAAAGAATAACATCTTCGCATCCCCTGCTTAATGTATCTACACATTGGTTTCATCTTCTGCCCTCGCTGACCGTTCCTATATCTTCTCAGACGGACCAAAAGTTGCGTCTATGTGACATATGTGGAGCATTCTTGAGCGTCTATGACAGGTTAAGTTCCTTGCTCAAACTTTCTGCGTTATTGTTTCCCTTTTGGATTGAAAGAGAAAAAAAGGTAGAAATAGATTCTTGAGTTGCAAGTGGTTCAACTTTTGACTCCGGCTATTGTACCTCCTTCTTTCACCAGCAGGCTTTTTGGGCAGGATTACTTTTGCAGCTATAATAAATGTGCGTTCTTTTCTTGATTTTATTGTGCTTGAAGGATCATACTAGTAGAGATTAACTAATGGAGTTTTTAACCTTGTGCTGTTTTAATATGCTATTGTCAAATGATTTAGCATTTTGGCTATGCTAATTGGATCTTTTGTGATGCTATAGTGATCGCCGTTTAGCTGATCATTTTGGTGGGAAGCTTCATTTAGGATACATGCTAGTCCGGGACAAATTAACAGAGCTTCTGGTAATCTAATAACATAATCTACTTTTTGTGATGATGGATGAAAACTGTCTGTTCTTATATGTCTCTTCGTTTGCTTCAGGATGAGAAGGCCAATTTACGCAATGAAAGGTTAGGTTTTAGTTCTAGCTTCTATTTTCTTTGTATTTTTACGGTTTTGGATCTTTGAAACTGACTTCATAGTGAAAACTTACTTAGATCAAAGGAACGGAACAGTAAGGAGAGGGAATCAAGTAAAGACCGAGAGAAAGAGCGAGGATCTAGTCATGAACGTCGAAGAGATTATGATCGCAGGAGTAGAGATCGAGATAGGCACCATGACCGTGATCGTGAACAAGACAGGGACTATGATCGGTCACACTCAAGAAGCAGACGTAGGTCACGCTCACGGTCCAGGTCCAGAGACAGACCAAGGGACTATGATCGCCACAGGTATAAAACCAGAGTCATGGTTGGTTTTTTAATCCTTGATAACTCTTTATCTCTCTTACAAATGGTTATGTCAAAATTCTCTTTGCAGGCGTCACAACCGATACTAGGTCGGTCTTGCTGTCTAACAGGGTTTACAAGTTACAAATGTTTTTAGGATCCATCACCGAAACTTTTTTTGTCTACATGTATGTTGCTGAAGTTTGGTAGATGAGCTTTCAGATAAATTTCACTTCTTTTTCGTTTACCACCAACTAAAGACTTGAAAGAAGCAAGAAGATGCATGTTTTCATATAAACAGTTAGCTCTCTCATCTGAGAAGCGTGTATTACAACAACACTATTATCGAACGAAACAACCACGCGAATACCCATTTACCTAGATTACAATGGTGGAAGTGATTGCAAATTATATGATTTTGGAGTTATTTTCTTACTTCTATTGGAATTTTAAGTTTGTTACGCTTAAACTAGACCAATTATTTCAGTTAAAGTTTTATCTTTTTGTCTCGATTACGAACAAGAACCTTTGATAACGACTTTTTATAATTGAAAGCCGAGATTTATTAACTTTTTCACGTACATTACTTGAGTAATCAAAGCATGTTCGTAGAGGAAAACACAAAAGAAAGAAAGAAAGATAAGATACAATATAACTTAGAAACATATAGTAATTTACTCAAAAGTCATAAAGTGAGATCATGAATTATCATAATCATATGGGAATGGAACGAGAGACTTTGGGATAAACATGGGTGGCCGGATGACCCATAATGCGTCGACCCTTTGCGTGTTTAAAGATATAAACCAATGCTCCGACCGGCCATTCCACTATTCCGGCTGCTACAAACGCCACAAGCCCTAACGTCGGTCCTACTACTTTGCATCTACATGGGTTTCCGCCCGTTCCGCACTGCACGCATATCGGAATCATCGCTGGTTAAAAAACTGATCAAACCGATGAAATGTTTGTTGATGTTATAGGGATGTGATGTATGGAATATGAGTAGAACAAGAAGTGGAAGATTATGGAGAGTTGGATTGTGATATTTATATAGAGACTCAAGCGAATCATTTCACTCTCTTTTAAATTCTTCTTCTTGTTTTTTCTTAATACTATATTTGATCTTCAGTACGTAGGGTCGGTCCATATTTACTCTTATCTTTCACTTTAACACGTGTTGTGTTCGAGAGTATACATGTGGTTTAAGGAGTATACGTGTTGCTTCGATAGTTCTATTTGCTCCCGAAAATCTTGAAAACTCTTTTTTTAGGTTCTTCACCAAAAACAAGATGGGCCTAAAACAGGCCGGAATCAAAATCAACCAGGCCAGTTCATCACTAATGGTAACCAAAAAAGTTGACCTTATCAATTGAAGACTTATTCAAAAGAAGAACCTTACCATTTGCATTGTAATGTGTATGATCTGGTCTCCACCAAATGCATATAGGTGATGTAGAGATATGACGCTGCATATACTTTACATGCACATGCATGTCGTTGTTTATATATATGCATTATAAGTGTTATTTTCCAAGTCTTGAAATCAAAAGACATTTCCTATTAATCATAAATCATGATCATGATGAAACTTAAACCTGTCATTCTGGTATTTTTCTCCATGTTCCTCGTGTTACACTATCTCACTAATCAAGCCAATTCCGATTCTTCCCTAGAACATACCGGAATTACAACTCCGTTGCCGCCACCGCCACCGCCACCAAGAAAGAGTACTTACTGCAGTAGGTCATCTTCATCTCCACCTCCGCCGACATACATGTATGTGACCGGTGTGCCTGGGGAACTCTACCGGACCGAGCCAGACGACCAATGGGGATATTATTCTAGTGCAAACCGGAATCTGGTTAAGTGTCTCATGGTTATTGTAATTGTGGGGTTTGGAGTTATAAATTTGTGAAAACAAACAGCTATTGTTTGTGTAAGCAATTTTATGGGTAGCTCTAAAATACGGTGTTTGCATCGTAATATGTATGTTGGAATTGTTTTATATATTAATATTGTCTAACCCGTTGAAATCGTTCTTTAAACCAAAACAGAAATTAATCATTTTGCTAAACCTTGAAATAAAATGTCAAATTTCCGGTTTTTAGTAAAGCATGAAATTATCAACGACTTCAAAAAAATTTCAGTAACTCAATCATCCATTTAGACCAACCCCAAAGCCTAATTTACGTCTTTGTGTTTGCGACTTTGCCTACAATGAACGTAATGGGCTACGAGCAAATCATAAACGGATCCATCGTGAGTTGAGGCCCAATAGGAATATCTCAACAAGAGTTGAGCCCAAACTAGTTCGTTCACAAAAAGAGACAGTGAGAGTGAGAGATTCCAAGGAGCAGAGTGCATGAGCGTGACAATGGAAACTGACAAAATATTGTCTCTCGCCGGAAAAACAAAACAGCTCGGTGGGACTCGTGGAATCGGGTTTGTCTCTCCTCTCTTTTTCAATTCGTTCCATTATTAACTCACCACTGATAAAAACTCTTTGCCACCATCAAATTTTCTCCGGCTAATTAAGACCTCTAAATTCTGTAAAATAAAAAAAATCAATCTCGAATTCCCTAATTTCTTAGAATGATTTGCTTTCGTCACCTAATAATGGCGAAAACATAGTAAAAAGTAAAAACGCTGTCTTTTTTTTTTTTTTTTTTTGATAACAAATCAACAAAAAAACATAAGTCACGGTTACAATTGATTATTCGGTTAGGTTTATGTGGTAGTGAAATTAGAATTGATTTTGGATTCGGTTTACACTGGTGAAGAGAAGAAAACAAAAAAATATTCACGCGATGGGAATTTTGGAGACAAGTGCGTCGATTGAAAAACGAATGATTTGCAAAGGGGTACACCCACAGAATTGCGCACACTCGCGCAACGCGCACTTTGTGCGAGTGGTTGCGAAATAGAGCCTTCTGATTGGCTGAAAAACTCTAAAAAAAGTGAAATAGTATACATGTTGCTAGCTCCTCTCTATGTTATTATTTATTTTTTCGTCTTCTTCTCTCAATCTGATGAAAGTTATTGTTTTATTTAAGATACAATTGATTCTATTGGAGGTCTTGGGTTGCTTTTAATATCCATTCATGTCACCAAAAAAAAAATACAAATGGTTGATGAGGATCCATCGACAAAACCACTTGGAAGATTTTGTCTACTGCCATTATCACATTCATGTGAAACCATGATTATATGATTGCAAACTTTCAGTTTTTAAACCACGATTATATATCTACTGCCATTATCCCATTCATGTTTCTGTTTTCTTTTGCAGATGAGCTTCTCGTATGACTTGTTGTTTGTGAAACTTTATTGTGATCATAGAGTAGAATTACAGCCATATGGCCTTGTCAACTTAGGGAACAGGTACATATTTATCTTTAACGTTTCTTGCTTTTGACATGATGATCTATTGTGCTAATGTATTTGTGTTTGTCACTTATATTATTACTTTTGTACTTGTTATGCAAATGCTCTCCTTCAGTGCTCTCGGCCACTTATATCATACCTTAGTAGGGGATTACACTCTAAAACATGTAAGCTGCACACCAAAATGATTTTACTGCTCTTATTGAAACTATGTGGAATCTTATTTTGATAGTTGGATTTTCAGGTAGAAAAAAGAGTAGTTGGTGTTTTGTTTGTGAGTTTGAACACAGTTTTCCTCGGTTCACTATATGTGGTGTCAGTGCCGTCATCTTGTTGGGCAGTTTGATTACTCTTGGCTACATCGACGAGGATGAACAAAGGCACAACTTTGGACACAAAGGAGGTAAGGCCTGAAGCTTATTTAAGCCTTTTTTTTCTTATTCATACAGAACAAAAATTGGTTGGTCTCACTTTCTTTAAAAACGCTGCTTGCTTAAGAGCTTCTATTCATTTGCTGAGTTGGTTATCATCTGGTTAGGACGGAAATTTTGAGGTTTTGGCAAAAACCATAAACTTGGATTTATACTTGAGCCGCGTTTTCTTACTGGCATTGTATATATGATTCTATTTCAGGGTTTCTCTGCCCATTCGTCCCATACCTTCCAGTTCTTTGCATATTGATCAACACCTACTTGATCATCAACATTGGGTGAGTTAGAGTGATGGACCTATGTATGATACAGTATATTGGGATGTTTCTAAACCCTTGCTGGTAATTTGTAATGGCAGAGCTGGGACATGGATCAGGGTCTTGGTATGGCTACTTATTGGAAGCATGATCTATCTCTTCTATGGCCGATCTCACAGCTTACTGAACAATGCGGTTTATGTTCCAAGGACGACTTGTACCAGAAAAACAACAGATCATCTTGCTTAAGATTGGTGGTTCAAAGCAGTAGCTGAATGGACTCGAGCTCAAGCTTTGTTGTTGCTGAAGTAGCATCTAAAGAGAATTAAACAGTTTGGCACAGGAAGAGTAAACACAGGCCAATACATAACAACAACATTTCATGTACACTGATGATAGTCATTTAAAATGTATATCTCTTAAATGCCAATTTCATTTTTGTTCCTCCTTCTCCATTTCCGGTTACAAAGTTTGCCAATATTGGCTAAATGGTCTTAGAATTGCCAAGTCCATTTAATAACTCCAAACATAACAACAATTGGGAAACTTTTGACTATCTCTGCAGATAAAGAGTGCAAAATGCAGACATACACATTTAAAAGTTGAACAGAAATCATGTAAATATGATTTAGTCAATAACAAGTAACCTAAACGAATTAATGAGTTTGCAAGAGAAGAGACAACATAAAGAAAGGATGAAATGTCTGAGAATCTTCAACACAGTGCCGTCTTCAAAAATATCTTTATCTCCTCCACACCAGGCTTGCCTCAACATATAAGATTGGTGTTTCAATGCAGCAGTTTAAGGTACTCGAGCTCAAGCTTTGTTGTTGCTTGTAAAGGGACTATGTCGTCCTCCTGCTTTCTTGTTGTGATCTCAGAACCAGGCTGCTTCTCTCTCGACGCATAGACCAGCATTGGTAGCCTGATGATGTCAACGTGTGCTGTATCAATCAAGTCCTCAGAATCTGGCTTATGCTCCACAAACTAGTTCTGAATTTGGAGGAACCAGCCAACATTGCCTGTAGCAACACCACAACATGTTAGGAGCAGACATTGTTTTGTATACAAACAAACCTGATCTTAAAAGAAAACATATAACCATCTCTCATAATCCATCTGATTCTTCTTAGATAAACATCTCTTTACCATCGCCTCAGGCAATTAAATTGATAGTCTTACACATTAAACTCATCATCATCCATGTTAGGAACATACTTTGTTTTGTTTTCATTCATGTCTCAAGTTTTCACGATTTCTCAAGTCGCACCTGTGGTTCCGTTGGAAGAAACTTTCCTCCTTTTGTAATGAGTCTCACAAGAAACAGATATGAACAGTGATCTTGTTTGCATTTACTAGCTGATTGTAGCTTCACCGTTGACTAAACTTTCTTCGTTGGTACTGCTATTGCTTTTCATTGTCTTGTCACTACTACCACCAGTTGCTCTCCTGACATCTTTCTTCTTCAGGACAAGTTCATCCCCAGATGAAACCTTTGATGCTCCTGCTGCTGCACGGTCCTTTGACGAAGTATTTACATATTTCCTTTGCGAACCCTTGTCTTTGGTAGAATCACATGCCGGCTGTTGTTTCTGACTGTCTCTGTCTGATTCGGGAAGTAAAGCTCGTACACTAAGCCGAAGCTGACCCTTTTCATTCACCTGCATTATCCATGTTTCTTTGTTCAACAACTCTCTAATTATCATTTCCGTCTCTAGAGTTATAAAGACACAATAACTCGCTGACCTCTATTAGTTTGACATCAATGCGGTCTCCTACTTTATAGGCCTGAAAAGACAAGAATGAGCGTATGTGACAACCTGAATAAAAGATGAAACAATTTCTATAAAAGAATGGAATCAATGAGTAATGCTCACATCCTCTGGTTTTGCAAGCCATTCAGCACTCAGCTCACTGATATGGCAAAGACCTTCCCGCCCAGGCGCAATCTCTACAAAGGCACCATAAGGAGCCATTGACTTGATTTCACAATTCCTGATACAAAAAGAAAGGTCAGAATCCAAATCCATTTACGCTTCTTGGTCAGAGAAGGTATATGAAGGATACATACCTGTAGATATCACCAACAGCGGGAACCATTGTCAATCCAGTAATAATCGCTTTCACCATTCCAGACTCGCTACATCGATTGCCATAATTTTGACCTTGACAAAGATAAATATTAAGAGGTTATGATAAAGAATACCCAATAAATGTATAAAAAACATTAAGAAGAATGAAAACATTTATGTATATATATCTCACAGTTTCCATCCTCTTGCATATCAATGGCCTCAACTCCAGATTCTTCAATGATGCTCTTTACTTTCTTACCACCAGAACCAATAAGAGAGTATACTTTGCTTGGATGAACCTGCAGCAAATGAACACCAACAATCTTTAGTTCAAGGCAGTAAGACATTAGACTGGGCAATCATGGAAAAATTAGTTGAAGCCAAACCTTCATAATATGTATCAGATTGAGAGAAGAAGACGAAAAACTAAATAATAACATAAGAGAAGAGCTAGCAACATGTCTACTATTTCACTTTTTTAAGAGTTTTTCAGCCAATCAGAAGGCTCTATTTCAGACCCACTCGCACAAAGTGAGCGTTGCGCGAGTGTGAGCAATTCTGTGGGTGTACCCCTTTCGAAATCATGCCTTTTTCAATCGACGCACTTGCTCCAAAATTCCCATCGCGTGAATATTTTTTTGTTTTCTTCTCTAAACCAGTGTAAACCGAACCCAAAATCAATTCTAATTTCACTACCATTTGAATCAATTTTAATTTCAAAACCAATGTAAACCTACTAACCGCTTGTCCTCATCGGGAGATTTCTTCGATCCCTCCGACGAACACACCACATCCAATGTCAAGAACAACAAAGCTGATACACCTAAGAAGGATTTTGATTAGACTCTAACATGAGGAACAAAGAAGACTGCTCTTTCTGAGAATAAAACACAGTCAAAAAATCCAAGTACGAGACAAAGAGATGAGAGTGAAGAAGACGATCAACTTTTGAGAGTGAAAACCAATTAAAGAATCCAAGTAAGGCAGAGACGAGAATGAACACGGGAAGACGAACCAACTTTTGATCACGGTGGGCTTCTAATGGGCTTTTATGTATTGGGCCTTCTTTGATACCAAATCCAACAAGGTATTCCTTTCTTCATTCTTTTTTTTCATTAAAAAATATTTGTAAAACTAAAACTAATTAGTTCAAAACCTTCACTAAAACATTTAAACCAAACAAAACTTTTTAAAACTTTTTCAAAATTAAAAATAAAATAAAACTTAAACTTTAAGAAAATAATATTTTTAACTAAAATCCATGTTAATTTCACGATTACATTTTAAAAATTAGTTTAACTGTTAAATTTTAAAAACGTCAAAAACTAACCGCGCCTAGGCATCCGTAAGTTTTGGTGTTCGAAGTTCGACAATGTTTTCACGTAAAATAGATTTAACACTTAAACTCATTTTTAAAAAATAATAGTGATTTTGACTAAAATTTAAAACAAATTTAACACTTAAACTGTCAGAAAAAAATATTTTTAAAACTAAAACCATGTTAATTTCACTTAAATTTTTTAAAAATTAGTTTAATTGGCCGCATAAAGAGATGATTAAATGGGCACTATATCCAATTAAAGTATGCAAACAAAAACGTTTCATTTCGAAGTCACAGACACAATTGACAACGTTTCCAGTGAAGTTCGCCGTCGCCGGAACTCATGGATCGACGACCGTCGTTTCCACACTATCAAATCCCTAATCCGAACTTGTTCCATCACGTTCCTCCTCCAAACCCTAATCCTAATTTCTTCGTCCGACCTCCTCTAGCTCATCTTCAAAATCCTAACAATTACACCATCGCCGTCTCCGCCGCCGATTCGCGAGCTCTCCTGTACACTCTCTTCTTTACAATCCCTGTTGTCGGAATTTCCTTCGCTAAATCTAGCTCAATTAACACTTTTCTCTTCTCCAGAAGGACGAAAATGGCGGTTTTGATTAAAATCACTTAATGCCACCTGAAGCTCTCTTTCTCCATTAGCTTCGTTGCCCAAATCCTCTTGACCTCACTCACGCTCGAGTTACTAGCATGTGAACTACAGTTGAATAATAACGGCGATGGTGTCTCCTTGGCGATCTATGTAGGGATTTCCCAAGTTCGTATTCGTATGGTGTTCTTTCTTCGATTGTGGGTTCAAAAGCGATTGAACCCAGCGAGTTGAGGAGGACATGGATTCTGGTTAAGAAGATTTGAAATCGATACTTGAATGGCTTGTGGATTTATGATGGAGTCTGATGCTAGTGGCGTTGGTGATTATGAGCTGCAAAACTACAACATTTGAGTGTACAGTCTTGATTCAAGTCTTGTCTTGTATGGAGAAGCAAATTGCAAGTACTTTGCTTTAAGCAGTGCATAGTAGAATCTGATTCAAGCTTGAGTAATAAGGATCTGAAGATGGAGAAGCCCTTTGAGAATAGTTCAGGTCGGAACGTGGCAAAATCTTTCCCTTCTTCTTCTTCCAGGTACGCTTGATTTCTCCTCTTTTTTGTTGTCTAATCTTTTCCCATTGAGAAATATTCGTCGGAGGGAGAAGAAATTATTCCGATGAGGACTAGCGGTTCGGTTTTCATTGGTTTTGGAAATTAGATTTGATTTCGGTTTAGTGTACATGGTTTTTGAAATTAGAGCTGATTTCGTTCGGTTTGCGTTGGAATTAATAAGGTTTTGACTTTTGATAAAAGAAAAATAGAAGTCACGCACGCGAGGCTTTTTAAAAAAGGAGCGAGTGTGTTTCAAAACAGGCGATTTGGTGGGTTAACACCCACAGAAAACGGAGACACGCGCTCAACTCGCGAGTGGTGAGAGTGGGCGTGAAATCGCGAGATGGGTGAGAGAGGGGTGTGACATGGAGCCATCTGATTGGCTAATATAATGAAAATAGTAGAGATGTAGCTCCTACCTTCCTCCTCTCATAATAAACTTTTATTACTTGTTCTCTTTTCGTCTTCTATGTGAAGAAACAAGCTATGAGATGATTAGAAAAAAACTTTTAGACAAAATTTTGTCTAGTTTATATTATTAGGCAGCTTGAGAATGAAATTGAGATTTCTTCAATCTGAAAGTTCATGTTTTTAGATACAGTTGAGAGTCTTATTCCATCATTATAAACGATTCTGTTTTCATAGAGTAAAAACAAAGGATCAAAAAACAACTTTTTGGATAGTGATTTGACAATACTTTGTTTAACTCTCTTGATTATTTTAGTACTTTTCTCAATATTACAGCATCTGAATAATCTTCCATTTCGTTTTAAGAAAACAAAGATTTTGATTTCTTCAGTCCTCTGTTCTTGAGAGATCGCCTTGGTGGTGGTGAGGAGTCACTGAAATATCCAACCAGATACATTAAGACAACTGCCTTTAAAGCCAGTGACTGCAGCTTTACATGAAAACATTGTTTCCTCTTTATCTTCCTCTGGCTGATTGGTCTGTGTAGAGCATGGTTCTTGGATTTGCATTCCACATAGTTTGTTGTTGTTCGCGTAAATGTTTGGATCGTTCAATCTGTCTAGCTGAGGACTCTCAGGGATTCTACCTCTAATTTTGTTGTTTCTCAACCCCAATACATTCAGCTCCCTGAGCTTGGAAAGTGTCTGCGGGAACTCGCCTGAGAGGTTGTTGTGTGAAAGGTCTAAGATCTCTACCTTCTCAAGATTTCCAAAACTTTGTGGGATTAATCCAGAGATGTCGTTTTATGAGAGGTTTAAAAGCTTTAAGCTTTTGAGATTGCCTAAAGAATATGGGATTTCTCCGAATAGCTTGTTCTTGGAGAGGTAGAAGTTTCTGTTGGCAAGACCTTGCTTTGAATTCTTCCAGTTCACTGCTAAGTCGTGTATTTCGATAGTGAAACTGTACATGAAAGGCAAAGGCGAAGACGAGTTGAGAGGCAAAAGAACTCACGTGTCAAGGATTACATCAGCAAGGACACTTCGCCTGATATGTTCACTCTTCATGGCAACATCAGTGAAGAAAAATTGATCAGATTGTATACCTTGAGCAGCAGCAGCATCATCTGATATAAGCTCAGAAAATAAGGTTAGTACAAGGTTTGGAAAAACATTTACCAAGTAATAACGATCTCAGGATCCATTTTGTACAGTTGGTTGAAGCATGCAAATATGAATGTGTCTTCAGGAAGTCCATAGTCTGATCGCTTGGCTTAGAATTTGGATCCAACACATCCTGGTTTTTCTGCAAATAGCATTTATACAATGAGTTTTATAATAAATGACTGTATCGCTGATCAATGTATAATATCATGATTTAGATAACTTTTCTTGGAGCATACCTGCTTGTAATCATTGACCAGCTTCTCTGAGTAATATGTGCATATTGCAGAACTGAAACGTAGAAGAGAGTAACCAGTCACATAACATAGAGAAAACTAAGGTTGGCACTTATTTAGTTATTACCTATTTGGGTTATATAAATAAGTTGGGATGGGGAAGAATACTGACTTAAATCCTAATGTCTAATTAGAAATATTTGTTTATTTTGGTACTTTGCATTTCTTTGCGTAACGGGTCAATCTTTATTGCTCTTGTAGATATCATTACAACGTTGCAGACTCAAGACTGCACAGCATGTTGAGAAAGGTAATGAGGATGGCCTTTTCATAAGCTGTGTAGCATCAGCAGCTAATCTCTGGGCCCTCATCATGGATGCTGGGACTAGTTTCAGTTCTCAAGTTTATGAACTGTCCTCGGTCTTCCTGCACAAGGTAAAACAGCTGAAGCATTAGGAGCCATCTATCTGTCATACCTATGCTTGACTTTAGCAGCTCACCATTTGTTTCTGGATTCTTTGCAGGACTGGATTATATAACAATGGGAAAAGAACTACTATATCAGTTCCATAGCTGGTGCAAATAATGGGAGCTCGTTGGTTGTTATGGCCCAAGGTCGGTATTCACATCTGATGATAACTTTGCGGATGAACTTATTGATTCATTAAAGCATGAAAGCCGTTTCACTCATTCCACTTCATGTAATGAAGTAGGAACTCCTTATACCCAGCAATCATACAAAGTCAGCGACTCATTTCCATTCAAGTGGATAAATAAAAAGTGGAAAGAAGGTTTTCATGTAACATCCATGACCACCGCTGGGAGTCGTTGGGGTGTAGTAATGTCCAGGAACTTAGGCTACTATGAACAGGTTCCGATCTCTTCACCTGAGGCATTTCAACGTTTCTGTGTTTCCTTTTGAGCACTACTATAGTGTATTAACGAAGTTTATGTGGTGAGGTGGTGGAGCTTGACTTTTTGTACCCAAGTGACGGAATACATCGAAGATGGGAAAGTGGATACAGGATAACATCAATGGCTGCAACAGCCGATCAAGCAGCTCTTATATTGAGTATACCTAAACGAAAAGTAACCGATGAAACCCAAGAGACTCTCCGCACTTCTGCCTTCCCAAGTACCCATGTCAAGGTGTGTGAAATGAAGCATGTTATGAAACTAAAAACTTTGGATTCTTCCCCATTTGTTCTATGTAACTGACTTGGACCTAGATTTTTGATTTCAGGAGAAATGGGCAAAAAATCTGTACATTGCATCAATATGCTTTGGTCGGACAGTTTGCTGAGGAAACATGTAGTATGCTGTTTCAACCTCTCTCACTCTCGCTCTAGGGTTCCAGGGATGATCTCTCTCTAGAAGCCTGACAACGTGTAGCTTCGGTTTCAGTATAATCCAAAGGTAAACCTTAACCAGGAGCCACCCTATGTGACTGTGTAATGAAATGAAATTTGTCTCTATGTATGTAGTAAGTACAAAATAAAAGAAAAAAAAATGGAGTAGAAGAGAAGCATCATTATTACTAGAATTGATCAAGAGCTGGAAAAAATTATGCAGTTTCTGGCTTATTTGGCTTTGTACCTGATTTGAGTACAGAATCAGGAGGAAGCAACATGTTTGTTACAATGAACATATAATTCCAAGAAGGCTTTCATCTTTTGGTCTCAATATAAATAACATTGCTAATTTGTTGAGATCTGATATAAATAACAAATCTTAATAGAATCTGCAGCTTTAACGGCTCTATCCCTCCTGAATTGTTCTCCTTAAAAGGAGAGATTCCTTTTAAGGAGATCGTCTAATTTGTTGAGATCGTCTAATTTCATACAAGGAGAGATTCCTGGAGATGGGTTTGTGAACTTGACCAGTTTTATCTCTCTTGACATGAGTGATAACAGCTTTAACGGCTCTATCCCTCCTGAATTGTTCTCCTTAAAGAATCTTCAGTGCCTTGACTTGAGCAGGAATGATATTGGTGGTACGTTGAGTGGTAACATCAAAGCGCTCAAGAATCTGCAGGAACTGATCTTGTCTGAGAATTTCATTGAGGGAGATATTCCTCCAGAAATAAGTAAATCAAAAACTCAATCTCAAAATTCAAGCTTTGTGTTCATATATGAAGATCATAGATATGGGTTACTGACTTTATCTTATTCTCTGTGTGTGTAACAAGGTAGTCTTGCCCAACTGCGGACGCTGACATTGAGGCAGAACCTGTTCAGTGGTTCTATACCATTGTCTGTATCACAGTTAACGAAGCTCGAAACTTTTGATCTCCAGAACAATTACTTGTCTTTTGAAATTCCCGACGGTATTGGGAAGTTAGCCAATATATCAACTCTGTCTTTGAGCATGAACAAGTTGTCTGGTGGAATTCCATCGTCCATTCAGAATCTGACAAATCTTGACACCCTTGAGCTTGAGAATAACAATGGCTTGTACGGTGAGATTCCTACTTGGCTGTTTGGTCTTCAGAAGCTGAAGATATTGCGGTTAAGAGGAAACAAATTCCAATGGAACAAGAATGTCTCTGTCTATGCACAGTCTAAATTAACACATCTGTCACTTAGATCTTGTGGCTTAGAAGGGAACATTCCGGATTGGCTCAAGAATCAAACAGCTCTTCTTCCTGGATCTGAGCATGAACAAACTCGAAGGAAGTTTTCCCAAATGGTTGGCTGATCTGAAAATCGGAACCATAATTTTGTCAGCCACAAACTCTCAGATTCATTGCCTCCTAGTTTGTTTTCAGTCTATAAGATTATCGGTTCTTGCGCTATCAAGAAACAAATTCTCTGGTCAGATTCCTGACACGGTAGGTGAAACATGGGTCATGATATTGATGCTGTCTGAAAACAACTTCTCAGGATCAGTACCAAAGTCTATCTCAAAGATCCACAGGCTGCTGTTGCTGGACTTGTCAAAGAACAAATTATCCGGTGAATGCCCATGTTTCGACCCTGAGTCATTGCTTGCGTTACTCGATATATCTTCCAATGAGTTCTCTGGGGATGTTCCAGCTTTCTTTGGATCAAACACCATAATGCTATCTATGAGTCAGAACAACTTCAGTGGCGAATTCCCTCACGACTTCACCAATCTCCCATCTCTGATGCATCTTGATCTTCATGACAACAAAATCTCTGGCAATGTCCCGAGTTTTATCTCCTGGTTGTCTTCTTCTCTAGAGGTACTTAGCCTGAGAAACAATTCCCTCGAAGGTTCAATCCCAGAAGGCATAGCAATTCTCAAGTCTCAAGGTCTTGGATCTCTCTGAGAACAATCTTGATGGATCTCTACCTTCATCTCTTGGGAATCTCACAAGCATGACAGAATCTCTGCCGAGCTCGTCTTCGCCTTTGCCTTTCATGTACAGTTTCACTATCGAAATACACGACTTAGCAGTGAACTGGAAGAATTCAAAACAAGGTCTTGCCAACAGAAACCTCTAATTCTCCAGGAACAAGCTATTCGGAGAAGTCCCATATTCTTTAGGCAATCTCAAAAGCTGAAAGCTTTTAAACCCACAAAGTTTTGGAAATCTTGAGAAGGTAGAGATCTTAGACCTTTCACACAACAACCTCTCAGGTGAAATCCCGCAGACACTTTCCAAGCTCAGGGAGCTGAATGTATTGGAGTTGAGAAACAACAAACTTACAGGTAGAAGTAGAATCCCTGAGAGTCCTCAGCTAGACAGATTGAACGATCCAAACATTTACGCGAACAACAATAAACTATGTGGAATGCAAATCCAAGAACCAAGCTCTACACAGACCAAGCAGCCAGAGGAAGATAAAGAGGAAACAATGTTTTCATGGAAAGCTGCAGTCATAGGTTGTCCTTGTGGATTTCTAATGGCAGTTGTCGTAATGTATATGGTTGGATATTTCAGCGACTCATCAGTCATCACCACCACCAAGGCGATCTCTCAAGAACAGAGGACTGAAGAAATCAAAAACTCTGTTTTCTTGAAACGCAATGGAAGATCATTCAGATGCTGTAACAATGAAAAAAGTACGAAAGATAAAACAGTTTGTGAGCAATCCCTTTTAAGACCACAGTGGTCAAAATGAAGTGATGTTATCAAGAGAGTTAAACAAAGTATTGTTAAATCACTTTCCAAAAAGTTGTGTGTTTTACTCTATGAAAACAGAATCGTTTATAATGATGAAACATTGCTAGCATATAAATTCACAAATTTTTGTGTTTTTCTTTGTGACATCAAGGATTTCAAAATAACCCAAAAACCTCAGAATAAGACTCTCAATTGTATATAAAAACACCAACTTTCATGAGATTGAAGAAATCTTAATTACATTCTCAGCTGGCTAATAATATAAACAAGTTTGTTCTAATCATCTGACTACCTTTTGTTTGACGGAAGTAGTAATTTTCATAATTCATTACCTTCTTTCTTCTGAACAAAAAGTGAAGTTATAAATATATTATCAGAGGAAGGTAGGAGCTACATCTCTACTATTTTCATTATATTAGCCAATCAGATGGCTCCATGTCATACCCCTCTCTCACCCATCTCGCGATTTCACGCCCACTCTCACCACTCGCGAGTTGAGCGCGTGTCTCCATTTTCTGTGGGTGTTAACCCACCAAATCGCCTGTTTTGAAACACACTCTCTCCTTTTTTAAAAAGCCTCGCGTGCGTGATTTTTGGTTCTCAGACCTTATTAATTGCAATGTAAACCGACAATTGTAACTCAAAACCAATTTCAACCGAACAGAAATCAATTCTAATAGAAAAACCAACGTAAACCGAACCTAAATCAATTCTAATTTCAAAATCTATGTAAACCTAACCGCAAAAAGAGGAGAAATATTAGACAGCAAAAAGAGGAGAAAGCTTTCCACCAAAAAAAAAAAAAAAAAAAAGAGGAGAAAGCAAACGTACCTCGAAGAAGAAGAGCGTTTCCGGAGACAGGATTAGGTTCTACCTTTTCACATCCTCAGCTACCTCATATGGGCAGCTCCATGGACATTGTATGAGTTTGGGAGAACCATAACCAACTCTAGTAGTGACCTAAAACCATGCCACAAAACAGAGCTATTACCAAAGGCCTTGAGATCAATCAAACCTTGCTTACTGAGTTAATGGCTAACAAAATTGTGCAGTTTTTTTTTTTATTATTGGTATAGTCAAAATTTGGTCATCAGACTCAAAATTTTGCTTATTAGGAAAATGTCAAAAATTGTGTCATCAGACTCAATAAACCGTTTGAGCAGATGAATCATGACCATCCCGTTTCCAAACCGGTTCAACTCCACCAAACAGGTAATCTCATAAATTCTCAATACCTGATGAGTCTTTTGTGCTACATGAGCTTGTTGTGTCCGATGAGCTAAACATAGACGATAGACTTCCACTCGACCAGTCCACACGCGGCAACAAACTGTTATCCATGTCTCTATCTTTGTTGCTGCCGTGATTTCTTCTTTCCTTTGATTTCCGGTCTCGGAAAATCTCTGTCAAAGAAGAGGATTTCCTCAGATATTAGTAAATGAACAAGAGTTGGGTTTTTATGATGTATGTCCTCTCTTTGTAATCACCTAGCATAAAGAAGCATGTATACCACATTTAGTCACCAACTCCGGTATTGAGCAGTCTAAATCATGCACTTCTATCAATACTTTCTGTCTTTCCATATTTATCTAACTTGTGTCAGATTGGTAAGGCAATGAAATGATTACTAGATAATATAAGTATTACCTGTCTGAAGACAGTCAATGAAGGCAGAAACATCTTTTTCTGGCTGATTTATTATGCTGTCATTTTCTTCAATTACTCCAGGATAAAGATTCAGAGCTTTGGTCACACTTGTGTAAGCTTTTCAAACTTGTGAAGGAGTCTTTGTTGTCATCTGATCAACGGCATGAACCACATTCTGAAGCTCCTCCTCCACATTCTGAAGAACCATAGTTAAAATCGCATATACGCACAAACTGCCCGTGCTCTAGCTCCTGTTGCAACCAAATCGAAAAGAAACAATCTAAGATCACAATTTAGATCAGAGTAAAAGAGTAATTGTAATGGCTCCTGCATAACTGTTCTTCAGGTCCAAAGTAATTGAAAGTGTGACTTCTGTAAGGAAAGAGACAAAACCTTGGTAGCATCTGCGAATGCGTTTAGGTCAGGAGTCTTCTTCCCATTAACTTCCACAATCCATTGAAGTGCGTAGAGGCCATATCGGTGAGCGGGACTCCCGTGACACCATCTGTGAACAAAATTTGTCAAAGCAACTGATGAATTCTAGTCGGTTGCGACAAATAACTTGGTAAGAACCAGTTTTTCTGTTAAACCAAATTGAGATATCATATATACGTCACAACTAGTACCTTGTGACATAGACACCATGACCTTCCTCAGGAAGAAATCCAAGAGCACGAACCGCAGGATGAGGATCCTGAACAACGCATCCGCACCAGTTTATCGCTCTTGTCGTTCCATTCCCATCTCTTTTATCAGTTCCAACTACGAGTTCCAGTTCTTGGCCCTAACAAACCAACAAGAGATTAAATAAACACGTAGACCTTTTTTCTTAACTAAAATTATTTGTGTCAAGAAACTCAAGAAAAGGACACGAACTACTGTTGTCACAGTTGGTGTGATCAATCGACACAAAGACTCAGGTGATAACGAAGACACAAATAAATAATAAGATGTCTCAAGAAACAGGAGTTAATGGTGTCACCTGTCGAAGGATTGTTAGATTGAGATTTTCATCGCTGTGGCTACCCTTATCCAATGTTTGGCAAGCGGCTTCTATGTCATTGAAGCATGTAACTGGCATCTTATTGACTGCCAGAACCATATCGCCTTGTTCAAGAAGGTTTTCAGCTTTTGATCCTGCCAGGCAACCTTTAACACGCAGAACTTGACGTCTAACAGGGTCCTTCTTGACTAGGACCTGTGATAACAATCAATATGGTAAACGGATTTGAGAATGCCTAATTTTAGTAGACTAAGATTCTAAGCACAAAGACACATATTGATATGATAAAGAATCTAAGCAGAAATATAAACAAATGGCTTACTTGGATCCATGCATCACTCAGACCAAAACTCCGTGCTTTTGAAAGCAAAGTAGGATACAATTCAACTTCCAAAATCCGAACAAGTGGCATTGGCCTTTTGACACCATTTATGAGAAGAGCTGGTCCATTTCCACCGGTTATGATTTTTTCAAGGACTTGGCTGATTGCATATACCGGGATACCTCTGACAAACTGATGGTCTTCTGACGAAGTGGAACTATATTTAACCTGTGATCAATTCACAAGAGCAGCATGTTAGAAAAAAAAGACGCACAAAAATTAGCTAACGGCAAAGTGGGAAGATGAACCTGAGTCGAAAAGCTTCCCCAAATAGCCCGGATTCTTCCCTGCTCATCAGTCAGCGCCCCTGAAAATGAGCTACCAAAATCTGCAAGAAACAAGAAAAAACGAAGTGAGATTTGAACAAGTCTAGAATAACTAAGTTTAATGCAAAGGCTCTGAATTCCCTAACCTGTATCAAGCTCAATTACTTCCATATTAGTAGCTCTGTAGCGGGGAGAATCAGCAGACCCAATGTTTAACGCTGCACATGGATTGGTCACAATAGATTTTCTTGATGTAGCTTGAAGGTTCCTACTCAATCCGACAAGATAGACTGAATCTCCACGTTGGAGTGCAGGTTCTGTTTAGGCAATAGCCATACAACATAAACATAAATCTTATAAGACCGCTTTTCGTAAAAGCATAATCATCCGTTAGATGGTGATATCCAAACAGGCAATGATGGAACTTTCAAATGGTTAACAACATACCAGGTAGTAGCTCAGCTGCACGAATGACTGAAGCACTGGCAGGATCCATTGCTGACGGATTATACGCAATAAGAGCATAGTTGTGAACAGGATGAAGAAATACTACCTACAGTTCAGTTAAGAAAGATCAGTTCTAACGCTTCCTTCCATGAACTATAAGATTCTTAGAGAAATCTAATAATAATAAGTATCTAACCTCTCCAGGAATCTCGACTGGAAAAGCAGCAAAGGACAACATAACATCAGATGCAGAAATCACAACAGTGTTTTTGTCCACCACAGCAAGTCCCATGCTAGAAGAATGATATATTATGATGCCAGTCCCAAAGAAATGTTGGGAGTGTACACCATCAAGACTGCATGGTGGTGGTACATGAACCTGTATAAGAGAAGTTAGATTCAACAGATTAGCCTTTAATCACAAGACGAACTACTGTATTTTTACTTTTGACCAAACAAATGAAAAAAGAACCATAGTTAAAATCACATATACCAGATAAATAGTTAACCAAGATAATAATTCAGTTCACAAGGTCATATGTCTATGGTTTCCTTATAGCCTCTGTAGATTATTGTCTATCAGACTTGTAAAAGTAATTACCAAATCTAACATGTTCTTGAGAAATAATTTAAGTAACAACTTTGTGTTATCAATTAATTTAAGTAACTACTTTGTGTTATCAATTTGTACTCTTTGATGATGTAGGAACTCTGAACCTTGAAGTCAATATTGTATACTATTCTATACAGGTTCAGTGACACACCCATCTTCTGTGCAAATTAATAGAATCAACTGCTACACCCAAAGTTACCAAGTATTATCAAACGTTGTGAATGAAAAATCAAATGACCATTAAGAACCAAGAAAGAAACAGTAAGAAATAGCACACCACATAAAAGTTTTAAATCTCAACAGCTGGTGAAACTGATAACTTTGAGAAAAGTTTTAGTCTTTACCTCAAACATGACAAGAGCAGGCTCAATAGCACGCTCAGCCAATGAAGCATTAGCAGGCAGTGCTGTTGCACCTTCGAAGTCTCTTAAAACTGTACTATCTGTTGCCATTGCATCATCAGATTTAAATTCACTGCCATATAAGGAACCGTTTGAAGCAATCCCATCTAAAGATTCATCGTCAACTCTTTGTTTCTTTGCTTCTGAGCCAAAATCATTCTGAGAACCATCCCCACTAGAGGCTTCCATAATAGCTGCAATATCAGTAACCCCACGAACATTCACTTCATGCATGGGTTCTGTATCGTGATGGCATAGAGAAATATCTTGGCTTATAGGCAACCCATTATTACCAATAGACGGTGAAACAGAAGCAGGTTCAATTGCAGGTTTCGCATCCCATAAACCAGAGCTGTCATTACGGGTATACAACTGAGGAGGAGCGTACCATTCATGACGATCAATCGTGACTAACACAGACTGCAGGAAATGGAACCCGACAATAAGTACTTCTCGTTTGAGTATTAGCTTAGAGTTCAAACGAAACATGGACAGCAAGCATGTTAATGACAGGAACGGTGCTAACGGAAAAAGACCCACAGTGAAAATCATAGTTTTAAAGATAACGTTTTTCCATAAAAAGTGATCACAGAGATTTAGCAGCACTGCAGTAGCACAAAATTTCACACACTAGGAACACCGAGAAGAGAGGTAATATTATCACAGAATCAACAAACTGTTTGCAAAAATGAAGATGCTGATATGGAGTAGCCTAAGAAAAATATCATATATAAATGCTAGCATCAAGTTTTGACAAGTATATGCTTACAGTGGGTTAGGAAGTTTAGCAAAAAGATTGTTTAAACAAGAAATATCACCTTCTTGCGATGACGATCAGTGTGAGACATATATTCCAAGGGAACACGAGCACCCCTAGAAAGCTTTGAAAGAACAGATACTAAATCTCCAAGACCGGAAATGTCCTCATTAGCAACCTTCTTTATGATAGCATGTCGAGGGACCCCAGCTCTAAATAGCATGTATCTGAATAGAAAAGAGCTCTTCCAAGTAAATCCAGAAATACAGAGACACGTAATCATTTACATTAACAATAAGCTCACATGTAAGAATATTGACACATCAGTCAAGAATAAATCAAGAAAATGTGAAAATTTTGATGGTGGAAGTAGAGGGGCTTACCCAGGGTCCGCAACATATGCCAGGCCACAAGGAAAACGAAAATTGCGAGCCTGTTAAATCACAATATTTTAAGATCAGCTAATGCCCATAAGTAAGTGTCAGTGAAATACGTGTAAGCTTCTCTATCAGCAGGAGGTAGTGTAGTCATATCACTAGCTCACTTAGTTATGCTTCCATAATCAGATCTAGCAAGACAGTGTGGGGGATAAAGTCGATCCAAAGCATTTATTATGAATAAAATATGTAGCATATTGATACGATTCTCCAACTAATAGTACATTAAAGAGTTCCAAGATCAGTATGCAAATTCAATGACGGATAAACCCTAACCCTAAACATTATACCCTGACAGTAAACCCTAAGCCATAAATAAACACAACAGTTCCACATGTAGGACACAAGAATATCATGCATGGAGGCACAGAGATTTCCAGATGATATCTTTTCAAGTCATAGTTAAGTTACCTGCTGATAAGACAACGGATGAATTACAGCACCGCTTACTTCCAGGAAGTGGTCTGGAGTGATTTGAGTGTAAATCTTGTACCTGTGGCAGGAAATACAGAAACACATAAGGATCTTGATTTTTATGATAGACAAAAGTATGAATTACATTAAAGCAGAATCCTAAATGAAAATTACATGTGAGGTATTGAGGAACTCCATCTATCTGGGAAAACAAAAAGAGCTACAAGAACAAATTTAATGACCAAAAGAAAAGAGAGGAGACGGCTACATATATCTTACTTCTAGTCTTTGCATACACTCCTACTTTTCTAGTCAGTATGTGACTGGACAGAAACTAAATAAAAAATCCTAGAAGACTACTGGGAACGTGAAACCAAAGTTATAAATAGAAGAATGGAACTCACTGATACACTAACAGATAGTGGTTGTCCACCCCTTTCAATCTCCAGTTCAAGTATCTGGCCAACTCCGTCATCAAGCAGATTCTCCAAATTCAAAAATTGTGTGAGCACCTGTGATAACAATCAAACGCATAAAGGAAGATTTAGCAAACTGAGGAAAAAAGGAGCTAGACAATGTAAGTGCACTGATTAATAGGTTCTGTGGCCAGGTAATTACTAATCTCTAAACTATACGTTTCTTTACTAATGTTGCCGCAAAAGATATCACAATTCTCGATTACTTGAGGCAAACAGAATAAAAATCCTCACTAAGAAGATGCAATCAAGACAACTTACTGTCCCATTCACCCGAACAAGAACATCTCCCGGCTCCAAATGTTTATCAGCAGGGCCACTTGGCACCTACCACATGTCAAGACATATCATATATAGGATAAAAAGTTTCGAATTTAACGGTCGCTTAAACAATAGCCATATTCTTTGAAAATAATTATTGTATTGTATGTTATTAATGAAGCTCACCACAGAGTCGACAACAAGCATTCCCGTTTCCCCAGTTGGAGATGCATGTCGAACAACCTACATGGTCAAGATATAGAATTTTTCAGTGTGCATCACGAGGAAAGCTGATGCCCTACATGATGGTAAGAAGGAAAAGTATGTACCTGTTCAGTTTCACTCCTGAGACCAAGTCGCCATATCTCATCGAATCCTTTATGAAGAAATGTCATCTAAAGTACACAAGATAACAGATAAAAGCTTATATATAAGCAACCCCCAGAACTAATAATTAAGTAAAAGAGATTGAACTTCCTCTGAATCTCAAATCTAACAATCGTTCGAAAGTGAATAGAAATAAAACCATGAACTATTTCAGATCCCAAGGATAACCTTTCTATCACCAGCCACAGTAATCCAGATCAAAGTTCCATGGTCATTCACATATCAAGTAATCTTCACAATTTTCAAGGTATACATTTTCCCTCTAGGATTTGAACACAACATTCATATCACATACATTTAATTGACATACCATGTGAGATCGGCCATAGAAGAGATAGACCATGCTTCCAATAAGTAGCCATACCAAGACCCTGATCCATGTCCCAGCTTTGCCATTTCAAATTACCAGCAAGATGACTGCACTGACACCACATATAGTGAACCGAGGAAAACTGCCACAACCAAGAAATAACCCATTAGAGTTTGACATGATGATCTTGATAGGTGAAAGAGGAGATTCTCCTCCCCTTGCCTTTAAAATTAAGTGTTCAAACTCACAAACAAAACACCAACTCTTTTTTCTACCTGAAAATCCAACTATCAAAATAAGATTCCACATAGTTTCAATAAGAGCAGTAAAATCATTTTGGTGTGCAGCTTACATGTTTTAGAGTGTAATCCCCTACTAAGGTATGATATAAGTGGCCGAGAGCACTGAAGGAGAGCATTTGCATAACAAGTACAAAAGTAATAATATAAGTGACAAACACAAATACATTAGCACAATAAATCATCATGTCAAAAGCAAGAAACGTTAAAGATAAATACGTACCTGTTCCCTAAGTTGACAAGGCCATATGGCTGTAATTCTACTCTATGATCACAATAAAGTTTCACAAACAACAAGTCATACGAGAAGCTCATCTGCAAAAGAAAACAGAAACATGAATGGGATAATGGCAGTAGATATATAATCGTGGTTTAAAAACTGAAAGTTTGCAATCATATAATCATGGTTTCACATGAATGTGATAATGGCAGTAGACAAAATCTTCCAAGTGGTTTTGTCGATGGATCCTCATCAACAATTTATATTTTTTTTTGGTCACATGAATGGATTTCAAAATAACCCAAAACCTCCAATAGAATCAATTGTATCTTAAATAAAACAATAACTTTCATCAGATTGAGAGAAGAAGACGAAAAAATAAATAATAACATAGAGAGGAGCTAGCAACATGTATACTATTTCACTTTTTTTAGAGTTTTTCAGCCAATCAGAAGGCTCTATTTCAGACCCACTCGCACAAAGTGAGCGTTGCGCGAGTGTGAGCAATTCTGTGGGTATACCCCTTTCGAAATCATGCCTTTTTCAATCAACGCACTTGTCTCCAAAATTTCCATCGCGTGAATATTATTTTGTTTTCTTCTCTTAACCAGAGTAAACCGAATCCAAAATCAATTCTAATTTCACTACCATTTAAATCAATTTTAATGTCAAAACCAATGTAAACCTACTAACCGCTTGTCCTCATCGGAAGATTTCTTCGATCCCTCCGACGAACACACCACATCCAATGTCAAGAACAACAAAGCTGATACATGTCGGGAATCATCTACACATACAACCACAAAAACACAGTAGCTTCAGATTCAAGTGAACACAGATACAAATAATTTCACATTGAAATCTATTAACCTCGGAGATCTGATCAATCAGCTCCATGTCGACACTGAGTACAGTACCACCACCACCAGGAAACTTGAATTTGTCATTCTCTTTATAAATCCAAATTTTGACCACCTACAAGTTTAGTATGGTTGAACCACACCTGTAAACAAAATCAGAAACTATCCCTTTGGGATTACAAAATCAAAACCAAAACATCTCTGCTTCACAGATACCTCATCTCCGAACAAGGAATGTACTCCGTCATATTTTTCCCAACACATCTCGAATTGCCTCTCACTAACTCTAACCGTGGTGGATTTAGTGTCTCAATTCCCGTCTGATTTCCCAACGTCTCCGCCGACTCAGCGTCGTAATCCCCAATCTGGAACTCATCAGACATTCTTCCGTTCTCATTAACGATCCCAAACACCGTCAGCTCAACAGAATCTGGCGGCGGCGGTGGTGACATAGACGGAGCCAAAACCGGGTGACTCTGGTTTAACAAACCAGAAATGTTATAGTTTCTTCCGAAATCAGGTGAGAGTGCGCCAATGGGCCCACCCAATTTAGGACATGCAAATGCAAGAACTCCACTATCAAATTAACAAATCATATCTCCTAAACTAAAGTCAAAAGTATAATATTATTGTTACTTTCTTAACAACTTCTAAGTATCATATCAGTATCATAGTAATCCAAGAAATTAATAGAACCAAATAACTCTCTTTTATAAGCAAAGCCATAAGTTTTTTTTTTATTCCTCAAATGTTTTTTCCACAAAATGATAAATTTACGCTACAAAACAAAATAGAAGCCCAGTCAGAATACACTGTTTATTGGATTTAAAAAAACCATACTCCCTCCGTATTTTAATAAGTGTCGTTTTAGGATTTTTTTTTTTTTAAATTAGATGTCGTTTTCAAATTTCTATGCAAAATTTATTACTTTTTAATGTTTTATGACATCATAAAACATTAAAAAGTAATAAATTTTGCATAGAAATTTGAAAACGACATCCAATTCAAAAAAGTAAAAATTCTAAAACGACACTTATTAAAATACGGAGGGAGTATTATATAATTTCATTTTGTCTTCACAGAATATTTAATCTCATTTCTATGTTTTTTATACTTAACAACTAATCGGAGCACTAAGGATATAATAAAATCGCTTATTAGAAAGGCAAAACAAGAATTATCATCAGATTTCCATTTCTTCCCCAATTTTCTTCATATCCTTGAAGGAGAGTATAGAGAGTCCGATCCAAAACCCTAAACCCCATTTCCCGCGGATTTTCTCCCAAGCTGTTACGGAGACCAAATGGGAGATCCGTTGGAGAGGTTGGGTTCACAGGCCTCAATGGCTACTGAGTCTGGCATGAAGGAGGATTTGTGTTTAGAGATCGATCCTCCGTTAACTGAATCCGTTGCCACCGCTGAAGATTGGCGTCGTGCTCTCGGTAAGGTTGTTCCCGCCGTCGTTGTACTCCGCACAACGGCTTGTCGCGCCTTCGATACCGAGTCCGCCGGTGCTAGCTATGCTACTGGGTTTATCGTTGATAAGCGACGTGGGATCATCCTCACCAATCGCCATGTGGTTAAGCCAGGTGCGCTTTTTGACTTGTTGAGAAACGAGTTTAGGGATTAGCTGGGTTTCAAGAATTCATAAGTGATGTTAGTTATTGTTGTGGAACTGTACAGCCGATGATGGTTTCTCAAAGTATTTGTTTTAGGATTGTGCGATTCCATTGGTATTACCTGTTTGACTTAGACGGTCCAGAATATAGATTCGAGTTTTATCTAGAATGGCTTAGCTCGGCTTGGAAAAGACAATGGTCTGATTCTAATTTCTAGGCGATATGGAGATATTTTGGCCATTCCTTCTGGGTTTGAGTAGACAGAGAATCTCTTTAGTGTTCAGTAAATTTCATTTGTATATTCTTTCTTCTTATGTAGGCCCAGTTGTTGCTGAGGCAATGTTTGTCAACCGCGAGGAAATCCCAATCTATCCTGTATACAGGGATCCGGTAAGTCATTTCGGTTTTCTCCTTTTTCCCGCTTCCCTTCGAAGTATGAGCGAACTGGCACCTCAGTCCAGAACATCTTCGTTTGGCAGATGCCGTGGTTTCGCTTATGTATTGTTACGTTTCCATGTCGTACATGCGGTTTATGTTTCGTTCAAATGAGCATGCACAGGAGCTAGAATTTGTGTCTCATCTTATTATTTTTACTTTTCTCCCTTCTCGACTTTTCCCTTGTCCTCAGGCTGACATTCTTTGGTATTCTTTTCAGGTACATGACTTTGGCTTCTTTTCTTATGATCCCAGTGCGGTACAGTTTTTGACTTATGAAGAAATTCCTCTTGCCCCAGAGGCGGCTTCTGTTGGGCTCGAAATTAGGGTTGTTGGAAATGATAGCGGAGAAAAGGTAAGATTCATAGGGTGGCGGATTCCTTTATATTTTAGACTGTATTTTTCAGTTTGATGTTATGAAAGCAGTCACTTACTCAACTTAGCTGTATCTCAATTTAAATTTTGATTAGGTCTGAACTGTCTATCTATTGTTCAAGTTAGCTAAGTTTTCTGTCAAATGTCAAACTTAGGTTGCAAAAAAAATGCATTTTAATATATGTTTGGTGCATTAAGACACATTTATGGATAAGTAATGCTTCTGGTAACTGGGGTTTTGATTTGCAGGTTTCCATACTTGCTGGTACTCTTGCGCGGTTGGATAGGGATGCTCCACATTACAAAAAGTATTTCTGCTTCACTGCTCATGTTTTTTTAGTTCTGCTTATTTCTCAACATGAAAATTTGTTTGCTATTACTTGATATTTGCATGAAATCTTCGTAAATTCATATAGTAGTAATTGTTGAACTAGTAATATATCACCGGTACCTTTTATAGTTTCTTATGGCTACTTGCTTTGTAATTTGTTTTATTTTTTTGGTGCAGGGATGGTTATAACGACTTCAATACGTTTTATATGCAAGTAAGTGATTATGTCTTCTTTAATATTTATTGCTTTAAATCTTAGTCACTAGCTTACTTTGAACTAAATTGCATGCTGTCCCCCTGTGTCAAAACCTTGTTTTATCTTTTTAGTCGTGTCATGCTTATGGTTAATCCCTGTTTCCACAACAAAATGTGTCTCTCACTCGTATTTACTTTAAAATATCATGAGTCTACCAACTAGGGTAAAAAATTCCTGTTTGTAGCTTATTGTGCAATACTTAAGTATGTTATACTACTGTTATTCAAAATGTAAACCTTACACATACGAATTGTTTGCTAATATTGTTATCTGTGTTTATAGGCAGCATCAGGTACTAAAGGTGGTTCAAGTGGTTCTCCCGTCATTGATTGGCAAGGCAGGGCGGTAGCTTTGAATGCTGGCAGCAAGTCGTCAAGTGCATCAGCCTTCTTCCTACCACTTCAACGAGTGAGCAATCTCTCTTTTACATTTACTCGTATCGATGGTTCAGTTACGACTAGAATCTAGATGGTGTAACTTATTTAGTCACTGAAATAACCCCAGTAAATTCAGAACATTAGATTGTTGTGTAGCTTTTCTGTCAAAGTTAAGAATTGATAAAAGTGTATAGAGCCTCCATTAGAGGGTTGTTAGTGTGCTTGGTCTTCCGAAAAAATAGTATGCTGGAAGTGCGTACAATGTTACAAATAAACTACACTTATACTTAAGATCTCTTCTTTTCATGTATGGGAAAATTAATAAACTACAGTATCTAGTAGGAAACACTGATAAAGTCAGACATGGTTCTGGATCTCATTTTTAGTGTTCATTATAAATCATTTCGTAACCCAACCCCTATATTAATTTGAAGTTTAGTTAGAAATTTGCTTAGGACTTTTGATCAAGAATGGTTCTCTTGTTTGGAAGGTTGTTAGGGCGTTAAGTTTTCTCCAAAAAAGCATTGACTCGCGCACAGATAAGCCAAAAGCAGTTCATATTCCTCGTGGTACGCTTCAGGTTTGTTTTTCACTCTCTGATTTTGAGACTCTTCATAATGCCGTTACGAATTTCCGCGAATATCAACTTTTGACTCTTTTTTTAAATAGCTGGGTTCAGTTTTTTTGTCCGAAAAATTACCCATACCATTACATGTACGTGGTATGTCAATTAAATGTATGTGATATGAATGTTGTGTTCAAATCCTAGAGGGAAAATGTATACCTTGAAAATCGTGAAGATTACTTGATATGTGAATGACCATGGAACTTTGATCTGGATTACTGTGGCTGGTGATAGAAAGGTTATCCTTGGGATCTGAAATAGTTCATGGTTTTATTTCTATTCACTTTCGAACGATTGTTAGATTTGAGATTCAAAGGAAGTTCAATCTCTCTTACTTAATTATAGTTCTGGGGGTTGCTTATATATAAGCTTTTATCTGTTTTCTTGTGTACTTTAGATGACATTTCTTCATAAAGGATTCGATGAGATACGGCGACTTGGTCTCAGGAGTGAAACTGAACAGGTACATACTTTTCCTTCTTACCATCATGTAGGGCATCAGCTTTCCTCGTGATGCACACTGAAAAATTCTATATCTTGACCATGTAGGTGGTTCGACATGCATCTCCAACTGGGGAAACGGGAATGCTTGTTGTCGACTCTGTGGTGAGTGCATTGCTTCATTAATAACATACAATACAATAATTATTTTTAAAGAATATGGCTATTGTTTAAGCGACCGTTAAATTCGAAACTTTTTATCCTATATATGATATGTCTTGACATGTGGTAGGTTCCAAGTGGCCCTGCTGATAAACATTTGGAGCCGGGAGATGTTCTTGTTCGGGTGAATGGGACAGTAAGTTGTCTTGATTGCATCTTCTTAGTGAGGATTTTTATTCTGTTTGCCTCAAGTAATCGAGAATTGTGATATCTTTTGCGGCAACATTAGTAAAGAAACGTATAGTTTAGAGATTACTAATTACCTGGCCACAGAACCTATTAATCAGTGCACTTACATTGTCTAGCTCCTTTTTTCCTCAGTTTGCTAAATCTTCCTTTATGCGTTTGATTGTTATCACAGGTGCTCACACAATTTTTGAACTTGGAGAATCTGCTTGATGACGGAGTTGGCCAGATACTTGAACTGGAGATTGAAAGAGGTGGACAACCACTATCTGTTAGTGTATCAGTGAGTTCCATTCTTCTATTTCTAACTTTGGTTTCACGTTCCCAGTAGTCTTCTAGGATTTTTTGTTTAGTTTCTGTCCAGTCACATACTGACTAGAAAAGTAGGAGTCTATGCAAAGACTAGAAGTAAAATATATGTAGCCGTCTCTTCTCTTTTCTTTTGGTCATTAAATTTGTTCTTGTAGCTCTTTTCGTTTCCCCAGATAGATGGAGTTCTTCAATACCTCACATGTAATTTTCATATAGGATTCTGCTTTAATGTAATTCATACTTTTGTCTATCATAAAAATCAAGAGCCTTATGTGTTTCTGTATTTCCTGCCACAGGTGCAAGATTTACAC